TCCTTTACGTCTGTAAGAGTGAATGGGTCTTGTGTTGGTGCAATGACTAAGTTATTTTTGCTTGGAGTAAGTTCAATAGAAATTTTTCCTGCCCAGTTTGGTAAGTATCTTAAAAACCTGAAGATGAGGAAAGATGACAAAGGAACTCTAAGTTTCAGTTTTACTTTAGTGGCAGCAGTTCCATCTGAACCAGAAAGGTTAACATAAACTCCTGGAACGTTAGGGTCAAGTCTTCTTATTTTCTCAATATTTGCATACTGGTCTGTTTGTTCTCTAGCTTGTGGTTGTACTGAGTTTCTCAAAGCGAACCATTCATAGTTTGCCCATGTTACTGTTTGAACTAAGTCAGAGTTAGAATATATCTTATATCCCATGAAAACTTCTGGAGCATATTGGTATCCGACATAGAAAATTCCATTGCAACCTTTCTTGTCAGACAACTTGGCAGAAGGTTTTATTTCAATGTCTTGTTCCACGTATAAGAATGAGTTGTCAATAGAAATAATGTGAAACCTGTCGCAAGCAATATCTACTGTTGTTGAAGAAACCTTCTCCAAACTCACCTACGTTTCCATAAGAAACAGCAGTTGTATATTCGTAAGTTCCAGGAACTATTTCTGACCTTCTAATGGCATTGTCGCATTCGTTATACCATTCGGAAACATTTCCGTTCATGGCATCCAAAACTGTTGGCTTATATTCTGAGCGGCGTACATTTCATATGGGTAAAAATATAGAATAGTTGGATTTATGTGTCATAATAGAACCCACTCGGACCAAGCTTTACTTTCTTCCTGACTGAGTTTTTAACTCTTCTTTTTCCTTCATTGCCACTACTTTCACTAGATGAAGTTACTTCTTCACTACTTTCACTTTGTTCTACTCTTCTCTTCTTCTTTGGTGTCGCTTTTGGTAACTTGCCCTCTGCTTCAAGTTGTAGCATCTTTGCTCATGTTCACCTAGTATGTTGTAAATTTCCCATGTCCTTTTTGCCTTTGGGCTCTGGTCGCCCATCTCAGGTAACCTATATCCTAGAAAGATTTTGTCATAGTTTGTATTTGAGTCTTCGCGTATTGTTTGCATGACTCTTTCCTGAGTTTCCGGTTCAAGCTCTTCAAACAGAGCTTGTCCATATGGAATAAGCTCGTTTCCAAATATATGTTTTTGTAGCCATTCTGGTTTTCTTTCCATGTTACCAATAATATCTTTTGTGAATGGGAAAGCTTTTACCCAACGTTTCAGTCTTGCGTCATTTATTTCTGTAGTTGGTTTTATTTTGTCATGGAACATGTTTTCAATACTAACATTTCATTTGGTACTGTCCATTTGAGTTTTCTTAAATATTCATCCCTTCTCAGTTCATTGTCTGCAAAGTAAGTTTTTATGACATTTTGCAAACTTTCGTTTGCAAGGTCATGTACAATAGGTTCTCTTCCTTCTCTCTCCCTAACTTTCTTTCTAAACTCTTCACCAAATATACCATCTCTATGGTTCTGTGTAGTTCTTTGAGATAAATGTTTCTAGAACGTCAGGTGTTATATTTCCATCAGCCATGTTCATTTCATACTGGTCTAAAATATCTGCATGTTTCATATCTTTCAATGGCATTAAAGCCGCGCTGAAAATACCAGCTATATCTGGTTCACCATTCACTTCCATTGCGTCTACAACTTCTTGGAATTGTGGTTGTAAGTTTATGAACCACCTATCCGGATTAGCTTTATGACCCCATCTCATTGTAGTTCCATAGTCTGCAGAAACAAAAGTAGGTTTGTTTCCATATTGGCTAGGTTCTGAATGAACTTTAAACAATGTTTCATTTCTATATGTTTTGTTGAAATTTAACCTTTTATTTTCACCGAGTTCAGCCAAAGATTGAACGTTATATGGTCGTAAGTAAAAAGGATTGTTGTATTTGCGTACATTTTCTTTCAGTACTTCCATTCTATGCTGAATATTTTCATCTGATGTTGGAGTCTTTTGTATGTCGGCGAACATTTTTCGATATTCTTCTACTCTGTCAGCCGAATTTTTCTTAGACTCTTGGAAAGATTCCATATTCTCCGCATACACTTGTTGAGGGTCAAGATTTTTCGGCTGTTCCAAATCTTCATCTAGTTCTGTGAAGTTAGTTTCCAAAGGAGGGATTTGTTCGTTTCCTTCAGGCTCTTCTAGCTGTTGTGTTGCTGAACTATTTCTTCCATGTCTGGTTGTATCTGAACTTCTTCCTGTGGAGTTTCTTGTACCTCATCTGCTGGCATTTCATATATTCCGAGACCGTTTTAACAAGTTCCTATCTAAGTCATCCGGACTCATAAACCTTTCTTCTTTCGTTCCGTCTCTATTTTTTACGCGTTTCATGAAGAGAGTTGAATTATCATTTAGCTCTGACACCAAATATCTCGGAGTAAATTCATTCATGTCATTTGGATGATATGCTATTAAATCATATCCCTTAGCGAGCTTGTATTTTCCAGGTTTGAAATTATATCCCATTTGGTGCTGAACCATAAAGCTAAATAGGTTCGGGTCAGTATTTCCTTCCTTGAACTTTCTAATAGCTTCTTTATATCTGTCACTAAAGTCAAGAGTATCTGGGTAACCATAATCTTCCTTAAGCATTTTTAAGAATTCTTGGTTTCCTTGTTCTCTACTTCTTTTATGTCCTTGCTCTGTTTGTGGTTGTTGCTGTGCAGGGTTTTGAACTGTTGGTTGTTGTGTAGTGTTTTGAACTGTTGGTTGTTGTGTAGTGTTTTGAACTGTTGGTTGTGGTGCTGGATTTGGTTGTGGTGCTGGATTTGGTGCATGCCTGTGTCTGTGTCCATGTGACGATGTAAATGTTTTAGGTAGTCCTGGTGCAGGTGCTTCTCTTGGAGGGTTTGGTGGTATATAAGTTCCACCAGCTGGCACATATGTTCCATCTGCAGCATAATGTCCTACCTGACTTTTCGTTTTTAAGAAAGCATTTACTAGGTCTGTTTTGGTCTGTTGTAACTCTTTTTCTTGACTTTCCACAACAGTTGCTCTAACGGCGTCATAGGCACTTTGAACTGCCTGTCTCGTTGCTGCATCTGTTATTTTCGTCATATTTTGTGCTACTTCTTTTAACTCTTTGTCGAAACCTTCAGACTTCAGTTTCTTTCCAGATGAGAAGTCGTTCACTAGTTTCACCTTACTATGAAGAGCTTCGAAGGCATTCTTAAAGTCAGCATTCATTAAAGCTTCATTTGAACTGTCTTCATCCGCTTGTATTTTTGTCCTTATTGACCCTATAAGTTGGGCTGCTTTAGCGTTGGCTTGGGCATCTAACCAGTCATTATTAGCTTTTATATATTCTGCGCTTTTCATTGCCTTTTGCATGGCTGCGTCGTTATTTTTACTTTCTTGTGCTAAGTTTTCATACTGTACGGTTTGGTTTTGCAACTGTAAAAGTTTTTCTGCCTTTACATTTGCTTCAACTTCTTTTTATACTCATCGCTATCCATATATGTCTTCAGGGCTTTTTGTTTTATCTCTTCATCTTTCAGTACTTTATATTGAGTAGTATGGTTTTTCAAATTTATAACATCTTGTTCCATTTTTGCTACTTCTGCTGCTTTTTCTGACACTTTTTTCGCATATTCCTCTGTACTTAGTTCTTTCAGTTGTTCTTCTTTCTTCTTTTTCTCTACGTTTAACTCATTGAGTTTCTTTGTGTGTCTGTCATATTCTAGTTTCTTTTCGTTTTCATTTATTTGTTTCTGTATGTCTATGTTTGACTTTTTGACATCTGTTATTTGATTTTTGAGTGAACTCAAATTCATTTGACTTTGAGGGTTATAAGCTGTTCCGTCTGCAGCTCCACCATAGCCTGCCATTTTCGCTAAAAGTGCCGCTCTTAAACCTCCACTCTGTGCACCAATAACTCGGTTTAAAAGCATAGGGTTGCTTGACATTTGTTGCAACATAGTGGGGTCATTCATCATTTGTTGTTGCAACTGTTGTTGTGGTGTCAGTTTTACTATTGGATGTTTCAATGCTCCCTTCCTCTTACGTATATTCTTACGTAGCTTACGTGGCATTTTAAGTGAAGTTAAAAAGCGGTTTTTGACAGATGTATATATGACACTTTTTGTTCAGCACAAAAAACTACTCGGTCAAAGTGTTGTCAGTTTTGTAAAATAACCGTCCTATCTCATTCTATAAGGGAGAAAAGGCTTCTCAAAGTATACTTCCTTGGAACGCCTGTAACTTTTACTGTAGCGATGATAGACCCTTACTTGTCCGGACAAAGTTATACTATTTTGAGTGCTCTACAAAAAAGTCAACGGCTGGTCGGCTGGGGTTCGGTCCTCCTCTTGGGTCTTGGGAAAAATTTCTTATGGGCTAGAGGGCGCAACGCGCCTGGAAGCCCTTCGATTAAAAACTTCATTTATACTAAACATCTTCGGGGCTAGAGGGCGCAACGCGCCTGGAAGCCCTTCGATTAAAAACTTCATTTATACTAAACATCTTCAGGGCCAGAGGGCACGAAGTGCCTGGAAGCCCCACTACCTTTTTTTTTTTTTTTTTTTTTTTTGATAATGTTAGAGTACAAAGATTGTTTAATAAAACTATAAGGTTATTAAATTTATGGAAGGAAATAATCTATTAAATCTGAATACAAAACATTTATGTCACCTTTTAAGAGCATTCAAAATGTCGTTCATAAAACTTTTGAAAGGTTTACATTTATGGGCATGATTAGTTTGCCAACACTTGAAACAGTGAATTAAAATATTAAAATAATATGAATTCATCATGATTCTTTGTTATATCTGAACAAAAAGCGAGCCTGACAGCTAACAACTTTTTGAGATAATCTTAATTGTATGAGATTTATGAAAAAGTGGATGTAGATAAATCTTTTGACTCGCAGATTTTTTCCTTCTTTATGCATATTATGATAGGACGAAAATATATGAGTTCTCACTTTGATATGAGTAAATGAATTTGAATCGCAATAAATAAATATTTTATTATTATAATACATACATGATAGGTTGCATATAAATAACGCAATCAGATGTAGCCCAGATAACACATTTCTTTTCCTCAACATATTTCATGTCAATGATGTTCTCGTTCAATGTGGAGAAATGTTTGATATCGATAGTGCTGTCACCGACGTTGAAACATAAAATTTGATCTCGAACTGGTCCAAAAACAACAACATCGTTGCCTTTAAATGAATATGTGCATGAAAACCGGACATCGAATTCTTCATCAACTCGGGAAATAACTGTGCCATTGCATGTCAAAACAACAATGCTATCAAAACTGAAAACAACAACAAAGCCATAATCTTTTGTAATTGATACTTTTGTGATTGTTTTGTCGGTAACTTTGACCGAATTAAGTAAAATGGAATTATTCATGTCAAAAACATTGATGTATCCATCATGTGTTCCAACACAAACAATACCATGATCTGGATTGAAGTCAAAACATGAAATACAATCAAAATATACTTTGACTTCATTGAAAGGCGATGAAAAGTCTGGGAATTTAAAGATTTGGATATTTCCGACTTTTGAACATAATGCAAAGAAAATTCCGAAACTCGCTGATAAAGAAAAGTCTGTAGAACAAATGATGTCTGTTTTGATTTCATCATCTTTGAAGATAGAGATTTCATTGTCGCTTTTATTGAAAAGAATTAAATTATCATGGATTTTTAATGCATCTTTGATATGGCCTTGGATTTTGATAATTTTCTTTTCTGTATCTTTTTGTTCGACTGAGAAATTGTCATCTGAAACACATATTGTTTTATCACCAATCAAAAACAATTTCGAATATGGAACAAATTTAGCATCATGAATGAAATTTTGTTCTGTGTTTTCATTAGACATTTCTGTGATGAAAGGAATTGAATTTTGTTTGACGTGTAACAACTTTTCCCAAAGAATTTCATATGATTCTGATTCTTCATTGCTTTGTTTGTCTTCTATTCCAAATGTGTCTTTAACAAATCTCTCGATATCTTCAATTTTTCTTTGATTTATTTTCGTTTTTTGGTTAAAAGATGAATGAACAACATCTCTGTTGTTTATCTCGCTCTGATCAACATCAATATCAATGTTTTCATCATCATACAAATTAAATTCATTTTCTTTGTCTTTTCTCGGTGAAATTTCGCCAGAACTTGGATTTTTCTCAGAAATTTTGGATTTTTTGTCACTTTTTGTTAAATCTTGATTTAATTTTAATGAATTCAAGATTTTTTGAGTGTGGAATTCAGGAATAAACATGTCATTTGGATCCAAATCAAAAGGTAACAAGATTTTGTTGTTTTCTTTGTAAGATTTTCCAAAGAAAATGTTGATCAAAATGAGAAAAGTCAAATTAGAAATTTCATTTTCTTTCCATTTCTTGAACAAACCAATTTTTCTAATATATAATTCAGCAGGAATATCTTGGAAGAAAATCAGATTTGGCATGTTAAAAGCGGACAATTTGTTCATTATATCAGTGTTCTTTCTTGGATAGAAATCCAAATAAATCGATTTTCCTGTCAACAAGAAAAATTCGATTTTAGATTGATCGCGAATTAAAATGTGTTGAATATTCGAAAAATCAACATCAATTTTGTTTTTGTTTTCTTTCAACAATGTAAATGATTTCTTCTGCAAATAGAAGAAACAATTCTCTGTTGACTTTTTCTCGATCTTTTGGGCTTTGAAAGGAATCGAAAAATTCAAAAATTCTGTGTTTTCTAATTCGTAATTTTGAGAAATTTTTGGAGTCTTCAAAACAATTTTCAGTCTTGTTTTGAAGAAAAATGATGTTGTTCGATCAGAAATTCGCAATTTTGTGTTGAAACTGTATCTCCAAATTGATCTCTGATTAATAAATCTCTTCATAATAAATTCACGAGATTTATTTGCCAAAAAGTCAAGTTTTTCTTTGTTTTCTTGGAATTCTGACAAAATTGACATAGTTTGTTCGACCATTTCATTGTAATTTATTCTATGAATAATGGATTTGATTTCGAACAATGTCTTTAAGATGTCAATTTTTCTGTCATCCAACATTTTGTTAATTTCTTCATAATTCTCTAAAATTATTTTACAAAGCTCATTTTGATTTTCTTTCGATGAATTCGTGTAATCAATAATTTGACAAAGAACTTCCGACTTCAAGATTTGACAAATTTTACAAAAACTCAATAAAGAAGACAACAAATCTCTCATGTCTAATGATTTGATCAATGAAAGATTTGTTCTAATATCTTCTATTCTAAATAAATCATTAAGAATAAAATGATCTGTCACTTTTTCATTAATTTTATCTTTTTCGACATAATCATCGAAATCAAATTCTTCTGTATCATCTTCGAAACTCATTTCCGGAGCCATTCTTGATTTCTGGATATCAATTAAATTGATTTGTTGTTTTGTTTCGATAAACAAAATTTCGAAACATTCTTTGAACAAATTCGAATCGAAATCAAGACAAATCAAAGAAACTAAAACTTGTGCTTTGTGGTATTTCAAATCTGAATGATATATAGATTGAATAATATCAAAACAATTCAAAACAGAAGTCAAACTTTCATAAGAAAATGGATTTCTTGTTGAAACTTGACAAATAAATTTCATTATTTCAGGTTCTTCATCATATTTCACTTGAGAAAAACAATATATCGGAACTAAATACCAACATTTTTGGGATCGAACTGCTTCTACAAATTTATCATCTTCTATCCATGCCAATAAGTATCTATAAAGAGTTTTCCTGAAATCACCATTTTCTTTGTTTAAAAATGCTAAATGTAAAAAGATTGGATAAGATAAAGGAACTAATTCCAACAAATTAAAACTCAACAAAAAATCAAAACCTAAATTATCATGTAATTCAGGAATTCTATCACTTCTACTTAGTATATCTGAAAGAGAAGAATTAATTGCCCTTAGTTTTGTTTGTATTTGAGAAATGTCACTTTTCATTGATGTATTGAATAAATAAATTAAATTAATCAAATTAACATTGAATAAATTTTCTTCTGACAAGTTATAAAGTGATTTAACAATTGTTTCTGTTAATTCAAAGTTCAAATAAGTATCAATAGAAAGTAAAGCATCAATAGATTTTTGTGTTCCTTTGACAATTTTCGAGAATTTTTGACCAATTTCTAATAAAATCAATTTCATTTTTCTGTCTTGAGAAAGTTTCGCGTTGACAAAAATAAAATCAATATCTTCTTGATTAATAACATTCGAACAATTCTCAATTAACATCTTTTGTATTAATCTATTACATTTCTCTATATCTACATTCGAATCCCTTTCCAAATTAGAAACAAAATTAACTTCATTTTTCTCAAAATAAAAATATTTTCTGAGATTTACGATTATTTTCTTAACAAAATTTTCTGTTTTTTGGAATTCGTAACCTTTTAACAAATAAGAATACCAATGCTGAACAATCTTTTGCAGGTCTGCACTTCTTACCCATAATTCGAAATTCATTAGAATGTTTGAATACAAAGAAAACAATGATTCTTCTGTTTTACAAACATCCAAAGCCATATAAAACTTGTTATACAAATTAAAAGATAAAATTGATGGATTTTGCTGCAACAAAAGTGAAGGAATCAAAGAGAAGAACTTGTAAAACATGTCAGAGTAAATATGTTTCAAAAAATCAATAATTAAAACTTGATTAACAAATTCCAATTTGTCGAATAACAAGAAAGCAGGAGTAATGTTTTCAATTGGATAATACAATCTAAAAACATCAAAAATATTTGGTAATTCAGGTATATATCCTTTGAACGGTTTTTGTAAAACAAAATTATATTTTTGTTCATTTTTCTTTGGATAAGAAAACAAAACAGGAACAATTTCATTTTGGTTTTTGTTTTCATATAAATTCCAATGTTCTTGTCTTGTTATTAATCTTCCATACATCACAAGATCTTTAACAATTACTGCTGATAATAATTCATTTTTGCTGCATTTTTGTTTTAGATTGTTTCCAAAAGTTATTTTCGTTTTTGTATTTAATTCATCTAAAAACGAAATTGTGTTTTGGAAGAAACCAGATTGATCAATGAAAACAGTTATAGTTAAACTAGAATTACTTTCATCCAAAGATAAAGACAACGTCAGAAAATGCCAACAAGAAAATTGAATACTTTTCATCAAAGAAAATTCAGAAACTTTCGTTTGTTGCTGTAATTTGCATGCAATTGTATCTTTTTTCAGCCAAATATTAAACAAAGGAGTATTATCTTCTAATACTGATGAAAGAATACTTAATTCGAAATGGTTTTTCACTTGTAATTCATCATCAATGAAAAACCAAAAACTCAAAGAAGAATTTTTCAATAAATCTGATGTTGAAACACCAAAAATATTGAAATAAATCATTGGATTCGATATTGGTAACATATTATTTAAATTTGATAGTTTTGGAATTAAAATAGTTATAAATTCTTGTGAAAGTTCACTTTTGTGTAAAATTATTTCCATTATTTTTTCCGCGCAACTCAAATTTGATTTATAAGATAAAATTGTCGCTAAATCTGAAATGATTTTTAAGATGTCACTTTTTGATGTAAAGTTCTTAATTCTAAAACCTCTAAAAACGAAATCATTTGGAAAATTAATGATTAAATCAAGCAGAATCGAGTCCAATCCGGATTCTTCAGTTTCTATTCTATTGAAAAATGAAAATTCCATGACTTTTGCCATGTAAACTAAAAATTCTGACAATTTTGACATAAAAGAAAAAATAGAGACAAAAAATGTAATTAAATTCTTTCTTTTGATGAGGAAAGAATGATTATCATATGTTGTTGTACATCCTGAAAACAAACTAAGAAGTTTTGTTGTCAAATTTTCACAATTTTCTTGTTCATTTATTTGGATAATTGTATTTGCAAGTTTTAACAATCTCGAATCATCCAAATTAACATTGGAAAACATAAAACATGAAATTAACAAATTTAAAGTTATTACTAATTTTTTTTGTGTTGGCATTTTTTCCAAAAATTGAACAACTGTGTTTGGCAAAATTTTGATTTTGTAAACCAATTCAGAATTTACAGAAACAACAGAAGAAACAACTTCAATCAGTTGGAAACCTATGTCATAATACTTGTTTTTTGATATCAAAATATTCAAACTATTATTTACAAAAGTGACAGCTGATTTAACGTCTTCTTTTTCTCTCAAAATTGATTCAATTTTTTTCGTTATCAAATTCCTGAAAATTTCGAAGTTTATCGCTTTCATGAACACGTCTACAAAGTAATTCATCTTCATACAGCTCTGACTAACTTCTAATAATCGTGAATTATAAATAAAAAGTGACATTCTTGCAAGAAAAAGTGACTTTTGAAAATTTTCATTTTCTTTTGATTTTGAAATCAACAAATCGCAATCAGAACATGAATAATAGATAGCCTTGAGTATGTTCTTTGAAATCAGAAGGTTTTGGTCAACATTTCTGATTGAATTTGTCAAATAAGAAATAATTTCTGCAAATAACAAAGGAGAATTCTGGAATTTGTCAATAAACCATGTGAAATATTCATTGTTCGATTGTGCAATGATGTTTACAACCTTTGAACGCACAAAAACAGTAAATTCATCAAAATCACAGTTATAAATTGTTGCTGAAGGGTTAAATACCAAAGGATCAGTCATAACATCATATAAATTGTCTGTTAGAGGGATATTAAACAATTCAATTAAAAATAAAAATGGAATATATTTTTCGTCATGAGAAAAATGAAGAAAACATGAAATAATGGATGATGTAATCGTGTCCTTGTAACATTCTTGTATTTTTGAGCCAATATTCATGAATTCCGAAATCATTACATTTTTCTTGTGGAATAACAAGGAATTGTAAGTCAAACTCGATGTATTCTTAATTGTATTGATGTCTGCGTTTATTACTAATTCTGTTTCTTGTTCAATTACTCGAGATTTCGGTCTATTAAGATTTATATAAGGAAAATCTGTTGATTTCAAGAAATTAAGCTTGTTTTTAGTTAGTCCGTAAACTAACTTAGCGAATTTGTTTAACAGTAGCTCTATTTCGTCACATATAAAATGGGAACCGTATTTGAATAGTAATAATATAAGTTTTTCATCGCAGCTACTAATATCTGTTGATAAAACATCCAAAATTTCTGTCGGTTTGAGCGTGTTGCAAGAGCTTGGCAAATAATCAATCAATTCCATGAGAGTATTAGCAAGATTTGTAATTTCGTAGGTATCTTCTCTACTCTGGAAGATTTTTGAAAATGCCGCTAATTGAAAAAAGGCTGTTTCGTTGCCTCTTAGTGCAATATTGCAATATTGAGCAAATTGTAAGATGAACTCTTCATTAAAACTGCTGAAATTCTTTGTAAGAATATCGGACAATATGTTGTCATATATGAATAATGCTAACTTTTCGCCTATGGCAGAATGATAATAAGATAAAAGTAAAATTAATAATTGAACGATGTCATTTTCATCCGAAACATTGTGTGATAGCAACCCAAAAGAATAAAACGCAACAAATGGTAAAATTAATTTTCCGGGGATTTTATTTGTTTTTTCGAATGACAAAAGTAGGCTTAAACTCTCTTTGGTAGCAACCAGTGGTATTTGCATGCATTTAATTGACTCTCGGAGATCTTTTGTCAGATTGTAATGAGAAATCGCTTTTTCTCTTTCAATTTGATCGACAACTGGAATATTCTGCTCCATGAGGAATCTTTGTACCATCGGATCACTAATTTCGACTCTGAAATCAGATGCTAGATAAGAAAGAAGTGTCGAAAAATTCTCACTCTCTGTCATCTGAAAAAAATACAACGATAAAAAATCTCAATTGAGAGTTGAAATTGAATGTTAAAATCATATATATCTTATTTATAATATTATTATCTTATTCACGTAAAGTGTAAATTTCTGAAAAATTCAGTAAAAATTGATAAGAAATTTGACAGATGAAAAAAAAAAGTAACAGCCATAAAATTTATTTTTAAATAACAATACAATATATAATATTATAATTATTTCTGAGAGAAAGGATCGACCAATTCCACTCCACATTGAGAAGAAAGTTCTTTCCAAATTTCTAATCTTTGTGACTTCTGTGCTTGAGGATTTGGAGCAGGGATAAGCTTAATCTGTGGGGCAGCGTTATTAATAGATATAAGTGCCTGTTTGGCTGCCATTCTGACCTCTTCTGACCAATGTTTCGTTTGCATTTCTTCGGCAACTGAATAAAGAGCTCTGACGTAATGCCCGTAAGTCTGTAAGAACTCAAAGATAAAAGTAACGTTAGAACTGATCGTAAGTGCTGAAAACGAGACTTTGTGGTTGTCGCTTTTCGCTGATTCAATAATATGATTAAACATTGGTACTACGTATGGTGTAATTTTATTTGGCCCAGCTATTGTAACAATCGATGAAAAATGGTGTAAAAAACAGACAATGTTTGATGAACAAGTTACTGGCCATGATTTTAGCATTTTCGATAAGCAAGTTTCAGCTAGTGATTCATTCTTAGAGTAGGCAAACGAAAGAACTCGATTTAGAGGCGAATAATATTTGTACGCAAAATTATTAAGCAAAGCAGGGATGAAAAGCGTTAAAGTGAGAGTATTTGATGATTCATCCCACGCATCACTGCTTGATCTGTAATAGAGGTCTAAAAATTTCATTACGGTCGAAATTCCGTAAAAAGTATGAATTCCGTCAAGGAAATTCTGTATAATGACTGTCGAAGCACTAACAAATTTGGTTGAAATATCAGCCCAACTCTTGAAAATAGACAAAACAATTGATTCAATCACTGTTACTTCTCTTGGATCTGGTGATAATAAGTTCATAAACAGCTTTTCTGCATTCTTATTCATAAGCCAATCTATTGTTGCCTTAGGAAATGCATTTGTGATGAGACATTGTAATAATGAATAAATATTCTTTAAATCTTTCCATACATCTAAAGATTTAACGAAAGGGTCGTCGTTATATTCATCAAGGTATGTCATATCATCGAAAGGTCTAAAAATAATCTCTCCAATCGTATTATATAAGTGTAATGTTGTTTCTTCTGAAATGCACAGATAACTATCGGAAGATCTAGCTTCTATTGCAAATTGTGAAACTTGTTTTATGTCTGGTTTTAAAGAAAGGATCTTTTGGGTTAATTCTTTATTAATTTGGCCAGGGAGAGCATTTCCTCCAGAAAAATAGTTCGTTGAAAGTGCTCTATTATTGGAATTATCATTGAGTGATGGTAAAAGCTGAGTAGTTGATCGAGGATTTTGGAAAACGCCTGAATTCATGATTTTAACCGTAGGCCTTGCTGTATTTGTGTGTATTCCCAGAATGCTTGATATTGAGCGTCCTCTATTACCCATCACTGGTCTCAGAGAAGCGCTCAAAGGCGTACGGTTCATGGGATAAATAAGTATACAAAAATAAATTAAAAAAAATTCAGAAATAAAATTTTAAAATGCTAGAGAATTTGGAAATATCAATAACTTTAATTTTCAAAACTGCTCAAAAATTGTGAAGTTCAAACATTTTTACTTTTCGAAGATTGTTTGGATGATAATAATTAAAATTATGAAAATTAAAAATAATGACACTTTTAATATTTGAATAAAATTCTCAAATCTTTGATTACAGACGCAACATATGGTATCACTTTGTGGAACTTCAGTACATTCGATGTATAAGTATAACCATATAACTTATTCCGTTTTTGAGCAAAAATTATATCAAAAATCAAGTAATTCGTTGCTTTATTAATGTTATATGCGTTGAAACGTTCTAAAACATAAGCATTAATCCATACATTGGATGGATTCATATTTGAAAAAAACAAACAAAATTTTATAAGAGTAATAGTTAAAAAAAGTTCGTTAACAGCAGCCCTTCTTTTGATTGCTATTATTACCATTTCCTTCCGTAAGTTGAATGCCATCTTCGGTGGGAGGATTATCTCTAATCATCTGAATTAATCTTTCGAATGATTCTACAACGTTTGACACAAACTCGGCTGATGTTTCGAAAAATGGCAAATCATGCTCGTTTGCAAACCTTGTACCTTCTTCTGTAGAAACTTCTCGATCATTTCCTAGATCCGATTTATTTCCAACTAAAATAATACGTCTATCTCTAGGTATATTTGCCAAAATAGATTCAATTTCTGTAAAAGAATCTCTTCTTGTAATATCATAAACTAAAATAACGCCTTGAACAGCATGAGTTAGAGCGTACGATGAAGACCTAAATTTTTCTTGACCAGCAGTATCATAAATTTGTATTTGATAATTGACACCTTCATAATTATAAATTCGACTGATGAATTCAGATTGTAAAGTAGGAAGAGTATCTTGATTAAATTCGTCATCTGCAAATCTTCTTATTAATGAGGTTTTCCCAACACTATGGTCTCCAAAAAGCGCAATTTTAACTTTTCTCATTTTATTTCGAATGGAAATTTTATGACAAATAAAATGAGGCAAGATTACTTGATAGAAATCCATTCCATCAACCAGAATCAATAACTTATAAAGAAAATCTATTATATCAGCTATATTAGGAAGTTAACAATGATACTTTCGATTTTATCAACAAATTTTGAATCAAAATTATGGTAGGAAATAAAAAATATCAAGAATTAGTAAGTCAATTATTTACAAACAACAAAATATAGATATATTACAGCCAATGGTCAGATATAAACAAAATATTTTTCTTATTGATTAAAAATCAATGAGATTCGTAAGAAAATTATAAAACCTGGCTGTTTCATCGCTTACTGTTTGTTTAATATTAGCAAGCGAGAGTAGATTTAATTTTTCATTTAAAGTTTTTGTGACTTTTGTTAATGTTTTAAGTGAAAAACTATTGGATATGTAAAGGTGTTCGCCATTTGAGATTCCATAAAATCCAAAAGTTAATGTGTTAACTAAAAACATATTATTGTAGTAAATCAGTATAGATCCATTGATTTGAAGTTTCTTTTCTATAACAGCAACGAGATCGTTCTTATTTACTTCGATAAGAGTTGTTCCACGCTTCTCATCGTGTACATAAATCTCTATTCGTTCCATAATAGCAAAAAAAAATTATTAGTCACTTTTTTTTGTACTTGATTCAAATGAGAAAAAGCCATTTTTGATTTTCCATTTTTTACTCATTGGATTATATAAGATTTTTGGGAAATTCATCCTGACACTTTTTATATCTTGCATCACCATTATCATGTGTGTAATCATATTTCGCTAAAAACTTAGAAGATAAAAAAAATTGAATCAAAAAATTTTCTTCAGAAGATGACGAAACAGAGTTCGCATGGCGATGTGCAAATGCGAGACCTGCTTTCAGCCACCATCTCAAAGTGTGTTCAGATGCTGGCTGATTGTACGAAGTATTCTTCTTCTCCAAACGCTGCGAAGCATCGATTATTAATAAATTTAATGAAATCGCGAATACTTATCGCTAGACTACTCGTAGCACTTCGTTTCATGAAGTATCCGTGTATCAAATTACTGAATAATGTTAAAAAGAAGGAATTAAATAATAACGCGCAAATTTGTATCAAAGGATTTCAAAACATTTTACGACAGATACAAGAAAAGCCATTGGCCCCTCTAAAGATAGAAGATATAGAAGACCTTACAGAAGCAATAGAAATTAAACAGAATGAAGTTTTAAACGCGGATTTTACATTTCTCTTTATGAACAAAATTCCACAACGATTAACATTCCACAAAATCGTTAAAAATCGAGCATACTTTGCATGTAAAGGAGAATATTCATTCATTATCCGAAAATCAAAAAATAACGCTTTTAAATTGAAATTATTTACAATTAACTGGCCACCAAATCTTTCTTTCCCCGATATTTTATTAAAATACATCTCCAAGCTTATCCAATATTACTTAGAAACACCAATTTCTGCATTAACTAATATTGATAACGTTTTGCACTTAATGTACTCTACGGCGTCACTTCCTTTGTTAGCCATTGAATTTGAGAAGGTCTATAAGCTGTTTAATTACGTTCTAACACGAAAAACAAATAAATTATTCATCGCATTCGGAAAGAAATACGGTTTTCATGGTAAATTCAAGTTCGAAATGGACCATGATGTACTTAAAATCACCTCTTGTGCGCCTATTTTCGTTCCAACATCTTTATTACCAAATGATCCCTTTGTTCCTACACAATTCATTGCAACACCACATACATTCGCACTTCCGAACTCTGGACCAGCCATTCCGTCACTTTTTATTATCGGTTTACCATATGAAACTTTCAAATATGCGGAAGAATTGCTCGGATTCATGCGTGACGTATCTATTTACACGCGTCTTCGGAACATCTGGGAACCATTGATGAGATCCCTTGCATTAATGGGCGGATCTTTCCTAGAACCGAAATTTGAATACAATAAAAAAGTCAGTTCTTTATCAAGAATCGAAGTTTACAACTCCGTTGGATTCTATCTATTGAGTATTACATGCGATGCGTATACAGGAAGCTTGTTTATCGATATCTACAATACAAAAACGAAATTACATGATAATACGATTTATTCCAACGCGTATCAGCTTGGCAGCATGGTACAAGGTATAGGAATCAATCTGGTATTCAGAATAGCAACAAGAATCATGACAAACAGCATTAGTCCTTCATCTTATAATAATCCTTACATTAATTTCATGTTGTCTTATTCTAATTACTTCTATATACACTACCAGTCATCAAACGGATATCCAGCATTCGAGATTTACGATATCAATGGAAATTCTTATATTTGTCCTGATATTATCAAATCTCAAAATTTAGCAACGGCAAATTCATGGAGAAAGTTGTCGGAAACGGCTATTGCTGTCTGTAATTTCATTTTCATCCTTGAAACAGAGCGTCTTCTTAAAGAAAAAGGCTTCAAAACTGTAAGATCTCCTGTTTCTGTCGAATTTCTGGCTTCCAACTTTAGTACGTGTAAGATTTCGGTAATATCTCCAACTGCTTGGAAACTTACTGTAAAGATTCATTCTCCTTTGGTTCCTTTCTTGTTTGACAGCTCATATTCGGTAATCGGGAGCATAAAGAACGCAAGGAGTGCTGAACAGAGCGTTGAATGCTTCATGTTCTTTGCGAAAATGTTCGATATTATCGCCCATTCTTCGTTTATCCTTACAAATAACTATCATGACAAAGAATCTTGCTATTTCAGTGGATTTTTAGTTGACGATACGGTAGGTAATATCGAAGTCAAGAATTTGCCGCAAATTGCTGGCTCAAACAAGAAAAAAGTCTATTGGAAGTTGATCAATAATTTTCCATCTGTTTCCTCTGAATTGTTGATCGGCGGGGAAACGAATTGGGTTTTATCCGCGATTTTAGATCAGAAGAATCCAAGTCCCCTGTTGGCCGGATTCCTTGCTTCTTCGAGTCTTTTGATGAAGAGGATCAAGACAAACCTTAATTCTAACTGGTCAATCGTTCACCAAGGAAGTACAAACGTATTTCACTTAATTGCGTTCGAAAAGTACACGATAAGCTGTGAGATCCGACCAACTAACATTGTCTTGATATACTGTTCACCTATACCACCTGCATCTTCAGTTTTGATCCCTCTTTTGTCGGCAAAAGTTCTTGAAGCAGGAAATGGCCGGACAAACATCAGACTCCGGATGTCACTCGACGAGCTGATTAAAACATTACCGAAAATAGAGTTCTACCTCCGAAAGATTGGCCAATTCGCCGAATGTGGATTTAAATTTATTTACAGCCAGATTCCTAGACCACATATGTCGATTGATGTTAACAATATGAAGGCAGATATCTATTACGATAGCATCAATTTAAGATGTTCAGACCCCTCAATTTCGGTAATTTTACAATCGCTTCCGACAACACCGGAGTTTGTTATTTCCCTATTAAATATTCCAAACCCACAATTGCAAAAATCGTATTCTGTGGTTTTATCTGCGGTGTTTTCACTTTCGAGTGAATCTGCCGTGATTTCCGCAAAATCGGTTAATTTCAGAGGAAATAGAGTTTATCTGAGTATCTCTGGCTTCCCATTCGAAATTATCGGAACGACAGCACGATGCGGAGAAATGTCGTTCAGGACAGAAGATGTGAACGAAGTTAAAGCAGCCTTGGCCAATTTGTTTTAAGGATAACTAGAATTTTCAGCGAAATTTTGAAAAAAAGTTAATTTATAATTTGTTTTTTGTTTGTTTTTGATAATAATTAAATAAATATTGTTTTGTGTTTGTAATATGCATGAATCAATAGTTTATTTGAAAATGGGTCAGATACACCTTGGAAAATTCGGCTGTATCGGAAGGGAAAAAATAAGAGTAATCGAAGGATATTTATCGTTTCTTTATTTTTTGAATGAAAAATGACCGTTTTTTTATTAAAATTGAATATAAACAGTATCGAAACAAATCTACTATTATCATAAATGCGTGTTTGGAAATCTAAAATCTTATGCATTTAAATGGATATTGAAAATTTGAGAAATGAAAAAAGGCCGGCTTTCATTCAATTTTTGAGAATAATTTTAGTGGTATTGAAATCAATAAGATTTTAAAAATATATTATTCAAAGCATGTTCGATGATAAATCTTCGATATTATGTCTATCAAGAAATTGAATACTTCGAGATTTTAGCGAATGAATCGACAAAAAGCTGCGGAACTTAGCTATAATGGTAATACATCATATAAAAAGATGTTATCCATGATGTTTTCGACTATATTAACTTTCTTTAAGAAAAAGTAATTTGAATTTATAAATTGAATTGTGCTATTGAATTTGGTTTTGAATCATTTTCGGTAAAGGAATTTTTAATGGAAAATTTGATTGTACAACTATATTCCAACTTCAAATTTAATAAAAAGTTTTATGATAAGATCAGAAAATTCTGATGTATAGAAAAAATAATTTAACCGAGAACAAACTTTAATAGGAAATATTGGTTTGTATCAAGTCTACTGGATGTAATCGAATAATCGGTTGTAAATTAGATCATTCAATTCTGAAAATTGATTGAAGAATTTGTTGAATTGATTCAGACAAAGTTTGGTTAAATGAAAATGTGGATTTTCAAGATTCTGACAACGTTATTCTGAAAAATATACGTTAAGAGTTGAAATGTAAACGCCCTTTTTTATATATATTTTAAATTATCACATTGTGGAACTATCTCTATAACTACTCATTTTTCATTCAAAATTTCAAAAATTTATTTTTATTTTGTTTTCTGTCAAATGTAATTATAGTATATGCATACATTAAATTGTCCAAATAAATTCCTCCTTGAAAAAATATTCTTTGAAATTTTTCAAAGAAAGTTTTCAATATCCAAAAATTGAACTTTTTTAATTTATGATATCTCTTAATTAATCAATGATGGCATATATTAGAAGTTTTCAAACAGATTCCTGCTTCTCTCCTCACAATTTTTATTAAACTATTGAAAAAAATTGAGAAATGATTTTAAATATATAAACTTTTAATACACACTTCCAAATAAAAAGAAAAACCCCGGCAATGGTGATTTTCCTTATTTGTAAAGAGCGCGAACTCTTGTGCTGAGATGGCGTCTCTGTCTCATGTTCCTCATGAAATTGTCAAGATATTTCATGGAGATATTGTAATATCTGCATAATTCAGCCTTTTCATCCTTTGTTGGATATGGGTTGTTGCTATGTGAGTAAACCCATCTCTTTAAGCCATAGCGAACTAACTGATTTGAGTACTTTGGACTGAACCGAGCTCCTTTGCGGGTTGGGATACTTTCCTGTTTGATCTCTTCTTCAGGGGTAGCTGGTTCTTCCTTTGCTTTTGTTTCTTTTTTATGGGCTTGTGGGTTTAAGCTGGCAAAAATATCTTCTACTGATCCAAAGATATCATCATCCATCATATTTTGGGAGAGACTATCAAGCCAGAACTTTTCTGTGGCCTCATCATCACACTCTAGGAAGGGATTGAAGAAGATTGAGTCCATTGTGCTTTGCAACAATGAAAAATAATGATTTGAGAGAGGCGAAATTTTGAATACTTGAATCATCAATCTGGAAAATTTGTTATTTATATAGTTCTGAGTAATATTCAGCAAGGAAAAAATTTTTGACATAAAAATTCTTTTTGATTTATATAATTTTTGAAACTCATTCAATTTTTGAACAAAGATATCTAAAACCATGATATTTCAATGGCCTCCCGTTTCTGAAATTATGCCGTCCTTTACTGAAATCAGTAAGAACAAATTCAATGAATTTGAATTTGTTTACAAGCGATTAATAGAAAAAAATTGATTAATATCATGCAGAGAACACTGATGATAATATTCTTATCAATGTCAAACTGTCGGTTCACGAATTTTGATTATAACATTGAAAACTATATAAAATACTTTTCAGAAAGATTAAGAAGAACTTGTTCGGGATTAAAAGTGTAGCTTTCTTTAAAATCCAAGTTCCAACATGGTGTGGGCACAAATTCCTTTTTCTTTGATGAAATTATAAAAATATATCATTTTTAAATGAACAAAATAACTCTTTAGTTAAACACATGTCTAAACTGGATAGCTCATTTGTAATGATCTTTTCTAAATTAGAAATTATTCGATAATATATCGAAAATATTAGGAATAAATTATCTTCGAATGAATTTCTATTTTGTTCAAAAAAACACACTATCTTTTATCTGAAAAGAGTGTTATTAGCTAAACGATTTGTTTTGACAATTGTCTTATGTATCGTTTTTTGATAATGTTGTAAGTTTTGATTTTTTTCTTGAATGTTCAAATGTGTGCATGGATCTAATTATAATTTCTTCGGAAAATAGAATTTCGGCCGGTGGATGACATAAATAAAATCTCTGAATCTCAAATTTCATTCAATTTTGTAAGATTGAGAATTACAACTTAACTAACTTTGAATGCTGATATGATTTGTAATAATATTTTCCAGTAGCTTTTTCTTTTCATTCAAATTTGAAATGGAAAAAACTAATTGAGAAATTTTTTGATGGATAATTGCATTCATAGATATCATTTGTTATGTAGTAAGTAGGAACATTGTGAAATCCGTCTGAAAAATTCATGGTATCGGAAGGAATTCGAAATTTACGCCCATAGATTCCAAATTCGTTTATATTATGGATGAACTAGTTTGTCAATATAAGATATTATGCTTTCTTTACTTATTTCGCTCGATTATGGTAGTGCTCAAATATGAGATATACGTAATATATTATTAGCATAGATTTGACAAGTGCATTGCATTGGCTCTGATGATTCAATTGATATTCCTAGGAGAAATACTCCGATTGTAAGACTTATGATGGATAATTTTGGCGTTTATAATTTTAGGCCCGTATTCCTATTCGGTTTTTAGATTAAAAAGTAATGTCTATATAGGAATATCATTGGGTAATTTTGCATCTATATATGAGATATAAATTAATATCGATATTTCGAAGGCAGAACAATGATAAAACTGTAATAATCATGATACATATTTGAAATTCTCTCTCGTTAATTGATTTTCTGAATCTAAAAATGGTTTTATGTTGTAATATCTGTCTAACAAGTAAATGTCCTATTCCAAATAGTGTACAATAGCTTTTTATATGATAATTAAGCTGGTTTTTGATATTTAGCCCGTATTTGGGGATCATAAATATTGAAAAAGATTATTTAAAGGTATTACGCCCTGATTCTGGCTCCATTCTACATTAAAAGCATTATCCTTGCTTCTGTTTGATTCCGAATTTTCGAAAATGCATCAAATTTGAGGAGAGCCATGGCCATCTGGTAAACTTTTTTTTATCGGATAACTTTAGTCATGATTGTTAATTTTTAAAATTATTATTATTTTGACCTTTTAAGAGGAAATAAAGGGTAACTTCATTTTATAAATCGATGAAATATGTTTATTTTATTTATTACATATAATAATTGGAAATAATAAAAAGATCATGAGTAAATAAAATTTGATAAATGAAATTTTCTTCATATATGAAAGCATGAATAAAATTTAATTCTTAAATATGCAAATTCCCAAAATTAGTGGTTATGAAGTTAAATAAACACCATAGATAAGAAATATAAAGTCAAATTATGAATTCGTTATTTTAGTCAAAAGATATTTCAATTTGAAAGATATTGTTGTTATTATTAAGCAAGCGCAAGCTTAAATTTGTGCTGCAGTTGAAGTATTCAAAAGGATCAGAAAATAGGAGTTTTTTCAAAATTTGAACTATTCCATTAGTCAATACTATCAGATTTAAGCTAAAGAATTACACATTATGATTCAAGAAAGCAAATTATATTTCGCTTCATATCATTTGAAAGCTGAAAGTTCAATTCATTGATTGTAACAGATTATACTTCGCTAAGGCATGCAGGTTACACATCAAAGAATATCCGCCGACCTATATCTTATACAAATTTCATAAATTGACACTTTTGAGGAAGATAAAACAGATACGAAAACTCGCTAAAATTTTAAAGGCTTATTAAGCTTTATAACAAAACGAAAAATGAAAAATAATTTGAGAAATTTACAAAACTCCAGTTTACGTCAAACCAGCCAAAATGCATACGTTGAAAGTTGTCATCGTTGGTGAGACTAAAGTAGGAAAAAGTTGTATTTTAAGCCGCTTCGTCCAGGGTTCATTTGACGCATCTATGCCTGCAACAATCGGTGCCGCTTTCTTAACAAAAGTTATTACAACTTCAGAAGGCCCAATGAGACTTCAGCTCTGGGATACTGCAGGCCAAGAAAAATTCAGATCGCTTGCTCCGATGTATTACCGTTCAGCTAATGTTGCTGTTCTTGTTTATGACGTTACATCTAAATCATCACTTGAAAGCTTAGAAGACTGGTCCGCAGAAATTGCAGACAAAGCTCCTCCAGGCATAAAGCTTGTCGTTATCGGAAACAAAATCGATATGGAATCGGAGAGAGTTATTTCAACACAGGCAGGCAAAGATGCAGCTGCAGCAATGAACGCGGCTCTGTTTGGAGAGACATCAGCTCTTACAGGTGTTGGCATTAACGATATTTTTGCCAAAATTGCAGAATTCGATACAATGCAAGACGCTGTTTACGAGAAGCCTTCAGATTGGAAGCCAACAGATAATGAAAGCGGAGGCTGCTCCTGCTAAATTTTCCTGTCATCTATCATAAAATTAATTGTAGTATTATTTAATTTTTTTTAATTCCAAATCTTCTTAGGCTTTTTGTATTTTGTGCCTTTGTTCCTTTTTGAAAGTTGTGGCTGGCAAGGTTTTGAAATTTTCAAGCCAACCTTGAAAATGCCGTTGACAACGAAATACAATATCATATATAAATTCCATCCAGAGTGAGGATTTCATATATCAAGATCCGAAGACTTTGAGTTGGAAGATTTTATGCGAATTTTATTTTTGAATTGAATGTGATTTTCCTCAACACTTACACTGATTAAAGTTAGTATAAACATTTTCATATATGTTTAGTTGTTTTGAATTACGAAATGATTCTGCAAAATGAAGGATATAATTACCACGAAAAAAAAAATCTGAGAGATTTTAAAGCATCATATGAATTCATAATATTTGCACATATTTTTTAGATGATATCAATCGCACAGAAAAACAGACATACACATGAAGTAACATTGGATGCTTTGTGACTCTTTTTCTCAATAGTACATCAGAATTAGTAATCTTGATTTTTTAAATTATGCTAGCATTACACTGACACTATGATTATTTAAGAATGGAAACCTCTTGGAATTAGTATTTACTCATTTAACCATATAAACGTCATGTCAGAAGTACTAATCCAATAAATTCAATTATACTTTCCATTAGAGAATAATGAAAATCCTATTTTGTTTTCAAGTTTCTAAACTCGAACAATAAAGTTTTTTTTTCAAATTTCATTATTCGTCTGCAAAATGAATCGGAGTTTTTCCATCATATATAAACCTAACATGTCAATGAATTCTAAATTAGATATTGTCGCAATAAGTCCCACCTTCTTTGTAATTCTTCAATGCAACAATTCAACATCAATCTTTTGCTATTCTTTATTCAAATATAATGAGTTTGGGCTAGGAATACCCAACAGCGATAACCCTGTAAATCATTTAATCTATGGATCTTGTAGTCTAATGAATCCGAAGAAGAAATACTGAAAAAAATATTTATGCTCGGTATTACATTTCTAAGCAGGCTCCAAAAAAACTAAGTGATTATGAAAGAAATGCCTAAAAAAGAATAATATATCTAAAAAAACTTATAAGTTATAAAAACTAATAAACTAATATATATTTATAACATAAGATCATTCATCAAGGCAAGTGCATCCTTATTATCAGCGTACACCTTGCGCATGTGAGAAGCGACCATGTTTCTTGTTGAAGTCACCTCCGAAAGAGGTGTCTGTCCAATTTCATATCTCGGCATTGTCGACATCAAAAATCTAAATTCATTCTTAAGAGACTCATCATATTCGTAGTTATCACACAACGCACACATTGCGTTCAAACAAAGAACAGCAAGTGTTGGAGAAAGCGAATATCCAGCTCTCTTTCCAATACTCAGTGTAATCGCTTGGTTTGTCCTTTCAACCATTTGATTGATGACTCTTTGTACTTTTTCTTTGAATTCTGCATCTCCTCTGTACAAAACATCGTTTGAATCTAATGATTCGACACCTAAAACATAATTTGTTCTTTGCATGTGTGCACCAAGTATAATTGAGTCAAGAGCAAAGCTAATTCTTTGTTCTTCAGCCCATTTCTTCCTTACACAAACTTTAATTAAAGTTCTAAACACTTCTAAACAATCTCCTTCTTGGCTTGCAGGCTGTATGAGAATAAATGATAGAGAATTCTTCAGTAATGTATAAAGTTCTGGAGTTGGAGGCAAATCTGTTGCCATTTGAATAAAATACTTGAAAAAAGTTTCAGCGAACGTCAGAGTTTTCGTAATTAGTGATATATTAGCTCCAAGCAAGAAAAGCGCACATCTTTCAATCGGAGGATCAATAGATGGAATTGTACATAAAGTATAAGCGTACAAACTAAACAAAGCGATCTGCAAATGCTGTATATTCATATTTACAGCTATCGTACAATCTCTTAACGCAATCCTTGCAAGGCAACTCATTAATCTTGAATTAGTTTGAAAAGATTCTCTTGCTGCAAGTAAAAAATTGAGGTGAGCTTCGACATTCTTGTCAAAATCAACTCTGTATAAAAACCATTCTATTTTCGAAATGACTTTTTCAACTACATCATCTGCACTTAAAACTGACAAAGAATGGAAAGCAATAACGCTCTGCTCAAGAAGTATTCGAACGGTGAACGGATCCGACATTTTAAATGGCTTACGCTGAATGTCGTCCAAGATAAATAAAGCAACATTTTCTAAATTTCTTCCATCCAAGTAATCCATCAAATCAGAGACAGAGTGCGTTGTTTCTAATACAGATCCAAAGTCTTTTGTGTACTTTACAGCATGTTTCAGGCATGATGCTAAATTTTTCATATCTTCACTTGACAAATGATTGCCAAACTCCTTCTTTTGGACATCGAAATTAGTAGAAACAACATCTAGAACATGATCCAAGAACAGATCTACCTTCCTTGCCGGTAAAAATCTGCATACGTACTTTGTTAAAGGACCTGCAACATAAATGAAGTCGGAAACATTATATTCCCTCATTCTTATGAATATATCATTAGTCGTTTTAACAACATCAGAAACGATATCGCATTCAGAAATAATAATACACAATTCATGCATCAAAATTGGCTTTGGTATAGTATTATCACAATCATAGATCATTTTGAGTATAACAGGATACGTAACTGCGATAAATCTTGAAGGAATTGACTTGAGAAATGATTTTAAAATAAAAGCTGAAGGTTTTCCTTGGGAATAAAAACCATCTATAGCCTTTATGACTATTTCTGCATCAGCAAATGATATTAATGTTTGTAAGAAGAATATGAGTGATGGTTCTTGAGTTTTCATGAACATTTCGAATGTAAATTTTAATTGTGGTCTGAAACATCTTCGGAACCCACCGTTATTCATATATCTCATATTTAAAGCATACATTTCTAGTAATGGTTGCATAAAATTTATATCATTTTTAGGATTTATTGTAAAAACCTTGTGAACTAAATAAGCTATAACAAAAATTGTTGCTATTGAAACACCTAAACCACTGATCGCATGAGAGATCACCATTATTTGATCCGATAGAGATTTGTAAGGATTGTTGTGGATTGAGCTAAGAAAAGCAATTTCTATCATTAGTTTTGGCAGTAAGTACTCTATTTTGGATATTTTCATGGTCCATTCTATTGCGGTAAATTCCCGAGTCACGACTGGTGATTCTTCAAAATTAAGTGGGTCACTTGGTAAAATTGCAAACATAGAACTAACATACTCTGAAAATTTTTCAACAACGTCAACAACAGTAATGAATTGACATGGATAAAAATTTGGAGATTCGAAATTATTGAGAAGCATGCAGCACTCTACTGTATTATCAAACATTTCTTGATATTCGTTATTTTTTGAGTTCCATTCAATCTTTCTTAGGTAAGATTTAATTTGATTTTTTAATTTATCTTCGTTAGTTAAAATATATTGTAGTGCAAAAGAATCATCGCTTATAAAATCGAATTCTGATAATCTGTCATTAATTCTATCGCTAAAGTTTACTGTGAAATCGCTGATATGAAAATCTGTTGCGTGCGTTTTATAGGCATCCCTTGAAATAGATATGAATTTTTGCCATTTCTTATCGATTGGTTCTTTTGCTTCTGCTTCTTTTAAAGTTTTTTTGAGAATTTGATTAGGGTTTGATGCAAACGCTTCAACGCGTGAGTTTATCAGGCTCAAAGGCTCCGTATCAGATGGAGTTAAGGTTTTTCTATCATAAAATCGAAGCGTTTCAAGATCTTTATCAAGTGGAAAGAACTTAGGAATCTCATGTTCCATTTCCACAGAGAAAATGAATTTAAACAGAATAACCATGGAAATAATAGTAATTGCGAAACAGTTAAGTTAGTTATGCAAGTTAACTATCAAACTTTTGCAAATGAAATATTGGAATAATTTCTAAAAACGCCGAAAAACATTTTGAAATAAAAATATATATAATAAACATAAATAAAATAAAATAAAATAAAATAATAGTTCAAGAATTTGTAACTGGTTGCTGAGACTTCGCAACTGCAGCTTGGATCTGAGGAGTGAGAGGAATTCCCATTTCCTGGAAGATCGCTGAATACTGGAGTGCAGTCTCCTCTTCCATGTCTCCTTCTTCGTCCCAGAGATCGTCTGTCAATCCATCCATCATCTCTGATTTCGTATCCATCATTTCGTTTTCCATCATGAATTTTTGCATGATGTGTTGCATCTGAGGAAGATTGACCATACGATTTAACTGGGCCATGGCAAGTGAAGCTCCCTTCAAAGCCATCATTGATCCATTCTGTGCCTTGATCAATGTAATACGGAGACCTAATGAATCAAGTGAAGATTTCAATTTCATAAATTTCTTCATTGCATTGCGATTTCGAACCATATCTTTGGCAAGCATCATAAGAATATCAAGATTTCCAGAATTTGCAGCCTTCTTCATGTCAAGTTTGAGCTTTCCTTCGGTACGCTGCAATCTTGTTCTTTCTCTTTCGATTTCCCTTCCTGCTTTCCTAAGATCAAGTCTGAACTGCTTGAGTCTTTCATCTGGTGATACCTTCTTATTGAACAAACCCATCTAGAATAATGAAGTGATAGTGAAAAATCAAATTTGAAAAGAGAAAACAGTTTATATGAAAATTGAGAGAAAATTATAACGCTTGGTAAATTTATGATTAAATATTGATCATGGAATCATATTGAACATTGTTGCATAAAATGATTTTATTTATTTGAATTTTATCAAAGTTTATCTCAAAATTGCGCTAGGAAAATTTACGATTTTGAAAATGACAAGTAGCATGAGACTAAAAGGATTTTTAGTTGATTTCGAAAATTTTATGATAAAAATTTTCGAAAAGTGCAAAATAATAAAGAGTGCAACTTATTAATGATACCAATTAATACAATGGTTCCGGCTTTATAATAACACAATATTGTTTATAACATTGATGGACAAAAAAAAGATTTCGTTCTTGTGTCTATGCAAATATAGCAATTTTGAACTATTGAGACATTGCATTTTAGGGACTAATTAAAGTATTTAGATCATAGAAGAGTTCAAAATAATTTGATGAAACAAAATGGATGAAGATTACAGAAAATACTAATAATCATTCAATTTATAATGAATTAGGTTATAGATTATGCATAAATGGAATTTATTATAAAAAATAGATAAGAAGACGGCAACTTTATGTGTAACGATTCTGATAAGGGAGGATAAACATTAAATTTCTGGATAAATGAAGTAAATACTTTAGGTGGACTAAAGTAATTATGTCAATTTGTTATTGTGAACGGATTTTAATTAAATACACGCAAATTGAATGTATTGTAGGAATATTGTTGGAATTGATAATTGAGTTATACAAAATATGAATGTCAAAGATATAGTAGTTTTAAGGGTTGGATAAAAAATGATGGAGTGGAAATTGTAAAAAGGAGAGATAGAAAAAAATTCAAAAAGATGAATAGAAAAGTTAATTTAATTAGATGAAAGGTTGATAAATAGAAAATTAATAAAATAAAAATAATTGAGGGAAACGTGAAAAATGTAAATATAAGATTCATTGAGCGAATGAGGTATTGGTAATGTTAATGAAATATTATATTAATTGAATTGAAAAATAATATTGAGGGATTATCGATGATAGCATAAGTAAAGTATATCAAATACAATAATGAGAAAAAAATCTTCGAATGTAAATATAAAAAATTTTATATTTTATTATCATTATATTATTTGATTGATATAGATATTAATGAAGTAATTTCACATTTGAGAATTTATGTCAGAAATTTAATAAAATTGATATGAATTTGAAATTTATGATGGGCTTCATTCAAAAAAATTGAAGTGGGAGAAAAATAAATTTGGAATGAATGAACCGTTCCAACATATTGAACGGGTAATAAAAGACGAATTCTAAATCGAGTATTTTTTTCAATTCAATTAACTCAAATGTTGAAATATTTAATTCGAAACATATTAATGCAATTTATATAAAATTTTATAAAAGACGTTGCGTAAAAAATTATTTGGTTTTTCAACAAATTAGATTTGTATATTCAAAAGACCAATCTCATAATTAACTTTTATTTTTGTGAGATGTTTTTTATTTATTCCTTTTTCTATTATATTCGTTGCCAAGTTGTGGTTTAAACATTAAATGATAGTCCATTAGTCTTAAATCGGACTTTCAGAAACTTTCTTTCATAATTGAATTATTATTTTTGTTTTTAATAATATTTAAGGAAGTCAATTTGGAAAATTGTTTTCACTTTAGGAGAATATAATTTTCCATTTGGAAAATTTAAAAAGTGAGACGCGCAGGATTCGAACTTTTTTAAAAGTTGATTTAAATGAATTTTAGTGTGGAATATAAGGATAATATCATATTTAAAATAAGAATATACTAGTTTAGGTGGTATTAATTTTTTCGATAAATTTGAGAGTATGTACGTTTAGGGCATGAAAAGTGTCAATTCGCTCAGCGAAAGCTGAGCTAGCTTCGTTCTCGAAAGAATAAGGAAGGAGTGAAGGAGAATGATACAGAAGTTGACACATTCATATCATTTCAACAAATTTTGATCAAATTGAAATTCAATAAAATTCAATTCAATTCAATTCATATCCTTCAGTCAGTACATTGATATCCTTCTGCATCACAATGATAACTCGTGCATCAATAGTTCTACAACTAACTCAGAAAAAACAAGATTATTACTTCCTGCTTACAGCTTTTAAAAAGTTTCGATGATAAAAATCACTCTACTCTCGTTTATCGACATATGGTGATAGTAGGTAAACATATTCTTATCGATATTAATAAAAATATTTTTACGAAAATCTTATCCAATTAGAGAGTTATTCATAAAGTATATGATAATTATAATTACTTTATCTTTGTTTTATCTTTGAATAAACAATTTAATTTAAATTGCATAATATTTTTTGGTTGAAAGACAGGAAACTTAGTTGAGTTTGTATTATTTTTATCGTTTAATTCATCGTATCAGTGAGTGATCCAGATATTTAAGATATTTAGAAAAAAAATTATTAATTTGATTAACAAATTTTAATCAAAATAGCAAAAATCTATTTGATAGCTGTAAACAAACAATAATTTTTATTTCAAGCAAAATCACTTATTTTCATCTAAACGTATAAAATTGTCAATTTTATGAGAATAAATTGAAAATCTCATGAAATGTAAAGGAGAGTAATATTTTTCAATTTTCTTTTTTTCTTTGTCTCAAATATTTTCTGTTGGGAATTTTCTTGTTATCAAAAAATAATTTTAATATTTGTTTATTTCATTACATACAATAGAATTTTAAAAACTCAATTTCTTCTCAAGAAAATTTTTTCCTTCATATGAAGAAACATTTTGTTCTCCATTTGATACTGAGTCTAAATCTCGATTTTTGAATTTTCTTCTTTCCAAATTAGAAGTTTAATTTAAATTTTCAATAGTTTATATATTTTCTCAAACAGTCTCAGATTTTCTCACTTTTTAGGGATTTTCTCTCAAAATATACAAAAATAGTAATATCGATACATGTGTCTAATATACTTTAAAACCATCGTGACAAAATTTAAAAACGAAGAGTTCTTCTCTCCAAATTTTTTTCAAAATCAAAAAAAACGAGATAAAAAAGTACGTTTGGAAAATTCATTTTTAGCATTTTAGGAATTTTCTCGCTTTTCTTCCAAATTGACATCCTTAATAATATTTTTCAATTGTTAACCCTACATATAATTACAAAGAAAATACTTTTAAAAATATAATCGAATTTTATTCGTGAAATTGATCACTACATTAGCTGTCTATTCTATCGATATTATTTTGATCCAATTTGAATGCCTTGTCAGATGATTTTCTCAAATTATTTGTTTCCTTTCAAATCATCGTTAACAATTTCTATACAAAAATTCAAATAAAATTCTCAAGCAAAATATTAAATTAATTTATAGTACTTATAAATATTTAATGATTTTATTTTTTTAATTCAATTCAAAATTTCTTTATATAAAACATTATTTTTCAACTATGGGAAAAGGCCGTAAGATGTTTCGCAAGAAAGCCGCTTGGGTAACATATAAACTTGATGATAATGAAGAATTCTACCAACTTAATATTAAAGGAGAGCTCATCAAGCAAGACAACAAGATTCTCCCACATCATGTTGGTCCAATCCAAATTGGTATAAAAGTAGAAACATCCGAAGATATATCATCACCTAGTGAACCAGAAGCTGAATTAAAAAAGGATGAGTTACCTGTGGTGAATAGGGACGAAATTGATATCTTTTCAGATATACTGGACAGTCATTTCCAAGAATTTAATATTCAGCCGCAGCATTTTATGCAGAATGAAGTGTTTTCTTCTAAGGGAACGAACTTTTGGGTAGCTGGTCTAGATTACGAACCTCTCTTCTTCCTTTGAATGTTTTGATGCAATTACTTTAAGTACTTGTTACTTATTAAAATATATATACTTTCTTTCGGTTAAATGTATTGTTTTTTTAATTCTAATTTTTCAAACGAATGATTTTATGATTTAAGAATAAGATAATCAAAAACCATTTAACTGGTTCACGTTCCTGTGTTTTCAGCAGATCGTGTAAGAGGTATAAATTCAAAATCGAGAACCTCACAAAGTCGATTCACTTTTTAATTCAAATTTTATTGGGCCATAAATCAGTTTTGAGAAAAGAGTCGGTCAGTGCTGACTAACGAACTACATGATTTAATGCACATTCATTGAAAATAAAAAATGAAGTGATCTGCATTTATCCTTATTTTAAAAAGCTTGATTTTGATGTCGTGCTTTATGATTAGCATGATTTCAAAGTTTTGAAAATCTTCAAAAATATCGACTTCAATTTTTTTGACCACATTGAAATCCTTCTTCATAGTTTGTTTTTCATAATCTAGCTTCCTGATAACTACCCCCTTACATACTCAAGCCCAGGGCGTGATTTTAATTGGCAAAATTTTATTGAGACTACACTTCACTTTCATGTTCAATTCAAGTTCCAAATTCAAATTATAACCATATTCACTGACTTTATATTCAAAGGATTTTCAAAATTTCAGATACATTCAATTTGCTGACCGCCAAAAGTATACAATAAAATTAATCAAAATCAAGCACTTAATTATTGCTTCAATCATTTGATTAAGTAAAAGAGTCTTTTCTTTGATCTTGTTTCGTATTTTACAGATCTAATTATAATTATCAATTTTAATTGTTTAACAGCATATCTTATTCAATGTGAGTAATTTGGACATTCTTTTCTGAAATCGATAAAGATTTTGAAATTGTTCGGGCGCGTAAAGGGTTGGCGTCCTAAGGCGTCCTGATGTAAACTATTCAATTTTTGAGAAGTTTACACCATAATTGAATAGTTTATGGCGTCCTGAGAGGAGATTTCAATGGGTATGGCGTCCTAAAAAAATAGAAGAAAATGATTTTTTCTCGATTTTTCTAGAAATGAGAGAGGGTCAAAGTTGCTATTTGTCACTTTTCCACAAGAATATAATGGGGAAAAAGTTATCATATAGTTGATCTCATTCAGTGAAGTGAGAGATGCATGTAGTGTAATGTGATAAACAGTGGGATTGCTGCTCTAAGTCCTAGGTTCGAGATACATTGGTTTCATTTTTCTCTTTTTTATTGACGTAAACTATTCAATTTTTGTGTTATCCATTCAAATTTCAGAATTTTTTTTGCAGATTTCACGCTACATTCGAAGTTACCTTGTTGCATGCTAAGATCAGTCATAATGTAAACCTCTCAATTTTATTGTCGTGGGAAGTATCTCAATTCCTTCAAAAAAATTGAAAAACTATTTAATTTTAAAAATATAATACTTTTAATTAGTTAATTAATTGGAGATATTTTTAAAAAAATCACTTTTGATAATACTTTTGAGAACTTTAATTAAAAATATATTCAAAAATATCCAGGATATCAAGAGGGAATTGTTCCTTATGAGGTATATAGTTATGATGTATACCTCATAAGGAACAATTCCCTCCTTAAAACGAGAAAACTTGTTCGAAATTGTTTATCATTTCGAAGAAGTTTTCTCGTTTTTAATAAGAAACTAATGGCTATGAGGCACTGATTATATATTAGTGCCTCACAGCCTTTAGTTTCTAATAGATAGCTGGGAAACTTTCTCCAAATGATAAGTTATTCAGAGAAAGTTTCCCAGCTATCAAGAGGGAATTGTTCCTTATGAGGTATATAGTAATGATGTATACCTTATAAGGAACAATTCCCTCCTTAAAATCGTAGACATTTTTATACTTATTAATCAACCATTCAAAATCATATTCCTCTGAAAAGTTATTTTATTAAAAATTTAGAATTTTAATAAATATAGAGTTTGAATTTCATACAATACCTATATATTTTCAATAATGGAATTTGAAAACCATTCTCAAAAGTTCTCAGAAAACCTTTTTTTCATTAATTTTAAGAAATCTGAGTATTAAATTAAGTGATAAATTCGTTTGACACTACTTTAATTTTTAAATTCAAAAAATTATATGTGCTTCTTAAAATGACTCAAAAAATTTTATTATAAAATAATATATAATATTAAAAATCCCACAACATTTTTTTACTTTACATAATCGTACTTCCTCGACGATTAATTTCCACTCAATTTCTATCGTTGACCGAACTTAGCATGCAACATTACAATGCATATAATTAATCAAAATAAAGTTGATTCGATCAAAGATTATATTGATTATTTCAACAAAGTTTGGTTGCCGCACTACAATTTAATATCTCAATATAATAATGCAACTGCAATATTCACTAATGATTGCCTCGAGAGTATGCATTCAGAATTTTATTCGTTAAAACATCCAAACATTTATGAAGCTATTAAGAAGATATCTCAAATCCAATTAGATAAATATAACGCCATCAAAAATAACCAGAAGATCGAGCGCCATATAAAAACCGTTATCACTGATAGCTACAAAAATTATATTCTTGACTGCTTTCAAAAAGAACTTGAGAAAACAATTTTTTCTATCAAACAATACAACGTAAGTGATCTTTCTTTGGCTCAGAACGAGATTTCTCCATATGGTTCCATAGAATCGAGTTCATTGTTCGAAAATATTCCAGTTCATGATGCAGATATACTCAAATCGATCGATCTAACAGATAAAGATACAATGATCACTAAGTTTATTAATGAAAAAAAGAAAAAATTATGGCATTATTTAATGAAACATTAAATCATCCAGATTTTAATTCATACACTCCAATTCAAACTAATTTTGAGCAAGCCGATACAAATCAAGGTTCAGATGCTCCAATTCGCTCCGAAAATTCAAATATTGCAGACTCTACAGATTTAGAACCAGAAAATCAAAACCATCCTTCTACAAATCAAATGTCTAGTAATCTAGAACATAAGCTGGACCTTCTTGATCATATTGAAAAACAATTATCGAAAATGCGCTCGTTATTGGGAATTCTTCCTACTACAAATGCTATTGTTGGGCCGTCAAAACAAGTTTCAGTTAATAGCAAGCAAAATTCTGAAAAAAATAAGAAAAAATCTTTCCATAACAAAAAAATCAAACAATAAAAAACAAAATTCATCCGACAATCCTCCTAACGTAAAGCTCCTATTTTCGGAAAGGATTCTCAGCGATAATAACTTATATTTTCAAGTTTCATCGAAAGAGATCGAAAAGCAAACGTTCCACACATCTACAGAGAAAAAGAATTGATATATGAAGTCTAATTCCTTTTATAACTACTATATTTTTATTCTTATGACTAAAAATAATATATTATTTAACAATTTTCATTTTTTCTTTTACAATTTCGTTTTATTTCCATTATTGTTTAAATGATTTTTAGCATACACCTTTCTTGTTTACTTCTAAATACAATTTATTTTTCTTAGATATAATTCTATTCATTCAATTTGATCGTCATTTTTCAGTACATGATCGTAATTTTCAATTATTGATCGCGATTTTACTTCAGAATTTGTTCGCAATATTGCTTATCAAAATTATATCTCTATTCTCTCATTTCTGTTTAGTCAATATCATTACACTCCTATTGTCTAATAACATGCTATTAATTTTCTTAAAATTAAAAAAAATATCAACTTTTAAAAACAGAAACTTAACATGTTGCATGCTAAGTTCGGTCAACGATAGAAATTGAGTGGAAATTAATCGTCGAGGAAGTACGATTATGTAAAGTAAAAAAATGTTGTGGGATTTTAATATTATATATTATTTTATAATAAAAATTTTTTGAGTCATTTTAAAGAAGCACATATAATTTTTTGAATTTAAAAATTAAAGTAGTGTCAAACGAATTTATCACTTAATTTAATACTCAGATTTCTTAAAATTAATGAAAAAAAGGTTTCTGAGAACTTTTGAGAATGGTTTTCAAATTCATTATTGAAATATATAGGTATTGTATGAAATTCAAACTCTATATTTATTAAAATTCTAAATTTTTAATAAAAATAACTTTTCAGAGGAATATGATTTTGAATGGTTGATTAATAAGTATAAAAAATGTCTACGATTTTTAAGGAGGGAATTGTTCCTTATGAGGTATATCATAACTATATACCTCATAAGGAACAATTCCTCTTGATAGCTGGGAAACTTTCTCTGAATAACTTATCATTTGGAGAAAGTTTCCCAGCTATCTATTAGAAACTAAAGGCTGTGAGGCACTAATATATAATCAGTGCCTCATAGCCTTTAGTTTCTTATTAAAAACGAGAAAACTTGTTCGAAATGATAAACAATTTCGAACAAGTTTTCTCGTTTTAAGGAGGGAATTGTTCCTTATGAGGTAACATCATAACTATATACCTCATAAGGAACAATTCCCTCTTGATATCCTGTATATTTTTGAATATATTTTTTTAATTAAAGTTCTCAAAAGTATTATCAAAAGTGATTTTTAAAAAATATCTCCAATTAATTAACTAATTAAAAGTATTATATTTTTAAAATTAAATAGTTTTTCAATTTTTTTGAAGGAATTGAGATACTTCCCACGACAATAAAATTGAGAGGTTTACATTATGACTGATCTTAGCATGCAACAATCGTAAAAAAAGACGAACACGATTGAAATAGTTTTTAGAATTAAATTTTAAAATATTATTAAAGAAAACTATATGTAGATTATAAATAACCAAAAATCTGATTTGATATGAATTTTGATAAAACGATTTCCGGGCCCCATGAAATAAAATTTAACAAAATACGTATTATCCTAATAATATTGTGATGTGTTTTATGGATTTTTGTATTTTTTAGACTTATCGCAAAACTTTCACATTTCTAATAACCAAATTCGGTAGCTTGGATTTGCAGTATGCTATCTCGTACAATCCAAAAGATGTTGATGCTCATTTTTTACAATTTGGAACCGAACCGAATCAATTGAAACCAAAATTTTGCAAACCTATAGTTTTTGGAATGCTTACTATGTGGATGGTTTCAATTTTTATACGAAACTCAAGTTTCATCATTTAAACGATAGTAACCGAAAACATTCATTACATCTGATTCAATGCAGACTAAAAACATTTTCTAAATCTCCAGTGGTACTTAGCGAGACAAAAAATCTTCAATTAAGTATGGATACATGCAATAACAATCTTTTAATATCGATTTTTCTCTCTATTTCATTATAATTAATGAAATTTCATATTCAGATAATATAACAATGGACATTTAACCTTGATACATTTCTAAATATTATCATACATCTTCAATTATTTCATTAAATGCAGAAAAATAAAATCGAATATTAATTCCAAAAAAAGATCGTGTAAGATTACATTTAATGCAATTTAATTCTCTATATGCTATTCATCCAAATTCTTTTACATGCTCACTTTAATGATATATAAAATAAATATAATCTGAAGAAATTAATAAAATTCGTTTAAATGAGAATCAATACCGATTTATAGGATATATGTTATCAACGACCTATGGAAAATGCTTATACATAGACTCGTGGTAGTGATGAATGTAAGATCTGTACGAATCACTGAAATCTATACCTTTTCCATAACAGTTGATATTGAAGTTACCAAAAAAGACCCAAATGTAGCATTGAAGTTTGATCTCTTAAAAAATTCTTTTCAATTACAGAAAATGTACTTGAAAACTTCCTAAATTAATAACTTTCCAGTCGACAATGATATGTTTTTAAAATTCATTGATAGAAATGAGATAACTATCTTGCCAAGCTAGGTATATTACCTTAAAAATATCAATCAATTGTCATGACTTTAGTCTTACGTCGTACATAAACTTTGACAACATAACCCCACTTCCCTAACACTTGCCAGTCAAAAGAAGTACTTGAGGGAATTAATAATTTTATTGACTCAGTAACATCTTAATCGTAGAGATTGATAATTGCCATCAATTATTTAAATTGTATATACAGAACCGGAAGCAGAAAGACATCTACACTCTTCTTCTCAAGCAGATCGATTTTGCCTCATTTAATGTCTCAAAATACTCATGAACAGGAGTATTTCGATAACCTTATCAAAATGATGACAATAAAATGTTTTGGTTACAAAAATGTGATCCATATTCTAATAATACACATAAATATATCCTATATAATATATCATATAGATCTAGAAAACGCAAACAGTCGCCAAGTAAGCAAAGCATTCAATATTAAATACAATATCAACACACAAAAAATAGATTGCTATTAAAACAATGAATCTGATGTTTCCCACGCCATTACCATTTGATTTAAATTTATTATATGAAGATTCACCAATCCAGTATGATTTTCCTAGATTTTCATAAAACTGTTGAAATTATATGCATGAATTGTGCGCATGATAAAGTAAGGAATAAGATGGTTGATAAAAAGTGGTATCACACCATGAAAGTTTTTCGCCCCTAACGTTATAATTGTTTGCTTGAAAATTATAATATGTATAGATATTGATACTACATGATTTGAATTCTGAAACTGTACATATGACATAAACGCCATGGCAGTCAAATATATAGGCTTGGTTACCTGATAACCCAAAGAAAGTGTAATAAATTTTGTAGATGGAGTATTTGTTTAACCACAACATATTTACAAGCATTGAAGCATGAAGATCGTAAATTATCATAATAAATGGAATCTGGTGTGATGTAACAAGAATTGAAACTTATTTTTCCAAACATTATATATAAGTATACTTATTATCTATGTGAATATTTGCTTAAATTTGAATATCGTATCAAGTCTTGTTTGGCTGTAACTGATGCAACATTACTATATCTCGTATTCCAAAGGAGCAGTATTTAGTGAGTTCTTGAATACCGTCCTATCTTGAGGGTTAAATATGAAGTCAATAAGGGTGAAAAGTTGCTTACAAACCTAAAGATATTTGAGGAAATGATGTATACTTTTGTAATTGATTTCTCTACATTAAGAATTAAATCACTGGATGTGTTGTGTATAAGAAGATAATATTAGATATTTCAATGAGAATGTAATTTGAAGTATTGAATTACTAAAATTAGAGAATAATATCCATGATAAATAATAGAAACTGTTTCACTTAAACTTAGAACAGCTAATAAAGAAAACATAACAATACCTTGCTTGTCAAAGTATTATAGAAATGAATTAAAATTTCAAACCTTGATTCTATTTAAATAAAAATAGAAAGAGGAGAATAAATTTTATTTAGCCAATGTGGAAGTATAACAAAGAGGCTATTATGTTACAAACATTTCATTCAAAAATTATATTAAGAAATTTGTTCAAGATTTCAAGGAAGGAATTGTAGGGAAGATAAATGGACTCTCTTTTCGAGCTTCTTTAACTATAGGAAGTATCAAAGGAGGAATAATATCGATTGCAGTATGTTTCTGGAAAAATGGCGGTGGATTATCCCTGAAAAGTAACGGCTGTTGTGGTGGAGGAAGTGGAGGGTTAATAACCTTTGCTGATTTGATTTCTCGCGAGAAAGTTTTTTCAAATGTTGGTTTCTCTGAGACAGCATCGATTAGTTCTTGTATATTTCCAACAGTCTTTGTAGATAGGTCGAAATTTGTCCCGTCTTGAAGTAGTTTCTTCTTAATCTTCTTTAGTCGGGAATCGAAAATGAAAATATTTCCTTTTCTATAGGTAACATATGAAAGAAGAGAATGAACCGTTCCTACTTTCTGGAAGGTAGCGATGAAAGAAAATTCCTCCATTTTCATATGAGCAATAAAAGAAACTGTATTGGATTCATTCGTGCAGATCATCTCTTCGATGCTTTTGAATGGTGTACCACCGATATAATTTTGCATAGCCGACGTGTAAAGCGTACGTAGTGGATCAAATTCGTATTTTCTATTAAGAATAATGGTATTTGGCTTTACGTAATGAATATGTGGGAAAATTTCTGATAAGCAATTATTCCAATGTTGTTGGATGCAAAGATCAGCAATATCGTTGTATCTTTCGGTTTCACGAGATACACATATTTTATATCCAACAGAGTTAAGTACTTTGCATATTGCGACGATGACAGTATTAGGAACACCTGATAACTGATTTTTACGATATCGACGGAAATCATCGCCGAAATTTGTAAATGTATTGAGAATCTTTTGAAGGCTCCTGGCATCAACAGGCCCAAGTGAATTCATTTTTAATTTCAATGTCTCAAGAAGACTAGTATTCGAACCCTTCGACATTGAATAATTGTCAAAAAATATCATCTTTCAAAATTGTGGGTGAGTATGAAAAATAATATTAGCATATATTGATTTAAAGTAATAAATGTATGTAAAATTTAATCATTTAATTTTGAGAGAAAAGACAAAAAAAGCCGGACCTGTTTTGACTAAACGAAAGAAAATTATATAAGCATGCTAAAAATAAGCATTGGCAATATTTGTCAGCCACTTTTATTTACATAAAAATTCAATTCGAATACAAATTAAAGAACCATATAAAAATTATGACATTTATTTTTATAATAATCACAGAATATTTTAAGGGTGCACACGAGAGGATCATGTAAACTTCAGAATTTAGAACCTTATTTTTAGGCATTATCTTGGCTACCTATTTAGGCTCGAAAAGCAAAAAATATCAAAAAATACAACTTGACTCCATTATGACCCTTTCATGGAGGTAGTTTTTATCCGCTAGTATTTTCCCTTTGAATCTCTTTACAATTCGAAATCAAATTCAAATCTCAATAGAAGAAAGGAAGAATCGACTTACTACGGTTGTAATACGAATAAATACATATATTTAATTATTTTTATTTACATAATAATTGTTTGAAGCTCATATTCCATCAAATTTTTAAATAAAAACATTAAAATGTTGAAAATGTTCATATATTTTAATAGGGTTTTGGCACTTTATTGAGGAATTACTACATACATAGTCGAACTGAACTTGATATTTTGAAATTTAAATTATTTATCAAAATTAAAATTTAACTTGAATTTTATAATTATTTAGTCATATTTTGCATAATTCTAAGTAGATTTTGTAAAAAATCAAGAAAGAAAAATTTTAAGGGAGGCTTCCGACCAGAAAGCTTTCTCAATTTTTTGTGATGTTTACACCAAAAGTGAGATTTGTTAAGCGTTTTTCTCGTTGAATATTGAGTTTCCCGGATTTTGAGTTATTCATAAAGCTCCTCTATATTATACCCTATCTACTGATATGATTATTTTTGAAAAATCTCTTAAATCGACCTGCACTGAATTTTTTAGGGAAAATTCGAAATTTTCTAGGCGTTTTCTGTAACGTTGATTTACGGAATAAAATCCGAAAAATAATTTTTTGAAGAATCATTTGGGTAGAATACTTATCGAAAATTATATTTATTATAATTTTGGTCGATAAAAATAAGCGGATTCAAAACTGGCAAAAACCCTTTCGGCAATTTGTGGATGATTCCGAACCCCCTCATTTTTGAAATTTAATAAGAAAAATAGAATCTTTATTAAATATAGATTTTAAAAAACTTGGTTATAAATTACGAAATTTTCTCACTTGGGCTAAAAAGTGACAATTTGGTCGGAAGCCACTCTTAACGTGCTTTATTTTTTCTTTTTTATAATAATACATATTATTATATAATTAACATATTCATAATGTTTCACCCTTTCAAAAATATAATCCTCCTCCTCTCAAATAAACGTACATACGGGTGGCCTCTTTTTTCAAAAAATTAAAATTTGAAATTTTGGGCTCAAATATTAGAGATTTTTTCAACCTTCAACGATATATGTTGTCTATATCAGACCTCCTTTCTTTTTGATACTTAACATTGTTCCTAAATCTTAGCCGTTAAGGCTGTTCTGAAAATATTTTTTTTTCGAAAAAATTCGAAAAAAATTCTTAAAATTCAAGGATTTCATGATTAATAATGTCACGAGTATCTACCTTGTATTGTTAAATATAATTTCTCTCTCTTTTTAACTTCGTATGTGTTATCAATCAAAGATTTTTCATTATTGGATTTTTAATTTTTTGAACTTTAATTCAATAGGTTTCCAAACTCTTTGAATTTTGCTTTTTCGAAATTTTTATAAAAAGTGGAAAAATCGATGTAATTCACTGTGTATGAATGACCTATCTAAAAATATTATTTCAATATCAATTGTAAATTTCTTACAAAATATACCTGTGTGAGTAACCCATATATAATTTCATGTTAGATAATACTTTACATTTCGATTGAAAAGATGTTAAATAAGATTTTCATTATAATTCTATCTATTATACTATACTGAGCCTCTGACAAGTTGTTGGGGAATTCAATCATTCGCCATGTCGCTCAGAATATTTGAGAATATCGGTTTTACGGGCATTGAAAAATTGGGAATAGATTTGAACAGAAGTATCTCATCACAAATTATCCTCGAAGCGTATTAGAGCATGACGAACTACGTGAATGTTATCCAAGTAGGTGTATCAATGCTTTTAATCATTGCTGTTGGATTTATCCTCGCCAAATTAAAAATAGTTACACTCAAAGATAGTGGTTCCTTAAATGGAGTTGTTTTCTTCATCGGTTTTATGCCGCTTATCATCAGAGGTATTGCCCCCAAGAAATTAAAAGAGTTAGACTTCCAACCTTTCGGTATCGCAGCCTTAATGTCGATTTCAACTTACATTTCAGTTGCTTTTATGATGGTTTATCCCTTCAAAGATCGTCTTCAAGCATACCTCAGTACAGTTTTCCCATGCGCATACATTAATTACATCATTTCCGGTATCCCTGTTTTCAATGCTCTCTGGCCCGCAAAAGAGAATGTCATGGTTTCAATGATGATGATTTCTAACGATCTTATTTCATCACCAATCTTCTTAATTATGGTTGGTATCTACGGAGTTGTCGCATCAAACAGAAAAAGAGTTGAAAATGGCTTACCGCCTGAAAAATTCTCATTCGCAATCATTGGAAAAGTTCTTCTTGGTGTTATCAAATCTCCTATTCTTATTGGTAACGTAATCGGTATCATTTACTCCGCTTGCAATATCCAATATCCGATTTTCCTTGATAGACTCTTCCAATATGCTGGTGATATGGTTTTCGCCCTCGCTCTTGTCTGTGTTGGCGTCTTCCTTGCTCAGCACTCCCTTATTTCTTGCGGTTGGTTACAATTCATCTTTTGCATCATTGTTAGATGCTTCATTGGCCCAATGTTTGCAGGCTTATGGTGCAAGGCTCTTGGTATGAGTGCACACGTTGCTAGACAATGCATGATCATCGGTGCACAACCAACGGCCGTCGCATCTTATGCTATTACATCTGGCGCTCATCTTGGTGAAGGTTGCGCTTCAACAATGATTTTCTGGACTACTGTTCTTTGTGTCCCAACACTTATTGTTTGGTTCTCAATCCTCGATGGATTGAAGATTTATGTTGAATAATTCTTGTTATTAAATATTAGAGATCGATCCTTCTTTTTATAATTCTTATGATTTTTTAGATCATATCATCAAAGAAATAGAGATTTGAAATTATCAAATCACAATTTCACGAAAATTAATATGAGAAATATTGTTCTTTCTTGTTCCTGAAATGGGTTATAGAAAGAAAAGTTTATGCGACCATTTTAAGGTAGTCACAAAATCTAAGTAGTGAGGCTCTCAAAAATTGAACCGTACTCCATACAAAATTTGTGTACCCTCACTACTTAGATTTTGTGGCCTTCAATTGAGTGGTTAGTTTTGATAGAGCACGTTATAAAATTAAAAGGGAAAAATAAATAAAATTTAGACATTTAATTATATATAATGTAAGGAGTGTAATTCCAAATTTTCTAAAAACTATTCAAATTTGAGCATTTTTTTGGAAATAGTAAATCTAATATGTACATCTAATAACAACATGATTCATCACCTTTTCAAGCTCTGCAGTCAATTTTTTGAAATTTGATTGAAATAAATGTAGCAAAAATTACATTTCATTAGGGAATATATGAGTTTCTCTGGAAACAGGCTGATAAATTTTAAATTTTGTCCAATCACCATGAATGCATTGAGAAATTTGGATTGATTTTCTGGTAGAATCTGGAACAATTCAACCATGTATAAATGGATCATGTAATCATCATGAAATGTTAGTGTTAGAGTTCAAAAGAAACAGAATGAGTGGAAATCAAACACAATCTGAATAATTTTAAACGTATACAATCTTTAAGTTTGTATTTTGAATTCTACATATATGATTGTGTAATTCGTTGTTTCAAATTTTCGGATTCAGGCATGTTTTGATAAAATTCATTCCCAAAAACGTCAATTAACAATTAAATTTAGTGTATTTTAAATATATATACGTATTATATTTTATAAATTATATTAAATTCGCAAAATTTTAAGTTTTAAACAAAAATAAAAAATGTTCAAAATATGAAATTATGCATAGGATATTAAAATTTACATGTTAGCAATTTTTTTGAATTGCTTTCAATTTTCATATTGAAATTTTTAAGATTTTTTTCTGAAATAATAAGCAAGAATATCAACCGAAATAATATTAAATTCCATGCGTTAATTTCCCCTCAAAAGTCATTGACCGCCTCTCAATCTAGATTTTGTGAGTACTTTATGTAAAAATAGAAGATGTTTATAAATGTTTCCGAATATTATCAAATTTTGATAGTATTTGAGATGAAACGCGGGGATAATATTGAACCATTAATTTTTTCATAGGGTATTATTTCAAATACATGTAGGATAAGATATATGATCAAAATTTTGGAGAAAATTTAGTGATGATAAAAATTATATTTGTCAATTTTTCGATTTGAAATGAACCTTTGATTTTTCAGAGTTTAGAGAGGCCAAGGAAATGAGGCGCTCCCATTCAAGGACACGCCACGAAGATGACTCTTTCTCTGACAGCAATTCTGATACCGCTTTTCAGCTCAATCTCGCAGAGGAAGAAGAGCACAAAAATCAACAAGATTCAGACGAAGCTTCTCAAGAAGAGATCTCTCAGACTACAACGAGTTCTGATGATGAAGCTTCTTCTGAAAACTCATCAAAATCACCTTTTGAATATATTCTTGGTTACAAACTTGAAGATGAAACTAATAATGAAAAAATGCTTTTTGTAAAATACAAAGGAAAAGCCTATATTCATTGCGAATGGATTCCTCTTTCAAAATTTTTGTCTTTTCCTGAAGCCAATCGCCAATGGAAACGATATGAAAAGAAAAATCCATATCCGCCTCCGGAGCCTTATTATGATCAATCATATAATGAACCGGAAAGAATCATTGCAACAAAAAAGGAAAACGAACAAACTTTATATTTAACAAAATGGAAGAACTTAGACTACAATTACTGCACGTGGGAAGATAATATGGACCAATCTCTTATTGATTCATTTTATAAATATGACTCAGTTACAGAAGAAACTCAGTTCAAGAAGCCTTCAAAATCTCAGTTCAAGCCAATTGAAGGGAACCCCACATATAAAAACGGACTCCAGTTATTTAATTACCAGCTCGAAGGAGTCAACTGGCTTCTTAAAAACTGGTATTCGGATATCAACTGTATTTTAGCGGATGAAATGGGTCTTGGTAAAACAATCCAAGCCGTGGCATTCTTCGAAAGAATACACCGTGTTGAAAAACTACCTGGTCCTTACATGGTTATAGCTCCTTTGGCTACACTCCCTCATTGGCAGAGGCAGATCGAATCATGGACTGATTTATACGTTATTAGATACACAGGCAACAGACAAGCAAGAGAAATGCTTCGAGAATACGAATTTTACAAATCAAACTCGGAACAAGTGAAGTTTGATATATTCCTTACATCATACGAAGTTCTTTATAAAGATGTTGATGAACTTCGCCACTTCAAATTCCCTGCTTTCGTTGTTGATGAAGCTCATAGACTCAAAAACAAGAATTCCAAGATCTTATCCGCAATCCAACACTTGAAAACATCATTTAGAGTACTTCTTACCGGAACACCACTACAAAATTCCATAGAAGAACTGCAATCTTTGTTGGAATTTTTGCATCCAGGCGAATTCTCCGATTTAAACAACGACATGGATGCACAAGATATTCAAAAACTCAGAGTCAGACTCCAACCACATCTCCTTCGTCGATTAAAGGTAGATACAGACCAATCTATTGCTCCAAAGGAAGAAACAATCATTGAATGCACAATGACGAAATACCAGAAGCAGTTCTACAGAGCTATACTCGAACAGAACTCTTCTTTCCTTTCTGGAGGCACAAATTTACTGAATATCGCGATGGATCTCAGAAAAGTTTGCATCCATCCATTCCTTATCAAAGGAGCAGAGGACAAAATCCTCGCTGATATGGGATACACAAACCAACCAGATAAAGCTCTAGAAGCAATTATCAGATCCAGCGGAAAAATGATTTTAATCGACAAACTTCTGCCAAAATTGAAAGCTGATGGCCACAGAGTTCTCATTTTCAGCCAAATGACCAATCTTTTGGATATCTTACAAGATTATTTGGCCGCAACTGGCTACAAGTTCCTCAGACTTGATGGGCAGGTCAAGCCATCAGTCAGGCAATCGTTAATTGACCATTTCAACGCTCCAGATTCCGATGATTTTATCTTCCTCCTCAGTACAAGGGCCGGTGGCTTAGGTATCAACTTAAATGCAGCTGATACAGTCATTATATTCGATAGCGACTGGAATCCACAGAACGATTTGCAGGCACAAGCCAGATGCCACAGAATTGGTCAACAAAAGACCGTAAAAGTGTATCGTCTTATTACTAAAGGTACTTACGAGCAGAACATGTTCGAGATTTCATCAAAGAAACTCGGTCTCGGACATGCTATTTTAGATAAGACGAAAAAGAAGGAACTTGATACACTTTTACGTAAAGGAGCTTATTATGCATTGAATGATGTTGAAGAAGATACATTTGGAGAAGATGATATCGATCAAATTTTATCAAGATCGAAAACAATGGTCATAAACGAAGCTGCTGGTTCAATGTTCTCTAAGGCACAGTTCGATGTCGATGAAAACACTAATATCGATATCAACGACCCCGAATTTTGGCAAAAGATTTTACCAAATGCGCAAGCCGCCGAAGAAGAAGAGATTGGAGAATACGCAGGTCTTACCAATGTCAGAATCCGCAAGAAAGCCGATGTAAACTTCAAAGAATCCGATGAGGAAGAAGAAGGTGAACCTCCCCGGGGAAGTTGGTCGCACAGAGACAGAGAACGTCTCCAGCAACTGTTGTTCAGATATGGCTGGGGTCGTTGGGATGTCGCCCCTACTTTAGGACTTACCAGAACGATAAATGAAGTAAAATTGGCCGCACGTGCATTTCTGAGGACAATTATGGTTGCAGCACAAGATAAGACAGATATGGAGACAGCACAAATTCTTTTGGACGAAGGAAATTCAAAGGAATTTGACGATAAGTTTACAACGGAAGAAGAAGCTAAAGAAAGGGACAAAGAAATAGCAAATCTACTTCGAATCAACGAAGAAGAGTTTGTTCTTCAGATCCAGCACAACGCTGTTGCATGGATCAGACGTCTTGACGTTCTTTACTACATTTCACAAGTTGTAAACAAAGCGAATGGAAAAATTGAAGAATTAAACATTCCTCAATGCCACACACAGCCGCCAAGTCAATGGTGGAGTGAAAACGATGACAAATGTTTAGTCATGGGAACTTATAAATGTGGATTCGCTTGTTACGACAAGATGCTCAATGACACAGAAATTCCATGGTCATTGGTAAAAGACAAAACATTGGATCCTCCTTCAACAGCGAATTTGACACCAAGATTAAAGAGAATTGCCATCGATATAAGGAAGATGTTGAATGGCGAATTGTACGAAAACAACCCTAACTACAAGGCAAGAAAACCAAGAGGCCCAATGACATGGAAGAAGAGGGATAAAAGTGCTGTTGTCCAACAATTGCAACATCAAGGAATTCCTCTGAAAGAAGATGGTGAATTCGACTGGGAAAAGTTCAGAGATATCACTGGATTCACAGAGAAAACAGATGAAGAAATGGAACAATACGTAAAGAACATCTTGGACGGAAAAGATAACGACGAGAAAGAAAAAGAACAGAAACAAAATACAGAAGAAAAATCTCAGGAAAATAAGGAAGAACAAAAAGAGGAAGTAAAAAGTGACAGAAAAAGTAAACCTCATAGTGAACCAAAAAGTGACAAGCCTGAAACTGAGAAAACAGAGGAAGAGAAGGAAAACGAAGGAAAAACAGAAGAGAAAGAAGAAAAGGCAGATGAAAAAGGAAAGAAGAAGAGCAAGAAAGCATCAGAAGGCGATGAAGACAATCAAGCAAATAGATTAAAGCAAAGAGTAGAGAGTTTGACAAGATTAAGGCGTTTATTCATCAAATACGGTGATGACAAGCTCAAAGAATACTTCGAAACAATGCCAAGATGGAGAAATGTTCCTAATTTGTGGACAAATGAAATTGAATTTAAGTTTTTCAAGAACATTGCAGAGAAAGGATGGGGCCTTTGTGCAGAGATCCTCAAACAGGAAGAGTTCGTCCCTATTGTCGGTGAAAAACCTCCACAATTTGTCACAAATGATATCCGAGTCATGAAAAGACTCATGGTTTGCTTAGATTTGATAGAGAACACTCCTTTAGAACAACTCAAGGAGCAAGATGCCGCTAGAGTTAAGCGCAGACCAGCTCCATCAAATGATACTTTGCCAATGCCATCTCTCAAGCTCAACGAAGATGGTTTACCAGATCTACCTTTGCTTCTCACCGCTTCATCCTCAATTTTGTCTTTCGGTACGATCGTATGGGACCGACCAGGTTTCCACACAGAAAAGTACATTTATCCGGCCGGCTACAAAATTACAAAGCTTTACAGATCTACGATCAATCCAACAGAAAGAGTAAAGTACATTTGCGAAATTATTGACAATGGTGGCCCAGGACCTCTGTTCAGGGTTACCAATGAGAAGAACCCTGAAGTATTCTTCGAAGGAGCAAGTCCAACTAGTCCTTGGTCGATAATTCTCAAGATTGTTCAGAAATTGAGAGAAAACGAAGCTGCAAAGCAGTTAAGTATATCAGGACCTGATTACTATGGTCTTGCTGCACCAGAAACTATCTACGTAATACAGCATATGAAGAATGCGGACAAATGCGAAGGATATGTCTTCAGAGAGTTCTCAGAAGCAGATCCAGCGCAAAAGCCTCCAAGAAGACAGTCGAGGAAGCAGAGTAATCCTGCAAATACTGCAAATCCTGCTCCAGTTAACCCAATTCCGAAGCAAGACAACAAACAAATGAACTTCTTCGTGAAATACATCGCCCCCCAGGCCAACCCGAATGTCAACCCTGAAGCAAGTAGAATGGCTCTCCAATACATGGCTCAGCAAAATCCAAATGTAAATAATTTGTCACTTTTGCAGAGGGGAATTCCTCCTGGACCCCAAATTCTTCAGATACCCCCTCAATTACAGGCAACAATAAATATTCCTCCTCCGCCACAAATTCCTCAATTAGGAGGTCCGCCACCTACATCATTACAGCCAATGGCACAACCTCTTGGCCCTCCTTCTATCTTGTCATCAATTCTTCCACCTCCACCTCCGATTTCTAATGTAAAGGTAGAAAGCCTCGTCAGTCCAATGTCTACACCTACAATGATGACTCCAGAGAAACCAAAGGCTTCTCCAAAGGTAATTATCAAGAGCCATCCTAAAGTAATTGGAGCTCCAAAGATTGTTGACAAGCAGGAAGAGGAGAAACCAAAGAAAGTTGGAAGTCTATCTATAGAAGACATGCTCAAGTAATTTCATGCATTTGTTGTATTTTATTTGCATCATATTTGTTGTTCTTTTTTGTTGTTTATTTTTATTACAAGGAAATAAAAAACTTTTATTTTTAATTACCCATTTTTAATAAACCCCAATATCTCAGAAATTATACTTAATATTTTTCATCAAAAACAGATTTTATTGTTTTTATCATTCAATAAATTCATCCTTTACAATTTTTAATGGAATTTTACTCATATGTAGCTAATTACATTATATAAAAGACAAAATTCATACGAAATATTTGATTGATTGCATGAAGGGCTATAAAACTCAGGTGGGGTTAGTACAGAATGATACTTTAAAATCATGAGTGGAGATTGTGCCTCCTAAAACGAATTCAATGATCTATCTTGAGGTTATATACCAAGAATTAAAAATTGTGGTACCATTTGTATTTCAGACCCTTTTTTGGATTACAAGCAGAAAATGGCTTTTTCAGCTCATATTATCATAGCAGATGAATGCCATAAACTGCAGACGGAACTGCGGAAGAGTTCCCAGCGATCACTATATCCTGAAATACAAACAGACTTCTTAAATCTAAAAACACAACTTTGGAGAGTGAAATATGAGGAATTTCCGCAATCAGATATATTCAATCCATTCAAAAACCTACTTTCACATAAGCTTCTTACAGATGCAATTGCATTTAGTACATTAAATTCCCTTCAAAGTTTAATAAAATACAATATTTTTACAGAACCCGATACAATATATGACATAATAACAACAATATGCCAATGCAGATACCAATCGACATCTGAATTTGATCTATCTCGTTGTTCTCATCAAATTTTATCATGTTTTCAGTCATTTTTAAGCCCAGAACGTATAAATAACTTATCAATCAAAACATTACGCTGCATATTAGACTTTTGCATTGCTGAAATCGAACATTTACAAGGAATGATGGAACTTCCTTTCATTTTATTGGATACTTTCTCAACATTCATCATATATGTATTCGAAAAACAAGATAATTCATTTGACTCGTTACGAAAAGAAGCAATTTTATCGATTTTTTACATTGCAACTTCATTTCAAAGCGACCATCACCCTGTTGCACGTTTTGCAGCAATGTCAATACTGTTATCAATCTCTAGATCGAATGTTTACGGCGATAAAACGTTTTTAATTGCTGCTTCTTGTGTTTTATTAAATCAACAAATAGCTCTTAGTAATTCAAGGGAATGCTTCATGTTATCAATGAGAATATTCTTTAACATATTCAAAGATAATTGTTTCGAACTATTTTCTTTATTTTCTCCATGTTTTTCTTTGATATTAAATTATATTTTGTCACCAGAGCCGAATATTCTCTTCAGATCATCGGCATTCGAGACTGTATATGATTTCATATCCCAACCGATGTTTACTCAAAAGCTTTTTGCAAATACAGACAAAATTGAAAATTGTCCACGACTTTTTGACAAATTACTTGAGGTTGTCGTGTTAATCGCTAAGACACCATCCGGAATACCTGATTCCCAACAGATGGCGCTCAACGTAATCTCTGTTATCACACATCAGCTGTCAACAATTACAGGGCGGTTTGACGAGGCCGATATCATTGATGACAACGAGACAGAAAAAGTTTACAACGAATTTACGGTCGAATTTAATCAGAAATTTAAAAAATTTATCGAATTTGGAGACGCAAAAGAGCTTGCAAAGCGTTTATTCGTATGCGATGGAGTCACACCTAACAATATTGGCGAGTTTTTCGCATTAAAAAACGATTTCGCCATAGAAACTTTGAAATATTACTTAGATTTGTTCAAATTCGAGACAATGGACTTCGATGAGAGCATAAGGACCTTCCTTGTATCATTCAAATTGGCTGGAGAAGGTCAAATTGTTGATAGAATTTTAGATAATTTTTCTCAAAAGTATCACTTATGTCATCCAGGAGAATTTAAGTCAGCAAGTGCTATACATCTGCTCGCTTATGCATGGGTTATGCTACAAACATCAATGTTCAATAGAAATGCAACAAAAGATTCATTTGACCAGTTTCGCTCAATGTTGAGTGGCCAAAACGACGGCGGAAATTTCGATGAGGAGTTCTTAAAGCAGATTTACCAAAGTGTTAGTAGGTTTTCCGTTCCCGCTGAACAAGAACATAAAATAAATTGCCTTTCCTATTGGCATTTGTTACTTTTGAAGTCACAAGCATACAGTAAGCCTCTAAAATGTGAGAATGAAGTCATCAGCAAAACGAAATCCCTTTTTGCAAGAATGTGGACATCAATATCTCCAATTTTATCAGCCAGTTTCTTGCAGGCTCAGTCCAATTTCGATGATATCCTATCTCCATTCTTCGGAACTGCAAGAATTGCGTCCCTTATTGAAGCAACAGATGTTTTAGATTCAATTATGAAAACATTTTGTTCGTACGCTATCGGAGATTTTGCTCAGGAGAAGACACAGTGCGCACTCAAATTCGTTTCGGTCGTCGCTCGTGAGTTTGGAACTGGAATTCGAGAAATTGGCTGGAAAAACTACGCAGATGTCTTAGTTGCTCTGTTCCAACTTGACTTATTATGCGAGGAAATATGCGCAGAAACGAACGTTTGCGATGGAAACAAGCAGATGATACTTAGTCCGAGAATGCAACAAAGAAGTGAGAGAAGGAACTCTTCATCTGTGATGACAATGTTCAGGAGAATAGGGAGAAGTGATTCCGACTCCGAAATCAACCTCGGAGGAAGTCAACAAATTAAAATATTTATTTTTGAGACCGGAATTCACTCAATTGCCAAGCAATCGCTTAGATTTTCCTACAAATCCCTTCAAGATCTCATTAAAGCGTTCTCAGAGACCTCAAAAGCCATGGAAAACAATGTTGACACAAATTGTGTCTTTATTGCATTTTGTGTTCATGTTGTCTGCCAGATATCCGCTTCAAACTCACAGAGAATACAGAGTTTGTGGGAATCTGTCTATGGTTACATTAAAAATGTCTTCATATTAAGTATGACGACGAAAAGTGGCAAATTATTATCATCCTTATCTCTTAATTCATTATTTGTCCTTTTCGATGAATTATGGTGCGAAGATTGCATGAAAGAAACGATAATTGATTCATTAATAAATTTATCTAAGTTTGATTCCGCTTTTATCAAGCCAAACATAGATATAATCAACTCAGGATTATCTCTTTTCCTTCAGCATCACGCCAGCACCTTCATTCCCATATACAATTGGACTCCGATTCTTAATTTCATCAGTATCGGTGTAGATTGCAGAGTAGAGAATGGTGTAGGATATTTATTCCATTCGATTATTGCCAAACAGAACTTCAGTGCGCCAGGAGTTCCAGGTGTTGACAAATTCATTGAATTTTGGATGCCAGTTCTGCAAATTGCAGCATTACTTTGTATCTCAGACAACGAACAGAACTATGTTGAGAGATTCCGTGATTTCCAATCATTGCTTCTTTTCCAGAGCATGCCAAACTTGGATGGTTCTCGATGGCGTGATGTTTTCGAGAAAATTTTGTTTCCTGTCATGGGACAGTTGACGATGTTGGCGATGAAGAAGAGCGAGAGTGGACAGAAAGCTCTTCTCATGGCCAAATTGATCATGTCAACATTTTTGTTTGCTCTGAATAACTTGATTGGAACATCAGCATTTGAATCAACTTGGTACAGAATTCTCAAGTTTTCTCTTGATTTGACGAAGATAAGAGATGATGACGTGATTGAAGCTGTTCCAGAGATGTTGAGTAATGCACTGAGAGTTATGAAAGCAAGCGGAATCTTCGATGGTGACCAGAGAAAGAGTATGTGGGATGTCACGAAGAATGCAATCACTTCTTCTTTCCCTGACTTTTCTAGTTCAATTTTAGATGATGATTAACTTTATATGTATATATTTTTGTTTTTTATATAATTTCTTTCTTTTGTTATATAAATATTTATAGTATTGTTATCAAATTATATGATCTATTTATATATGAAGGATCTATCTTACATATTTTGCCCCCGCATCCACTCATCACGCATAATTTTGAAGATTTAGCCTGAGAAAAATTATTTAGCTGATGTTTTGGTTAAATTGAATTTTTAATCTGGTTTGAAGATTGCAGTTATAATGTTTTAGCCTTGTTTGATGTTAAATCTTTCACTTGGAAGTTGTTTTGCACAAATTCCATTGAAAATTTTCAGATACCATAAAAATAATACTAAATCTTCTATATACCAATTTGATGTATATATATAATGAAAATCATCGCGCTTAACTTGATTAACTTTCCAATTTCGCCAGATAAATAATTTTATATATAATTAATTGAACGTTCTTCTTTTTTGCTACAAAATCAATTATCCAAAAAGGTTAAATAAGAATCTTACAAATCCCGATAGGTGACGATTATTTCGCTTTGAAAAAATAAAATCTGTTGAAAAATTAAAAACTATAGAACAAAATCAATGAAATAGAGATATGGAATTGGTATTTCCCATTTGTATATCCGAGTGAAAACCATACTTCAAATACAAAGTTCACAAATTCTTACCCAGGATGTTACTTTTCTAATCAGAGTGAATACTATTCCATTCCTCAAGCCGTTTCTATAAATACAAACAATGAAACTACAAAGTTACTCATTTATCGTAACTCATTTACGCAATGTACCCATTCTGAGAGTGGAGGTTCCATTTTTTATACTGGAGGATCATTTATTCTATTTCAAACATGTGGAATAAAATCATTAAATGGCCAAAATTATGAGGGATCTTTTCTTTATAGTTGCTCCATTAATGGAAAAAATTTTCCACAATTTTTAAATGAATCGACGATTTCAAATTGCGGAAAAGTAGGAAATGGATTATCAACAAACTATTTAAACTATGGTAATCAACTATTATCTTCAACAAATATTTCTGATAATAAAGCTTCAAATGATGGTTCATTCCAGCTCCAATCTTCCTATTTAGTTCATCTTTCTTTTTGCACATCTGAAGGAAATGAAGTTAATAACAACGATTGCCATTGGGTAGAAAATTCGATTTCATTCTCTATTGATTATTGCAATTTTATCAAAAACAAATGTGGAAGAAGTATTTTCTGGATGAATCAATTAGTGACATTAAAAGAATGCAATCTCATTGGAAATACTAGAGTAAAAGAGTTCTATTATAATACAGCTACTTTATATAAATCTTTTTATGATGGAGATATATCAAAAGTAAACACTATTAATCCAAGAGGGAACTTTTCAAATGTTATCCCTCATTTTTCTCTTGGTAGTTGCAATGCGCAAATACCTCTGAAATATTTTAGAAATCAATACTGTTTTAAACAATCTATTCGCTGTCATTTTGATGTATCTATTTTGAAAATTCTCTCATTTAATTTGTTTGAGATTTCTTAGATCTGCATATAAATAATTGGATAGACGAAAATATGAACTAAATATTTTAACCTAAACTTAATTGTATTGAGCATTATCCGAAAAAGTACTTTATTAGGCTATTAAAATGCAATGAAATGTATTAATTTAGTATATGTTTCAATTCAGTTTTCTGATGACCAATTTATTGAAATATTGCAATTGAATTCTTCTAGATTTTGTCATAATTTCAAACAATTACGATTATTTTTCCATGAAAAAATAAAAATTGATGAAAAAGTCAAAAGTAAGATAAATGGAATTAATGCATGGAATTCATATTTTCCAGATGAAAATCCAACTGAGAATTATACATCAAATGAAAGCATCTCAAGAACTTCGATTGGAAGATACTTTGTAAATAATTGTGAATTTGATTTGCTTCAAAGAGCTGTATATATAAATGCAAACAGTGAAAATACAAAATTACTTGTATTTCGTAGCTCATTTACGCTTTGCTACTCTTCTGGTGAAGGATCCTCAATTTATTATAAAGGAGGGTCATTCATTCTATTTCAATCATGTGGAACTAAATCTATAAATGGTGATAATGATGGTGTTTTTCTCTATAGTGAATCTATTCAAAACAAATATTTATCGCATTTTTTGAATGAATCGACAGTTTTTAACTGTGGTAAACCAGGAAGTGGTCACTCCACAAATTTTTTACGCTATGGTGATCAAATCCTATCATCAACAAACATGTCCAACAATATAGGATATGATGATATTCCAATTGAACTTAATACTCCTGATTCACTACAAATTGCTTTATGTACATTTGAAGGAAATGAAGCGATACCGCGTGCTTGTCATTATATTTACAGTTCTATTTCATATTTTTTTGAACAGTGTAATTTTATAAAAAACATATGCGGTATATGTATCTTCGCTTTCAATCAAAGAGCGACATTTAATGGTTGCTATATACTTGGGAATACTAAAGGAAAAGAGTTTCAATCTGATACTGCTACATTATATAAGTCGTTCTATGATGGAGATACCACAAAAGTCACGGTAATAAACCCTATTGATAACAAGCCAAATGAAAATCCTCATCTTTCATTTGGAAGATGTGTTGCTATTATTCCGCTGAAAAATATTAGAAATCACTACTGCAAATTCATTTCATGTTATTGTCCAATTAATATGTATTTAAGGAATATGATTTCTCTAATTTTATATTTTCAATTCCTTTCTTGCTGAAACTGTGATGAAAAAGTCAAATCATATTCATAAAATTTCTTCCGTTTATAGATTGATATATATTGAGGATGATTTGGAGCTACAATAATAACATCTAATGTTGTTGAGAAACAAGAATGATTTCCGTAATAAATAACAGAAACATTCGCAATTAAATCTGCTCTACCGATTGTTAATACCTTAAATCCATAATTTGAGATCAATCGACAGTCTTGTTCCTTGAGAAATATATTCGGCCTCTCTCATAGTATCTTTTATGGAATAGTATTTGCCTTTATAGATATTAACACATATTATATAATTATTACTGTCTTTGCCATCATGTTTCCTGTTTTTTGATTATCAGGTGTTGGTACTGGAGTTTAATTTTGTGTCGGTGATGGCGCATTAAAATAAATTCTTGCCAATCATATGAAAATGGTTCGATTTCTGTTGATTGAGGAATGTAATTAAGCCAAGATAAGAAATATGGAACATGAATTTCTGAACCGTTAAATGAGATCTTAGAACTAAAAATATTGAGAAGTTTATCATTAAAATACAGAATTCATGTTGTCTGCCAGATGACCCCTTCAAACTCACAGTGAATACATAATTCATTAATAAATTTGTCTAAATTTGATTCAATATATACCATGTCTCTCACCAACTATTAACAAGAAAGATTTGCAAACATAATTGACAAAACAAAGGCATATTTATTCAATTTCTGGAGTTGATTCTGTTGTTCAATTCCACTTTGGGTATTAGTCCTGAGACATATTTGTGGAAATGAATTTATCTTTATGTCTACAAACACTTATTATGCAATAATTTGTAATAATCATATATTTTGGGAATTAAAAAATACCATTGATGTTATTTATTTAGTTTCTAAAATTTTAAATAAAAATTTAAAAAAAAAGTTTATATCATTGATGTTATTTGATTAGTTTCTAAAATATATTTGGAGTCTATATGTCTTCTTGCTACGATCAGGACTAAATGCAATGATAATTAATACAGAAATAATGATAATTGCAGAAGAAGAAATTGCGATGATTATTTCTTTATTTATTTTTTGAGCATCATGTGTTGGTGAATAAGTAATTGATTGAGTTGGTTCTGGAGATATTGTTTGTGTTGAATAGATACTTTTTGTTGGCGACATTGTTTGTGTATGAGAGATAGTTTGTGTTGGTGATATACTTCTTTTGAATTAATAGATAATATGAATACATATTTACCAACTTCTTTTAGATGTGGAAATTCGATATTTTTTAATTCAGATTCCCCTCAAATGCTATATCACCAATTGATATGAGATTATCTAATTTTGTAATTTCAGCATATGAAATCTTGTGAAATAACGTATTTTTGAATGTTCCTCTCAGTTAACAAAATTTAGCTTCCATTATTTATTATGTAAAAAATACAAATTCGAAAAATGATTGTTTATATCATTGATTCTATTTGATCAGATTCTAAAATAGATTTGGATTCAACGCCATTATATCTTCTTTTTCTACCAAAAATACAAAATATAATGAGAATGACAATTCCAGAAACAGAAACTGCTATGAATATTATTTTAGCCTTTTTATGATTATCGTGCGTTGGTGTTGGTGATGGTGATGTTACATTAAAAATAAATCCATGCCAATCATATGAAGATGGTCCGATTTCTCTTGATTGAGGAATATAGTTAAGCCATGAAGAGAGATATGGAACATGAATTTCTATACCTTTGAATGAGATAATAGAATTGAAAACATCAGGAGGCTTGTCACCGAAATATATATTCTTCAGAGAATAACAGTGACTAAATGTATCTTCTGCCCTTGGATCAACAACTGAAAGATTTGAGAGAATAATTGTTTCTAAAGATGTACAGTTTTCAAAAACACTGTCACCTGTCATTTGTAGAACTGATGATAAATCCAAATACGTTAATGATTCACAATTTAAAAATGCAGATCCTGAAATGTTTTTCAAATTATTGAATGTGACATTTTTGAGTGATTTGCAATCCTTAAATGCTTCATCGCCAATCGAAATTACATTTTCTAAAACAACTGTTGTGAGATCTGAGCAATTTGAAAAAGCAGACTCATTTAAATACACTAAACTCGGGAAGTTTACATAACTTAAAGATGAGCAATCAGAAAATGCATCCCTTCCTATTTCATTAACATTAGGAAAGTTAATTGTTCTCAAATTACAACAACGACAAAAAGCCCACTTCGAAATAGACGTAACTTCCTCACAGGAAATTGTTTCTAAGCTACAACAATTTTCAAAACATGTTGAAGAAATCACTTTCAGATGAGGTATATTAATATTTTTTAATTTTTTGGTTTGATAAAAAGCACCAAAAGAAATATATTCAAGTTCGCCAAAATTAACAGATGTAAGGTTGTCACAGTAAACAAATGCATTCATGCCAACTACTTTTAGATGAGGAAATTCGATATCTTGTAATCCCCAATCCTGAGCAAATGCCGCTTCACCAATTGAAATGAGATTATCTAATTTTGTAATCTCTGCAACTGTTGCATCAAAGGCTCGTGTACCAATATTTACTACATTAAGTATACTAATATTTCTAATACCAGAATATAAAAATGCAAGATTCTCGATATTTGTCACATCTGGAAATATAGCTGTTTTTAATTTATCAGTCAACTCAAATGCACTAGGTCCAATTGTTTTTACATGAGGCATTTCAATATGTTCCAATCGACGGCAACATCTAAATGCTTCAGAATCAATGAATGTTGCATTGACAATATGAACTTCTTTGAGATATCCACTACATTCAAATGCGTGTTTTCCAATGTGATTTATTGTATTACTGTAAAAGTATATTAATTTTGTGAAAAATTGAAATGTATAATCGGGAATAGCTATTGGCCCATGTAATGTTATATTTATCAGTGTGGTAGCATTATAAAAGGATTTATCTGGAATTGATTCCAAATTTGAAAAATATAGTTCTTCGATGTTATCACTTTTATCACTGACATTAGCATCAACTGAGATATCACCTCTAAGAATTAATTTTTGGAGATAAATTGAATTTCCAAAATTTTGAAATGTAAGTTTACCATTAAAACACCCTGAATTAAGTTCGAAACTAGCAAGATTTTCATATTCAGAGGATTTAAATTCATCCATATTGAAATCGCCGGAGATAATATGAATTGTTTGAACTGACTCTTTTGAAATACCGTACTTTTGAATGATATCGGTTAAAGAGTCGCCATCATATTCTTGACCATTGATATCAACATGGAGAGATAAAGATAAGCATACAAAAAAGCCGATCATTGCAAAAGAAATTTAAGAATCTATTGAATTTTTTCGGTATTCAAAATAGTTTCAGACAAATTCCTAATGTTTCGGCAAAATATATGGACTTTTTGACAATATTCATTATTTCCGTTCTAGATGAGAAATTACAGATCCAAAAGAATTTTTCTGATTCAAAATATTTCTCATCAGAAATCGAATATACAATCATAAATAAAAATCATATATCGTATATACGATCATTAACTTCATAATCTAATGGAGCAATAAATTCATCTTGTTCGGGTTCTGCATCGAATTCATTCCCGAAATCAAGTTGTTGCTGTCCTTCTTCATCTTGATGTTGTTCTTCACTACCGTTCTGAATATTTGTCCAACAGTCGTGTAAGTGGTCTAAATCGTTCTGGTCAATCGCTTTGCTCTCGAAGAGCTCGTCCACTTCGTGTGGCCACTGTAATTCAAGAGGAGGACCTCGTTCTGTGAGTTTTTCAAGAAATGAAAACCAAATATCTTTAGTTTTCAAGTTATTGTTCTCGAATTCGCATGACCTGATATTCTTATTCGTCATAAGAAGGTCAGACAGTGCCATTGCACCTTCTTCGCCGAACAAATGATCATTCAGAACTAATGATTCAACGTTCTTAGCGTTTTTCAGACCGCGCATAAGTGTGATGCATTTTTCGGCACCGATTGGCTTTGCACCTGCACAGATGACGAGGTTAGTTATAGATTCACATGATTCAATGAAATCGGCGAAAGGAAGAATCGTCTGTTCTGATAGGGAACCGCTGATAGATAGAAGCTGTAAAACTTTCAGTTTGCTAAGCATAGCCATGATCGGTGGTGTGATTGGGTTATTATTCCAGATGAATGTTTTCAGTGTAGAATTATCATTAACGTCCATGTCGTATGCAGCAAATAGGTTCCACTGTGAATCGGTCATCTCGATGCCGCTGAAATCTAATGATAAACCATCTGTTGGATGCATATTGACAAATTTTGTCAATGCTTCATAGAGAACGTTTGGTTCCCACTTGATATTCTTGAATTCTACTGTTGTTAAACAGTCTGGTGGGTTGATTGCTCAATGATTATAACTTCAAACTCACAGTGAATAGAGAGTTTGTGGGAACTGATATATGGTTACATTAAAAATGTATATATATATTATCTATTAATTAATTATTGTATAGTAATATTTAAAAAAATTGTTTATATCATTGATGTTATTTGATTAGTTTCTAAAATTGATTTGGAGTCCAAGCCATATGTCTTCTTGCTACGATAAAGACAAAACACAATGATAATTAATACAGTAATAATGATAATTGCAGAAGAAGAAATTGCGATTATTATTACTTTATATATTTTTTGAGCATCATGTGTTGGTGAATAAGTAATTGATTGAGTTGGTTCTGGAGATATTGTTTGTGTTGGATAGATACTTTGTGTTGGAGATATTGTTTGTGTTGGAGATATACTTTGTGTTGGAGAGATACTTTGTGATGGAGAGATAGTTTGTGTTGGAGATTGTGTATGAAAAATAAATCCATACCAATCATATGAAGATGGTCCGATTTCTCTTGATTGAGGAATATAGTTAAGCCATGAAGAGAGATATGGAACATGAATTTCTATACCTTTGAATGAGATAATAGAATTGAAAACATCAGGAGGCTTGTCACCGAAATATATATTCTTCAGAGAATAACAGTGACTAAATGTATCTTCTGCCCTTGGATCAACAACTGAAAGATTTGAGAGAATAATTGTTTCTAAAGATGTACAGTTTTCAAAAACACTGTCACCTGTCATTTGTAGAACTGATGATAAATCCAAATACGTTAATGATTCACAATTTAAAAATGCAGATCCTGAAATGTTTTTCAAATTATTGAATGTGACATTTTTGAGTGATTTGCAATCCTTAAATGCTTCAATGTCAATCGAAATTACATTTTCTAAAACAACTGTTGTGAGTTTTCGGGAATTTGAAAATGCATTCATTCCTACTTCTTTAACATTTGGAAAGCTTATATTCTCAATCCATATTGAATTGCGAAATGCATTTTCTTGAATAACTTCAGCTCTTTCTAGTTCAACATTTCTAACATAAGAATTATAAAAGCTAGAATTTTCGACAACCAATGCATTTGGACAATGAATGCAATTAAAGAAAGCCTCTGCAAAGCATAATTCAGTCAAATATTCTAAAGAATCGAAAATTACTGTATCTGATGATGTTCCACAATAGCTAAATGAATATGGACCTGCATACTTTAGTTTTGGAAATGAAATATTTCCTAATGAGCATTTATTGAATGCGCATTCACCGATACTTACAACATCACCAAATTTAACAGTACTAAGTTTTTCGCATCGAGAAAAACAATACATGCCTATGGTTTGAACATTTGGAAAATTAACTTCTCTCAACATTTCACATTCTTGAAAAGCAGCACTAGGAAGATCTGTAAGTCCCTCAAAAGAAACTGTTTCTAAAATATAGCATCCAGCAAAACAAAAATCAGAAATAGATTTCAGATTAGGTATATTTACATTTGTTAGATCTCCGGCATTCTGAAAAACTCCATAAGGAAGACTTTCAACTTCGGGAAAATTAACAGATCTAACAGGACTGTCTGAAAATGCATATTCGCCAACTTCTTTTAGATGAGGAAATTCAAGATCTTTTAATCTACTAGTCCGATCGAATGCCATATCGCCAATTGAAATGAGATTTTCTAATTTTGTAATTTTAACATCTGATTTATGGAATGCCATATCACCAATATGAACTACATTAGGCATACTAATGTTTTCAATGCCAGAATTTCGAAATGCACCAAGTCCTATGTCTGTCGGTTCTGGAAATTCACAATTGTTTAAAAAAAATGTATCCTCAAATGCGGTATATCCAATTGTTTTTACATGAGGAATTTCAATATGTTCCAAAGATCCGCAACCTTCAAAACCACTACCATTAACGAATATCACATTCTCCAACTTAACTTCTTTGAGATTTTCACAGTTAAAAAATGAACCGTTTCCGACCTGAGTTACCGTATTACTATAAAAGTATGTTAACGTTCGCTGTTTTTCAAATGCAAAATCCGGAATATGTGTTGGGCCATTTATTGTTACATTTCTCAGTTTATATGACTGAGAAAGGCATTTATCTGGAATTGATTCCAAATTTGAAAAATATAGTTCTTCGATGTTATCACTTTTATCACTGACATTAGCATCAACTGAGATATCACCTCTAAGAATTAATTTTTGGAGATAAATTGAATTTCCAAAATTTTGAAATGTAAGTTTACCATTAAAACACCCTGAATTAAGTTCGAAACTAGCAAGATTTTCATATTCAGAGGATTTAAATTCATCCATATTGAAATCGCCGGAGATAATATGAATTGTTTGAACTGACTCTTTTGAAATACCGTACTTTTGAATGATATCGGTTAAAGAGTCGCCATCATATTCTTGACCATTGATATCAACATGGAGAGATAAAGATAAGCATGCAAAAAAGCTCAACATTGTAAATGAATTTTGAGAGTATAGTCAATTTTTCTTTGTAACGTATTCAAAATTTATTCGTTTCGATGCAAATTGAGAGCTTTGCGGCTAATCCAAATTTTTAATAATTCTCAACATATATCAAGATACCAAAATTAATGTTAAAAAATAAAAACCGTAACATCTATTCAATTTTGCCATTGTTTGTTTTATATCCAACAATATCTATTATCTACATTCCGAGTGAGAGATTACATATTTAAAAACAATTGTCAGCGAACTATATACCTGAAATAGGATGATAAATTCGATCGGTTTTAAATTGATTTTCATTCAATTTTTGAGTTACGTTTTAAAACTCATTGATAAACTATATGTACGTATTTCCAAAAATCAATTATTCGCAATTTGATGAGAGATTATGGATCCAGTCTAACCACCGTGGCACTTTTCGGATTATTATTAAATTATTGTTTTAAAATCCGACAAAAGCATGTTTCTCAAATTCATCGATAAACTATATGTACGTATTTCCAAAATCAATTATTCGCAATTTAATGAGAGATTATGGATCCAGTCTAACCACCGTGGCACTTTTCGGATTATTATTTAAGACTGTTGTATGTGTCGGAACACAATCTTAAATTTTCAATAGATCGGCCCACAAATTGAACATGCAAGATTTAAAAGTGGACCAAAATTGAAAATTTATCATGAACTATACTATTTCAGAATTTTGTTGTAGCGTTGAGTGTTATTATGTATTGTATATTAAATGCTCGAGTATCATTATTTAAAAATTTTATTTGATTAATTAAATTCTAAAATGGTACAATTAATTAATCAATTCTTAAACGGTATATTCTGATATACAAATGCGTTGTTATAGTGATGCAAATAATCTAATTTAATATTACAAAATTTATAACTTGTATATTTAGCATATATTTTTCTTTGTCTTCCTCATTGCATGATGATCTCAGATATAACTTGTATGTATAGGTAACTTAATGTTGGTCATACTTTGTGTCATTATTTTGTATGATAAATTGTAAAATTAGGCAAAATCGCAACCGAATTTTTAAATCTAGATTTTGATGATAAATTGTGATTTTTAGCTTAAATCGCGATTTTTTAAAAATCGCGAACAGAATTTTTTCGCGATTTATTAATAAATCGCGATTTGAACGATAAATTTCGATTTTTTTAAAAAATCGCGATTCGTGAAAAAATTGCGACTTTTTGAAAAATCGCGAACTTTCAAAAAAATCACGTCCTTAATTTTGGTCTTTTTCGGAGTGATAAGTCGTCCTTTAAGTAATATTTTTTTTCTCGAATTGCTAATTGAAAAATTAAATTCGAGAAAAGAGATTACAATAGTATTGTATGGACTATAATCCTACTACTATAACACTTTTTTTGTGAAAATCACACTTTTTTAAAAAAAGATATCAAATTGAAAAAAATTATTCTTATTTTTACTTATACTGTAGGGCACATTCATTGGTTATGAAAATCACATAGTATGAATACTCAATCCCAAATATCTTAAAAAAATATTCTAAAATATTAGACTCGATTTTAGCAATTGTATTCTAATCATAATATAATGCCCGAGTATATTATATAAATAGAACAAATATTAGTAAATTCAATTTTTTTTTTCAGATCGCAAATTATCTAATACAAATATTCATAAAAATCACATACAGTATATTTGCATTCAATGTCAAATATAATAGCTATCTAATACTTTCGAAAAATTGAGCTATTGAATATTTTATAAAATTTCTGGTCCAAAAATTGTGCTTTCACAATATTTTGATGATATCTATAATAATTAGACTACAAATATAAATTGTATAATAAAAAATCAAAATTTGCTTTTGATATCTCAAATCTCGATATGAGATATTCAATGTCAAATCAAAGTATTCATAATTAACAGATTTGTATCGTGAATGCTTTCGTTTTGCTTAATACACAATTATGCATGACAAGTGTGTGTGGCTACACAATTCTTTCCGTCCGAAGCGGAGAATTGTGAAGTTTACACCGCACTTCACGGATAATATAATGGAAAAACGATTTTCATGGAATACTATTTTTATTAATAGCTTAATAAATGAGCGAGTCTGATAGATATATGTTACGCAAGATATATCCATAGAGAAGTGTTTAAGTATAAAACAATGCGTTATACGTTATATGTAGGATATAGATGGTTTTTCTCCATTGAGAATTTTGTCATGTGAAAAATCTCTTTTTTAGCTATGATAAAAATACTTTTTATATACTATTATATCTCAGTTGATATTGATTCAACATTCTTATTTCACATGATAATATAATAGTATATGTAGCGAGGTATTATATTCTCTTGTGATTTCGATCTATTAATGCTCACACAAAAAATTCGCTACATCAAAATTTCCTCGGAAAATTTCACTTTTGCTGCTTTGATTCAACTTTGATGTCCAATGAATACTCAATAAAACTCGAAACTCTGATCATGGAGATCTATCATCACATATATAATTATATTGCTTAAATATATGTATAAATTGTATTTTGGATTTTTCGGATTAAAAAAGGTTAAAAGTGTCATATTGATATAATTCACATTTTATTCTGCTTATAAATCATATTGTCTTGTAATATTTGATAAAATTATCACTGAATTCTTAATTAGTTTTTTTTTAAAATATCAATTTTGATTTATTGGACTTGAAAATATTTTATTTATATTATAAATCATATTATCATTTAGTGTTTATCAAAATTATGGTTCTTCGTTTTGTAGCTATATTTTGAATGACAATAGAAAAAAAAATACTAGAAACTAAATATGTATTTAATTTTATAAGTAAAAATTCACATAATGATAATATATTTGTGAAGATTATTTGAAGAAACGATTTTTATTAATTCAATTTTCATTATAGCATTATTTAGGTGAAGTGCTCTCAAATTGTGAGCCAGACAAATGTTTAATGGCTGCAATAAAGGAACATAGCTCAGGTGCGTTTGCATTGAATATTTATCGTTTTGATTTCACAAAACATCGTTGCGTTTAATCAAAAATTTGATTAACTTAATAAATTTAAAGATTAAGCGATCTCATTTTAACACAATCGGTAAATTCAATACGTCTATGAAACAAAGCCATAATTTCTCGTAGTATAAAATATTTGATAAAATTTTATCGCTTACAGAGGTGGAATTAAAGGGTGAGAGATATATAGATAGACTATATATCTCTCACCCTTTAATTCCCTATACAAAGTTCGAAAACTTGGGTGCAATCAGATCTGATTGCACCCAAGTTTTCGAACTTCATGTAAAGAATTGCTTGCTATGATGTACTGATCATGAATCAGTACATCATAGCAAGCAATTCTTCATCTTAAATATATTTTTCTTAATCAATACATAACTTGTTCGCAATTTGGTTTTAGACGCTATATTTTAATCTAATTTCGATTTTTTATAAAATCGCGTACTTCTAATAAAACGCGATTTCAAAAACAATCGCGATTTTTTTCTGTTCGCAATTTTTCAGAAGTTCGCGATTTTATAAAAAATCGAAATTTTTCTTTGCGATCGAGATTTAAAAATTCGGTTGCGATTTTGCCTATTAAAAAATACAAAAAAATCATTTAAAAAAATAAAATAATATAAACTGCGGGACAAAAGGCGTAAGTAAAATTTAAAATTGAGAGGAAGTAGTCAAAATATTCTATGAGGTTCTCACAATTTCATATCACATTTCACTTACGCCTTTTGTCCCGGCTATTTTTATTTTACATTTAACATTAACATACAAAATAGATTATATCTATCAGAAAATTTTCTTCTTAAGTTAAGAATTAAATTTTCTGATATTTGAAAAAAGGTTATACAGGAGTTTTATCTATGAGAATAATGTTACATTATCCTCATAGTTGTAACAAGAAAATAATACCATGGAATAAAAAACAGATTTCTATTGCGAATGTGTAACTTTAGCAAAAGTCAACTCATAGAACAGGGTATGAGTTACTTAGCAATAATGATCTAATCTGTAAGATTATAAAGAGTTTTTTTCTTATTTCATCAAAGATTTGTTGAAATTAGCAAAAATTTCGAGCAGACATTTCTATATTTATCTGACCAATCGTTATTAATTAAGTAGCTACTTGATTTCGTTCATAGAATCAGAAAATTCGAAATAAAATTTGCCGGAAACAACATCCAATGAATGTTCATATAAGCATTCGTAATTTTTGTTAACTTTATTTCGCAAGGAATTATACTGATGCTTTTGTTTGAACGAGATTTGAAATTAATTAAATTTATTTTTTATTAAGATACAATAAAAATTGATGAGGATATGCTAAAACCTATTAGTTGCTAACTACCTTTTGCATTCTAAGTATTCTAGAGTGAACACCATATGGTCAGTGGGTGCCATTAAAAAAATATTGTAAACTATTCAAAATTGAATACTTACGCCTTTTGTCCACCAGTTTATTTCAATTCTTGATAATAGAATCAACAAGAGTGGCGTAGTTAAACCTCTTGATTGTTTCTGAAACAATAGAGTCTGTGCTTGGAAGAGGAACATCTGGAATTTGAAGATCCCAATCTAATGGAGCAATAAATTCATCTTGTTCGGGTTCTGCATCGAATTCATTCCCGAAATCAAGTTGTTGCTGTCCTTCTTCATCTTGATGTTGTTCTTCACTACCGTTCTGAATATTTGTCCAACAGTCGTGTAAGTGGTCTAAATCGTTCTGGTCAATCGCTTTGCTCTCGAAGAGCTCGTCCACTTCGTGTGGCCACTGTAATTCAAGAGGAGGACCTCGTTCTGTGAGTTTTTCAAGAAATGAAAACCAAATATCTTTAGTTTTCAAGTTATTGTTCTCGAATTCGCATGACCTGATATTCTTATTCGTCATAAGAAGGTCAGATAGTGCCATTGCACCTTCTTCGCCGAACAAATGATCATTCAGAACTAATGATTCAACGTTCTTAGCGTTTTTCAGACCGCGCATAAGTGTGATGCATTTTTCGGCACCGATTGGCTTTGCACCTGCACAGATGACGAGGTTAGTTATAGATTCACATGATTCAATGAAATCGGCGAAAGGAAGAATCGTCTGTTCTGATAGGGAACCGCTGATAGATAGAAGCTGTAAAACTTTCAGTTTGCTAAGCATAGCCATGATCGGTGGTGTGATTGGGTTATTATTCCAGATGAATGTTTTCAGTGTAGAATTATCATTAACGTCCATGTCGTATGCAGCAAATATGTTCCACTGTGAATCGGTCATCTCGATGCCGCTGAAATCTAATGATAAACCATCTGTTGGATGCATATTGACAAATTTTGTCAATGCTTCATAGAGAACGTTTGGTTCCCACTTGATATTCTTGAATTCTACTGTTGTTAAACAGTCTGGTGGGTTGATCGCTCCGAAAGTTGTCTGTGCAACGTCATTTTCGATAATAATTTTCTTCAAAGATGAAGGAATGCTAGAGAAAATGGATGGAAAGCCAATATTGCATTTACTGAACTTAACGGTCTCGAGATTTGGCGTAGCTGCGAAGAGTTCCGTTGCTTTGATTCCATCTATGTTGTAGAACTCCCAATTCGTAATAGTTTTAAATCCTGATTCTTTGCAAAGCTGAGAAAGAATCTTTGAAAAGGTATTTGCGTTGAAACAATGGTCGAATGCTAATGTATCTAATCTTTTCATAGAAATGAAGACTCTTAAGTGCTGTGCATCACGCTCTGATATATCTTTGTTCTTAAATGTTATCTGCTTAAGTGTAGAATGCTTCATTGATGGAATTTCTTCTGTGATATGTTTGAAAGAAGAATCAAAAGGATCGTATGTAATAATACTGGTAATTCTCGTATCGTAATTAATGCATTTTAAGAAGTTGGCCCAGCCATGTTTGCTTTGAGGAATAACAACTTCATATAACAGCGGAAGGCATTCAATGCATTCTATTAACGTATCAGCGTTTTTGGTTAGATCTTCGTTAGACGTAAGATCAAGAATTTTGAGCTTTGTTGGGTTTAATAATTTTTCAATTTTTTCTGCTAAAACGAAAGGATTTTTAACTTTATTTTTAACAGCGACGTATTTAAATCTATAGATAAACTGTTTAGCAAATCTGATTTTGCCGGCATCCTTTTGCTCATACTTGAATTTCGGAATATCTGATTCGAGCAAAATGCTGCATATATACAGATAAAACGATTTGTATATTCCAATTATATTGAGATGTTCAAATTCTATTGTATTTTTCGAATAATGAATTTCCATTGTTGATTTATTTGCTAAGGTAAGCTTGGAAATGTTTTCATAAGGGATACTTTCCTTTGCTGAATAGGATTTCCCTTTCGGCTCTAAGAAATGAATTGAAGTTGTTGATGCGTATAAAACAGCTTTGTCTTTTTTCTTTTTATCTATGAGTTTAACTGATAAGCAGATTATGGGTTCCTCATTTCCTTTGATGCAAGAAGAGCATTCTTTTTCCAAGCTCAGATCGAGCATTGAGGAATCCATTCTGAGAAATCTGGTTTGAAAATTGAAATTATTGTATTTTCATCAGAGATATGCTTTTATTTTGGATTATTATGTAATGCATGTAACTTTTTGAACGAAAAATTGACACGAAGATTATTTTGCATTCAATTTGTTTGATTTGGGTATAAAATAAATTTTTGTAAAAATCGATGTAGATTTCAGTATTTTTCTTATTTGGAAATTTTATTTTCACTCAATCTTTACATAGGTGATAGGGATTTCATTACGATCTGAATTTTTTCTATGAGATTGTTGAAATTTTGTATGGAATATTATTTTAATGTTCCGAGTCACTATATATAAAAATGCATGTTTAAAAGATTTTTCGAGTTTTATTTTCATCAAAACAAATCTAAAAAAATCTAAAACATTTAAGGATTTGGGACGTAAATGTATTGTAATTTGACAACCTAAGAGCAGAGTAGGCATTTTCCTTCTTAAATTAGTGAGAATTGCCATTAAAAATTGAATCTCATAGAATTTTCATTTGTTCTTGCTTGATATATATATAATGTATGAGTTACAATGCTGAGATAGATAATATTTATTATGATGAATCTTTATACATGGACAAAATACATTAACAACATCCTTGTTTGTCTTTTTTAGCCTTTTGGCTATCATCTTGAAGACCAACAATTTGATTAACAGTCCTCCTGGATATTGGTTCAGCAGGAGAATTGTAAATTCTTCGTGTGATTTCATAAAATAATTCTGTTACTCCGTCTCCCGTTTTTGCGGATGATGTAACAAAAATTGTTTTATGGTCTTCTGCCCAACGCTTAAATGGTTCTATATCTAAATTAGTTGTAACAAGATCATATTTATTTCCAACTAAAAGAAGCTGCATTCCTTCTAGTATTTGATCTGATAATGCATGGTATAAAGAATCTGTGGTTTGAAGTGCAATTTCAGATGTAAGGTCAAGTACAAAAATAATTCCGTCAGCATTTCTAAGATAAACAGGAACAAGACTTTGGAACTTCTCCTGACCTGCAGTATCCCATATATTTACAGTGCAATCTGTATCTGAATCTAAATTTACATGAGCTTTAACATATGCAGAACCAATCGTTGTTGATTGATTCTCATTAAAGCCACCAGTATAAAACTTTTCAATAAGTGATGTCTTGCCAACGCCAGAATCACCAACCATTACTACTTTGAACTCTCGACCAGAATTCATCTAAAATTTTATTCAGAAAATTTTTTTTATCAGCCTTTCCATAAAAAAAATGAAAAATAGTTTCAAAGAGCCTGCCCTCATAGAAACAGCCTACTTGAGTGGTAAAAACTCTGCTCATAGCACTCAGGGGTAATATTAATAAGATATTTAAACACAACTCTCATGTTTCAATAAATCTTGCTAGCAAAAGCACGTCCGATGTGGCTAAACACTCCAATTCCGATCGAACATACGATAAAAATTTCTTTACAAAGATAATGTATCCAAAATAGTTCATTTTCATTGAAAATTTCACAGATTCAGACATCGTGAGAATAATTTCTCAAAACTCTAATAAAATGCTTCGAGACAACGAAAGTACATTCGTAAATAGCAGATCTCAAGCTGTAATTGAACAAAAATTAATAATGCCTTAATAAAAAGTCCGAAATTAAGGACTTGTGTTGTGCATACAGACTTCTCAGATAATGTGTTACCAGATATTGCTGGTCATGAATAACGTTTGATCGCTTATATACGAAACAATATCCCAAGAATTTCTGCGAGTAATAAGTTATCATAACTCAACCCTTTCGAAGCACGAAGGTACATTTTATCAAAATGAAATCAAATGTTGAATCATCATTCTTATTTTTCAAAACACTCTTGCATTACATACTTTAACGTACTAAGAAACTAACTTTCGTGGTACCTTCAATGAATTATTCAATAGAATATTACATATGAATGAAACTTTCTTCGAAAACTAAGGACTGGCTTAACCCCTATCCTTAAAAGTTTTAGAGTATCTCTACATATGTTTCAACTTTTGTATGTTATGTAAACTAAACTTTTTACTTTAGATTTGGATCTTATAAAACATCATTTTAACAGAAGTATGTATTTATATTTACAGGTCTCTTACACTGCGATATTGGATGATAAGCGCAAGCTCTTCTAGTGAGTTAATGATACTTTTTGATAAAGGAATTATTCAATATACCTTATTTGAACAATTTTCATAAAGAATCAAAAAAAAGGTAGTGGGGCTTCCAGGCGCGTTGCGCCCTCTAGCCCCGAAGATGTTTAGTATAAATGAAGTTTTTATTCGGAGGGCCTCCAGGCGCGTTGCGCCCTCTAGCCCCGAAGATGTTTAGTATAAATGAAGTTTTTATTCGGAGGGCTTCCAGGCGCGTTGCGCCCTCTAGCCCCGAAGATGTTTAGTATAAATGAAGTTTTTATTCGGAAAATTGTTAGTCTTCTGGTGTGAATTCGGCAATTCTCGTGTCGAATGACCGTTGGATGTAACGAGGAAGATTTTGACGAACTTGGTATAAAGTTCTCAACATTATAAGCTTAGTAAATGTTGGAAAATACTGAACTAAGACATCGCTAAGCTCAATTGGACTTGGAATTGTCTTAGTAAGTTCAATTGAACTAGTAATTGCTTTGTTCAGAACTTCACAGAACTGAGTATTGTATGTAGCGTCTGGTTGTGTGTTTTCTTCGGCGTCTTTGAGATATTTAGAGCAAATTTGTTGAAGAATTTCTCTTAATTCGCTGTTAGACTTTTTGGTGGTTATTCTAACCGCTGTGCCAGTTCTTGGAGGTTGTGGGGCTTTGGCTTTGGTTAGCGGTTGAGAATTGTTAATGTTTGAATTGTGGTTAACAGCGTTGGCTTCCATTAGATAAAAATGAACTGACCAAAAAAGACAGATATTTAAATATTTGAGATAAACCGTTTTCGTCAACGGTAACCCCCTCTATTTTTTTATTTTATTTAATAGTTACCGTTGGAAAAACGGTTTATCTCAAATATTGAATGAACTATAAACGTTTTTTGTTTTCTATATATACTTTTTTGTCCAACGGTAAAACTTTTTACACAACGGTTTTTGAGAGTCGTCGCCGTTGACTTTTTTGTAGAGCACTCAAAATAGGATAACTTTGTCCGGACAAGTAAGGGTCTATCGTCGCTACAGGAAAAGTTACAGGCGTTCCAAGAAAGTATACTTTGAGAAGCCTTTTCTCCCTTATAGAATGAGATAGGATGGTTATTTTACAAAACTGACAACACTTTGACCGAGTAGTTTTTTGTGCTGAACAAAAAGTGTCATATAAACATCTGTCAAAAACCGCTTTTTAACTTCACTTAAAATGCCACGTAAGCTACGTAAGAATATACGTAAGAGGAAGGGAGCATTGAAACATCCAATAGTAAAACTGACACCACAACAACAGTTGCAACAACAAATGATGAATGACCCCACTATGTTGCAACAAATGTCAAGCAACCCTATGCTTTTAAACCGAGTTATTGGTGCACAGAGTGGAGGTTTAAGAGCGGCACTTTTAGCGAAAATGGCAGGCTATGGTGGAGCTGCAGACGGAACAGCTTATAACCCTCAAAGTCAAATGAATTTGAGTTCACTCAAAAATCAAATAACAGATGTCAAAAAGTCAAACATAGACATACAGAAACAAATAAGTGAAAACGAAAAGAAACTAGAATATGACAGACACACAAAGAAACTCAATGAGTTAAACGTAGAGAAAAAGAAGAAAGAAGAACAACTGAAAGAACTAAGTACAGAGGAATATGCGAAAAAAGTGTCAGAAAAAGCAGCAGAAGTAGCAAAAATGGAACAAGATGTTATAAATTTGAAAAACCATACTACTCAATATAAAGTACTGAAAGATGAAGAGAGAAAACAAAAAGCCATGAAGACATATATGGATAGCGATGAGTATAAAAAAGAAGTTGAAGCAAATGTAAAGGCAGAAAAACTTTTACAGTTGCAAAACCAAACCGTACAGTATGAAAACTTAGCACAAGAAAGTAAAAATAACGACGCAGCCATGCAAAAGGCAATGAAAAGTGCAGATATTATAAAAGCTAATAATGACTGGTTAGATGCCCAAGCTAACGCTAAAGCAGCCCAACTTATAGGGTCAATAAGGACAAAAATACAAGCGGATGAAGACAGTTCAAATGAAGCTTTAATGAATGCTGACTTTAAGAATGCCTTCGAAGCTCTTCATAGTAAGGTGAAACTAGTGAACGACTTCTCATCTGGAAAGAAACTGAAGTCTGAAGGTTTCGACAACGAGTTAAGAGAAGTAGCACAAAATATGACGAAAATAACAGATGCAGCAACGAGACAGGCAGTTCAAAGTGCTTATGACGCCGTTAGAGCAACTGTTGTGGAAAGTCAAGAAAAAGAGTTACAACAGACCAAAACAGACCTAGTAAATGCTTTCTTAAAAACGAAAAGTCAGGTAGGACATTATGCTGCAGATGGAACATATGTGCCAGCTGGTGGAACTTATATACCACCAAACCCTCCAAGAGAAGCACCTGCACCAGGACTACCTAAAACATTTACATCGTCACATGGACACAGACACAGGCATGCACCAAAACCAACACAACAACCAACAGTTCAAAACCCTGCACAACAACCAAAACCAGCACAACAACCACCTCCACAACCAGCACAGCAACCAACAGTTCAAAATCCTGCACAGCAACCACAAACAGAGCAAGGACATAAAAGAAGTAGAGAAAAAGGAAACCAAGAATTCTTAAAAATGCTTAAGGAAGATTATGGTTACCCAGATACTCTTGACTTTAGTGACAGATATAAAGAAGCTATTAGAAAGTTCAAGGAAGGAAATACTGACCCGAACCTATTTAGCTTTATGGTTCAGCATAAAATCGGATATAATCTCAAACCTGGAAAATACAAGCTCGCAAAGGGATATGATTTAATAGCATATCATCCAAATGACATGAATGAATTTACTCCGAGATATTTGATGTCAGAGCTAAATGATAATTCAACTCTCTTCATGAAACGCGTAAAAAATAGAGACGGAACGAAAGAAGAAAGGTTTATGAGTCCGGATGACTTAGATAGGAAACTTGTTAAAAACGGTCTCGGAATATATGAAATGCCACCAGATGAGGTACAAGAAACTCCACAGGAAGAAGTTCAGATATAACCAGACATGGAAGAAATAGTTCAGCAACAACAGCTAGAAGAGCCTGAAGGAAACGAACAAGTCCCTCCTTTGGAAACTAACTTCACAGAACTAGATGAAGATTTGGAACAGCCGAAAAATTTTGACCCTCAACAAGAGTATGAGGAGAATATGGAATCTTTCCAAGAGTCTAAGAAAAATTCGGCTGACATAGTAGAAGGATATCGAAAAATGTTCACCGACATACAAAAGACTCCAACATCAGATGAAAATATTCAGCATAGAATGGAAGTACTGAAAGAAAATGTACGCAAATACAATAATCCTTTTTACTTACGACCATATAACGTTCAATCTTTGGCTGAACTCGGTGAAAATAAAAGGTTAAATTTCAACAAAACATATAGAAATGAAACATTGTTTAAAGTTCATTCAGAACCTAACCAATATGGAAACAAACCTACTTTTGTTTCTGCAGACTATGGAACTACAATGAGATGGGGTCATAAAGCTAATCCGGATAGGTGGTTCATAAACTTACAACCTCAATTCCAAGAAGTTGTAGACGCAATGGAATTGAATGGTGAACCAGATATAGCTGGTATTTTCAGCGCGGCTTTAATGCCATTGAAAGATATGAAACATGCAGATATTTTGGACCGGTATGAAATGAACATGGCTGAGGGAAATATAACACCTGACGTTCTAGAACATTTATCTCAAAGAACTACACAGAACCATAGAGATGGTATATTTGGTGAAGAGTTTAGAAGAAAGTTAGGGAGAGAGAAGGAAGAGAACCTATTGTACATGACCTTGCAAACGAAAGTTTGCAAAATGTCATAAAAACTTACTTTGCAGACAATGAACTGAGAAGGGATGAATATTTAAGAAAACTCAAATGGACAGTACCAAATGAAATGTTAGTATTGAAAAACATGTTCCATGACAAAATAAAACCAACTACAGAAATAAATGACGCAAGACTGAAACGTTGGGTAAAAGCTTTCCCATTCACAAAAGATATTATTGGTTACATGGAAAGAAAACCAGAATGGCTACAAAAACATATATTTGGAAACGAGCTTATTCCATATGGACAAGCTATATTTGAAGAGCTTGAACCGGAAACTCAGGAAAGAGTCATGCAAACAATAAGCGAAGACTCAAATACAAACTATGACAAAATCTTTCTAGGATATAGGTTACCTGAGATGGGCGACCAGAGCCCAAAGGCAAAAAGGACATGGGAAATTTACAACATACTAGGTGAACATGAGGCAAAGATGCTACAACTTGAAGCAGAGGGCAAGTTACCAAAAGCGACACCAAAGAAGAAGGGAAGAGTAGAACAAAGTGAAAGTAGTGAAGAAGTAACTTCATCTAGTGAAAGTAGTGGCAATGAAGGAAAAAGAAGAGTTAAAGATTCAGTTAAAAACTCAGTCAGGAAGAAAGTAAAGCTTGGTCCGAGTGGGTTCTATTATGACATATAAACCCAACTATTCTATATTTTTACCCATATGAAATGTACGCCGCTCAGAATATAACACCAACAGTTTTGGATGCCATGAACGGAAATGTTTCCGAATGGTATAACGAATGCGACAATGCCATTAGAAGGTCAGAAATAGTTCCTGGAACTTACGAATATACAACTGCTGTTTCTTATGGAAACGTAGGTGAGTTTGGAGAAGGTTCTTCAACAACAGTAGATATTGCTTGCGACAGGTTTCATATTATTTCTATTGACAACTCATTCTTATACGTGGAACAAGACATTGAAATAAAACCTTCTGCCAAGTTGTCTGACAAGAAAGGTTGCAATGGAATTTTCTATGTCGGATACCAATATGCTCCAGAAGTTTTCATGGGATATAAGATATATTCTAACTCTGACTTAGTTCAAACAGTAACATGGGCAAACTATGAATGGTTCGCTTTGAGAAACTCAGTACAACCACAAGCTAGAGAACAAACAGACCAGTATGCAACTATTGAGAAAATAAGAAGACTTGACCCTAACGTTCCAGGAGTTTATGTTAACCTTTCTGGTTCAGATGGAACTGCTGCCACTAAAGTAAAACTGAAACTTAGAGTTCCTTTGTCATCTTTCCTCATCTTCAGGTTTTTAAGATACTTGCCAAACTGGGCAGGAAAAATTTCTATCGAACTTACTCCAAGCAAAAATAACTTAGTCATTGCACCAACACAAGACCCATTCACTCTTACAGATACAGCTGGTGGAGCTGCCAGCATACCATTTGGAAAATGGTGCAAAGAGAAAGTTGACTTAGACTTTGGTTTTTCAAACCTCAACACTGAAGTAAACTACTACTTCTCAGGAACAGCAGACAACAATACTGCTTGGGTTCCTATTAAGTTTACATGTGAACAGTTTGAATGCAAGAGAATAGAAAGCAGACTTGCAGTCTATATGTTGGACCCAGATATTTCAAATGCTTTAGCTGCCAAATATATTGCAGTTCCACTTATGTTCCCTATACACCAAATATCTGTCAAAGACTTTGCAGGTGAAGTTGGAAACCAAAATCCAGGAGCCGCAGGTGCAAGAACAGATATTGCTTTAACAACTGCAATGAAACATGCAGATACTATGTTTGTACTGTTCAGACGAACTATAAATGACTATTCTTGTTTCTACAATCCTGGTATTAAATATCATATAAACATAGATGGCAAATATTATTCAAGAGAAGAATATTCTACAGTTGAGGATATGAGGTCATACAACTTGACATTAGATGCTATGAACTTTAACAACAACTTCACAACAACTATTAACCCTGAGATGCAAACTTCTATTATGCCATATGTAAAAGTATGGACTCATACAGGAGGTCAAAAAACTCAATATACAAATGGAGACCGTTCAAATTTTTGGCTTGGCATTCCATTTGCTGACTCAGAAGACTTTATGGGTGGTATTTCAACTGTTGGTACAGTTCAAATACAATATACTGGTGACAGAGACGGTCCAGATGAATTGAGAGCAAAGAAGTTTACAAAACCAATAGCACCTTTCACGGAAGATGCTCTTTTGAAGATTCGTTCGATGAAACCTGCTGGGGCTCCTCAGATTGGCATAACGACAGCTTCCATCGAGCAGATTTTGGCAGCAGGTCAGTAAGTTGTTCTTGAACTGACTTCTCTCCGTCAAATATTGACAGTACGCCAGTTTTGACATAATATTGTAAGATAAACTTACCTTTAGAAATATCTGTAAGTTTTGAAGTTATATTTTTGTCTGCTTCAAGAACTTTCACCATTTCAGTTATACCAACTTTCTTTGCTTTATGAAAATATTTAGGTTCAGCAAAGACTGCTATTCTATAACATTTTCCATTGTTTGTGTAAAGAACTATTCTGTCAATGTATTTGTATTGTTTGTGAGTATAAACTTTGTTCTGCTTCAATTCAATAAGATATACGAATACGTCCATCTTTTTATTCTAAGTAAAATGTCATTTCCGAAAAATAGAAGCGTAAGTGTTTCAAAAGGTTTAATGGCGGTGGCAGATGTGAAGTTAAATTCACCAACTCAAACAAACAGTCAAAGTGTTATTGTCAATGTCAAAGACAGAGATGTTGAAGTGGGGAAACCATACGAAGACGAAGATGGTATAACAATTGTTCCTGTAAAAGAACCAAACATATCCTGAAGTTAACAGAGACTTAAGTTCTGTTGCAGATATTCGAAACGACTACCAACAACTGAAAGACAAACTTCAAACTCAGGAGAAGATTTGTCAAGCTTTAAGTATAATGTTAAACTTGGTCGAACACAACCCTGTAAAAGTGAACTCATATGTCATTGCACCTCATGAAGTTTTGAAAGAACTATTGAAACTTTTGACAGAGGCAGACGATATAAACATCAAAGAAATAGAACCCGACATTGGTTGCTGTGGTGTTTCATATAATGTCATTGACAAGATATACGTTATGAAAGGAGGTGAAACGTTGAACTTAAAATATAGTTTCCCAGACGTTATAAAAATATTTGACGACCACAACATTTCATTAAAATTTATTTGCTAATTAAATGGCAGAAGACATAATGGTTTATACTATTACGACTAAAAACCCTGAGTCATATAATTCTATAACAACAAACTTACAAAGTCCTCAAGGACGATATTGTAAACTAACCTTAAACACAATGACGACTAAAGCCTGTTTTGCTCTTTTGACACCAGAAGACTTTATTGTTGTGAATGGTAAAAAATACTCCTTTGAAGATACTTACTCAGATAAACCACCAACAGGTTTTGTTGACTTATTTAATAACTTTAAGTACGGGTGTAACATGTGCTGCAACTAGAGCAGGTTTCATTATGTTTGGATGTCCGACTGAGTTTACTATAAACGATATGACTATAATACAAAACTTATTTCTGGTTTTTACTACCAACAGTTTCCTATAACAGGAAAAGGTGTCATACAAGGAATGTCTATTCCATTGACATTAAGCACACCAATCTTATATATTGTTTCAAACTTAGGTTCAAAAGTGTTATTCGAATGTCGACAGAAACTATTATGACCAAAAGATACTTATGCGTATAAACAATACTTTCTCTGCTGGTTTGCCTATTGTTCATTCGAATGCAGAATTTTCAACCTTAGTGAAACTCAAAACACTTTGGCAAGTATAACGTTGACATTAGTTGACGCAAACTTTGTTCCTGTAAAACTTTTATGTCCTATGTATTTGTCAATGACGGCAGAAAGTTTCGAATTGGAAGATGCAACTGGTGAAAGTTTGTATTACAAAGAATAACTTCAACAACAAATAGCTCAAGAACAACAAATGCAACAAATGGAACAACAAAGTCAAGAATAAAAAATAATATTTTTTTTTATTTTTATAAAAATGTACAGAATAGATGTTTCAGATTTTTATGACTTCCAAGCATTCAGAAATATGTGTCCATTTAGAGACTATAACAAAGCAGTCGAGAATTTGAAACGTTTAGTCATTTATGTTGACTCTGCCCCAGAATGTTATGTCATGAAAGAATGGGATGTTGTCTTTAACAACCAAGAGCAACAATGGTGTCTGAACAAGAATGTAGACAGAAACTTAAGAAAATAAAAGTTGTACAAGTTGGAATGAAGATGTTGATGCTTGGGATATCTTATTGTCAAAGTTAGAAGATTTTTCAGTTCGAGGTATAAAGTTCTATACACCTTCTCCAAACTTCTATTCTATCTTCACTGGATATAAATACGAACAAGTAGAATGGAAACACAGTATTATAGAAGCTTGGTTAGACCATGTCAAAGAAATTATATGCAATGGAAACGAAGAGTCTATGAGTATGTCTTATGTTGGTTTGCAAATATCTTACAACAAGTGCTAAAAATGAAACTGCTCTCATTATAATTGGAAAACAAGGAACTGGTAAGAATACTTTCTTTACAGATATTTTGTGCAAACTGTTAGAAGGTTATTCGAATCCGAATATGACAAACTTAGAAAACATCTGTGGCAAGTTTAACTCCTCAATAGAGAATATGAAACTTATAGTTTGCAATGAACTTCAAAGTATAGATACAACAAAAGTTTTAAACTCAGATGCTTTGAAGAGTCTTATAACAGACAAAGTTGGAGTTGTTGAAAGAAAGTATAAAGACCAAAGAGTTTGTGAAAATGTTGCAAACTTCATTATGGTTTCAAACAATGCTGTTCCGATGAAGTTAGAAAGTTCTGACAGAAGATATGCAGTTGTCAGAACGTCAGAAGCTCATATGCAAGATACAGAATATTTTGACGCTTTGTCAGAATGTTTGACATCTGACTTTTACAACCACTTGTTCTCATATTTCATGACATTAGATATTTCTAAGTTCAATCCAAGACAAATTCCACATACCGAAGAGAGACAAACATTGTTAGAAGCAAACAAGAGTGTATATGAACTGTTCATAGAAGAAAGCGACTTTGAGTGTTTAGATGAAAAGTCTTTATATGATGAATATAAACAATATTGTCAAGAGTATGGTTATATGCCAGCGTCTAAACGAACATTCTTGGCAAATGTCAAAAGTCTTTTAGATGTTCAGAATGGTGTATATACAAAGAAAATTTTTTCTGAGTAAATTTTAAAAAAATTTTTTTATCCGATAGAAAAGATGACGAAATATATTTCAGTAAACAAGTACATGTCAGGACTTAAAGAAGAACTAGACCCATTCACATATTTGAATGTTTACTTCTACCATTTTGAAAAGTCTTCATTCAGCAAAGTTTGGAACATCGAACCAGTTAAGTTTGCTATTGTGACTAAAAATGGTGCGAAATTTAAAGACTTAGACATAGAAGGTTTGTTAACAGTCAAAGAAAGTTTTGACAGAAGGTTTTCAAACCTTAAAGAAGGCAAAGCATACAAACTTGTTATACCTTATGAACCAAAGAAGACAGACGACTATGAATATTATGAGTCTAAAGTTGTAGAAGTTCAAGGTAAATTGGGTAAAAAGATTTTAGAGTCTAAGCCAGTGTTTACTCCTAAAGAGGAAGAGAACATTGACATTGACCCAGAAATGTTCTAAAAATAAAATTTTATTTTTACATGTCAAATTTCTTCTTCGGTGGAATTGGCTCTGGTTCTTTCTTCTCTTCTTCTACTTTCTTTTCTTTCTTTTCTCTCTTCTTCTTTTCTGGTGGAGTTATGTCAAATTTCTCCGAACCATATTTCTGTAAAAGTTCTTTGTCCTTTAATAGCTCATCTATTCTGTTTTCTATTTCATCTTCAAGAACGGCGCATGTGTCTTCTTTGCATTCTAAGAACTTTTGTTGGACTTCATCTTTCCAATCGGCGTCATCTCTGTCAACAAGTCTGTCATTGACAAATTTTAAGACTGCTCTTTGTAATGTTTTATGGTTCTTGTCATATTCCCAGAAACAGAACTTTAGAACAAATTCACCTTTCTTGTTTACACTATGTAAGATTTTATGGTCGACAGAAGTTTTGCTGTCAAAAAGTTTGTCTCGAATATAGATAGCGAAATCGCTAGACATTTTCTAAAAGATAAAAATTTTAATTTTTCTAAAAATATGTTAGAAAAAAAGTTTGCTGACATTGACAAGAAATTTGAGAATGTTTTAAACAAGAACAAGAGGAAGTTAGAAAATGCTCAGATAAAGCCTATACATGAAAAGTTCTTATTTGCTCAGAATGGTATAACATGTCTAATTGCACCACCTGGGTCGGGTAAGACTTTCACTTATCTTAAAATGGCTGCACAACAACAAGAACTAGATGAGAAGAACCCATTCTATGAGTTAGTTGTTATTTGTTCGACTTCTGGTCAATTTGACCAAACCGTCAATTCGTTCAAAGATATTATAAAGAAGTCTAAGTTAGTATGTATAAAGGATACTGAGTTGTTAGATTGGATAAAGAAGTACCAAAGAAGAGTTTTGAAGTATAATGCTATAAATGAGTATATAAATTCTAAGTTTAAAGAACCTAATGAGGAAATGCAGAGAATATTAGACAAACACCACTTCAGAAACAAACAGAAAGAGATAGAATACATTTCGAAGAAATTGCAATCTTACGATTGGAAGACTTACCCTCATAGATGTCTTCTTATTTTAGATGATTTCGCCTCTCATCCTTTGTTAAAGAACAGAGAACAAGATATGTGTCGAATTCTTAAGAAGCTCAGACACTTTAACATCTCAGTTGTCATTTGTGTACAGACAGCAAAGAGTTTAAGTAAGGATGTTAAAAGAATACTTACTGACATAATACTTTTCCCCGGATTGTCCGAAGACGATTTCATGGAACTTATGAAAGAGTCCATGGCAGGTAAGTTTGACAGACATGAACTATGGGAGAAGTACAAAGTCATACAAGACCCTCATACTTCTTTCAGAATTCATATCTACGCAAACAAAGTTCAAATTGTGTAAATGGTCAAGCTTGAAAATTCATTATTTTTGTGCTGAATTCAATAAAAATATATTTTTAGGGTAGATGGGTATATCTAACCCGATTTCTAACCTCATTTCTACCCTCATGAATTTTCATGAATTTTATATATTAATGTTTTCGTTAAGCCACTTTGTGCCGTCAGTCAGTTAATGAAATTTACACCAAAAATATATTTTAGGGTAGATGGTTAGATCTAACCCGATTTCTAACCCGATTTCTACCCCAGTTATTTTATAAACGTTTTACATGGTAAACGTTATTTTTGGAATTTTGTGAAAACTCAACGGTTTGACACGTGCCCTAAAAATTATTTTACTCAGAATTTTGTGCTGAATTCAATAAAAATAATTTTAGGGTAGATGGGTATATCTAACCCGATTTCTACCCTCATTATTTATAACCGTTTTACATGGTAAACGTTATGAATTCGTGAGACTCTAAACAGTTTTGTAGCTTCTATTTCTTCGCTGAGGATATCAAAAATTTTAACAATGCCGAAAGTTTCTTTATACTTCTTCTTGACGTCAGATAGAAGGAAATCGTCAGCAGTTGGATAGTTTTTGTTCAGAAATTCTAACATGTCCATTTTATCTTCTGCTGGTTTCTCTGCCTCCCTCTTTAAATCTGCATAGTCGTTTCTCATTCTTTCTATCTCTTTTACTGAATAGTTATATTTCCTAATTGCTGCTTTACATTTAGAACATTGCGGATTCATTTTTGCGTTATATTCTGAAATCTTACCTGCTAAAACAACTAAGGCGTCAATGGTTTTCTTTAAATCTGAAGCAATTGGTTTTATCTGTTCATTCCATACCTTACCTCTTCTGTCTTTTTCTCTTATCTGCCATACACATTTTGCAACTAATGAAACAAAGTTGTCGTATGTCTTAAACTCCCCAGATTTATATATGTCAGAGATGTTCTTATATACCATATCGCAATCTTTATCCATAACTTTATGGTTGCAATGATATCCTAGAAACTCATAATTTACCTTTCGTATGAACTTCTTTATTTCTACTGAGTCAGTTGCTTTGACTTCAATTTCGTCAAATTCGGGAATGGTTAGTTTTTGTTGCTGAATTTCAGGTAGTTTAGGTAAATGGTCAATAATGTCCTGCATGTCATAAAGATATTCTTCATTTTCTTCATCCTGTGCGGTACAGTCTAAATTACTTGTTAAAAGTTCCTGCTTAATTTTTTGTATTTCTGTTCCAAAACTATATGAAGAAGGAATGAAGCTTTTCATCTCTACTAACATAGATGTTGGATTCATGACTAACGAGTTTGGTGCTGTTGTTGTTTGAATTGTTGTTGTGCCGATTGTTGAAATCATATCTTTTATACAAAATAAAAAAATAAATAAAAATAAAGTTAGTTTTATTTTTTATTTCGGGAAAATTCATGAAAATTCATGAGGGTAGAAATCGGGTTAGAAATCGGGTTATATCTAACCTTTTCAACTAAAATATATTTTTGGTGTAAATTTATGAAAACATTAATATATAAAATTCATGAAAATTCATGAGGGTAGAAATGAGGGTAGATATCGGGTTAGATCTAACCTTCTACCCTAAACATTATTTTTTGGTCCGGGAACAACTTTCTCTCAATTGGAGCTGTAGCATACTCTTTGCGTAAGCGGTTCAGACCTTCTTCGAAGTCTTGGTCTCTCTTGGATTGAGATTGGGATTGGAATTGCTGGGGTGGAGCTTGCCGGAACAACCAAGGGTTGGGGAAGTAAGGCATAGGCTGAGGAGGGTAGTTCGGGAAGCCTTGTGGTGGGTAGTAACCTTGAGGTGGAAATTGGTAGTAATTCGGAGGTACTTGCTGGAACTGAGGTTGCTGAGGAGACTGTTGTGGTTCTTTATGTTCCTCTGGTTTGGGAATGGACTCGGTTGGTGGGACGTCAGTCATCCGTTTGTGGCTTAACTGTCGGACCACAACGATAAAAATCTCTGCTACTAGCAGTACTTTTACTGACAGTAGCAGTACTTTTACTGACAGTAGCAGTACTTTTTCTGACAGTAGCAGTACTTTTACTGACAGAAGCAGTACTTTATCGTCGAAAACCCTCTCAAATTTTCCTTTTTACTGACAGTAGCAGTACTTTTACTGACAGTAGCAGTACTTTTACTGACAGTAGCAATGGTCGAGGTCGAACCTACCGACGAGGCAATTTACCTAATTGAAATTAACGAGCTTGTTAAAGACTTCCTCAGGCAGAATGTAAAAGGCAAGCTTGTTAACGGTTGGATAACGGGAAGGGCTGCCTTGACTCTCGAGATTTCGACTGGAATTCCAATTGAGGTACCAGAAGGCACTCCTTTCGACGACATAAAGCAAGCAAAGAAGGAAGCCATTATAAAGTTCTTTGCCAAGCGTCCTTGGATACTACTTCCAAACAGAGAGAACCCTTTCCCAAGAATGAACCAAATTCTCAAGGGTCTCCTTCACTTCTCTGGTCAGCCGTTCTACATAACCTCAGAAGGCGACATCCAACCAGTTCAGTAAACATCTCATTTTAACTCACTTTTTTATGTTTTTTGTGAAAGTGTCAAAAATAAATTGTTTTCATGAGTTTTCTACGATGTTAGAAAAAATGTTATTTTCTAATATCTTCACATTCAATACTTTTTCAGCACTTTTCCGTAGTTATATATGAAAGACAATTCGAGATAAAAGTCATAGTACAATGGAATAATATGTTGCACACCATTTGTTGTGAACCAAACTTGAAAGTCAGAGAAACTGTTACTAGGTGGTTCGTAGAATTTAGAAGCAAAGTCATAAAGGTCCTTACCAATACATAGAAAACTATTGTTGCTTGAACTGAAACTTGCATGACACATAACATTTTGAGGGTCAAACACGTTTCTATAAACCATCAAATCTGCTGGTGGAAGTATAAATTTAAATGGACCATCTGGTGGTAATGGTTCGTTCTGGTTTAGTAACCGAAGAAATTGTGCCCAAGAACGTTTGTCTACTTCCCAAAATAAAAACTCTGTATCTCTTGGAGGGTTAATTTCAATCTTTTGAAATGAAACGGTGGAGTTCATCTTGTCATATTCTAGTTTCAGATAGTATGTTCCATTTAGTAAAGAGTCGTATTTTTCTTGAAATTCCCAATAATATTTGTTCATTTGAGTTTGAAAGTCATTTAGAGTTTTCTCAAGACTTTCGTCTGAACGAACTGTAAAGATTCTCATTTCGTCAAATTTGTCTATTAGACCATCAGGACCTTCATACTGCCCATGAAAATATACTGCGAACATAAATGCGTTAGTTCTATTTGAAAACAAAACTCTTCTAAATCCTATTGCCTTTGCATCTGAAGGACTTTGAAGCCAGCGAATTGGATAGTCAAACATGTATGCTCGGGATGAAATTTCTTCATCTGAAATAGTCCTACCAGCATTTGTAAAGATATAGTCTAACGGTTTTGTATCTGCTACTTTTGTTCTTTGTTTTTTCAACCTGAAGCATTTAATATATGTAAAAATATATTGTTTTAAAATGGTATGCCATATAGCTTCTTGAATTTGTTAGAAGTATTTGAACGTATTTTCCATCTGTTATCTCTAGTGTTTACATAAGCATAGCCCGCCTTAGTAAAATATACTTGTAATTTCCTATAGTTTACGCCTGGTATAAAAGTAGAAAGAGTCTTGTTCTTCGCTATAGTAGTAAAACTCAAACGTATGCTTGCCATAGTCTGTAATTTCAATTGTTTCATCTTCTAGTTCGTCGACAAATTCGAAATACAATATCTCCAAATTTGCCTTTGTTCTTATTGTTTTCAGAAACGAGTGACCAACGTAAGTTTTTCAGTCTATTGTCGTTTCTTATATGGTTTATATGTCTACAAAAGGTAAATTGTTAGGATTCAGTATAAAATGAGTTGCAATGACAACACGTTTAAGATAGTGTTTTCCACCCATCTTCATAATAGCATATCCGTCATTTCGCTCCCATTCGCTTAAAACTCTTTTTGTCTTTTTTGTTTCTGACTTCAAATGACTCACAACAGTGAATTTCATATTTCTCATCTAACAAACAAGTTTCCAACGGTCTTCTCCAACCAAACTCAGCGTACATTTCAAATAAATAAAAATGTCACTTTTTTTTGAAAAACGTTTTTACTTCATGCAATGTTTAACTATTTCACCATCCTCTATAACACCCCAGTACTTACGCTTGGAGAGGACATGAACTTCGGAAAATACCTTATCTAGCTTAAAACAGCCCATCTTTTCACCGACTAAACCCATTTCAATGAGTTTGTTATAGCCTTCTTCGTTCGTCATGAGTTGCGTCAATGTTCTCATAGTAAACCTTGACTTTCGATTTGACTTCCGAGAAGACTCATTGTAGTTGTCAAGCGACTGCCTTTGCGAACTGAGGGTAAGACCAATATTCGACAATAGGTTTTAATGTGGTTACTAAGCCACTTTGACCTTGAGTGAATTCGTACTTCAAACAAAAGGAGAAAACCTTTCAACAAAGTTGTCGACCTTCTCATAATGTTTACTCTTCATCTCTTGAGGTTTCTTAATGGAATATCCCCATGTCGAATTCATAAAGCAATTTGAGTGTCATTGCAAGTTTGGGGTTTGAAGCTTTCCTAATATCATACAGTTGTTGTATGACTTTTCCAACTGTATAGTTCCTTCCCGGGAACTCACCATCTTCGTTTGGAATTCCAGTCGGAATATATTGGACAAACCTCATGTATGCAGCGTTAAAGGTCGACATAGTATATCTTTTCATCTGAGTCGAACTTGTGTCGCAACCAATTGGTCCAGTTTGTGGAAATTCAAGTGAGTCTCTTATCTTCTGAGAAACTTCTCCTGTTATCTCATAAACATCGTCGAAGCAACCTGTTTCATATAAAACCTTCTGACCTAACTCAGATGCTCTCCAATACAATTTGACGTCAATTGGATGTCTCAATGGAATTTGTTTATAGCATCTTGAAGTTCTTGCAACCTCATTGGAAGTTCTTCTGGTTCAGGTTGGTATCCGAACATACCAACCCCTTGTGGAACTGTGTACTTCGTTTGTACTAGAACTTTGTCTGGAACAACTTTTGGTCTTGCTAACAATGAAAAGTTTGTTTCGTCTTTTGGTACAAAAGTTTCTGTCAGCTTGTCATCTGGAATTGGTTCCAATAAAGTTAGTATACAAGTCTTGGGTACGGCGGCACTGCGTTCCACCTTACCCAATACTTGTGAATTTGACACTTTATAAAACCGCCAACCACTTCACTAACGAACTCACTAATGTAAAAAATAAACGTTCTCACTATCATTCTCACTAACGACTTCACTAATGTTCTCATAAATTTTCCTCAATATCTTCATCATCAATGTTAACCCTATTGTAGTCATACTTGAAGCCATAAACTTTCTCTAACTTCTTAACGTACAATTTACATAACTTACCTTCGTCATCGTATGGTTTAATGATATAACTATTTCTATCTTTATACACAGTCAATGAAAAGTCAACTGGTCTCGGATGTATTTGAAAGAACATGTTATGCTCAGGAAGGAAGAATAAATGTTTAAATGTATGTTTGTTATACTGTGGAATTCGAATGAGTTGCTTTTGTTCTGTCATTTACATCCAAATAAAAATTTTCAGTAAAATAAAAAATAAACTTAAAAATTAATGATATCACCACCCTCACACGTATGAAAACATAGCACAAAAATAAATTTAGGTGAAGTGGTGAGATCTCACCTCTTTTTCACCTGTTTTTTCACCCTGTTGAATTCATTGCTTTATAACTCTCTTCCTTGGTTTCTTTTTAGTTGCTTTCTTCACGTCTGTCTCCAACTTGACTGTCTTTCTTCTTCGGCCGTAATGATACCAGTTACTTCCACCAGTCAATGGGTCAAATGGTCTTTCGTAAGGGTTTCCATACATTCCATAGGGACCATACGGAAGAACTACTGGTGGAGAAGAAACATTTTCTTTAGTTCCATCGACTCTATTTAAATGCATTGTTTCACCTTTCATCTGGTCATTAAAGTCTTTTGCGTGTTTTGCAAACTCATCGTCCTTTCCTAAAGCATTTTCTGACTCAGTCGCAACCAAATTGGATGCTTTATTTATGAGCCCTATTTTATTTAATCTTAACTTCTTTGCAACCCAGCCTCCAATCTTCCCTTTATTTGCATCTAATGTCTTCGAAACCCTTCCTCCACTCATTTTATTTACTGCGTCATAAGCTCCAAGTGCTTTTGCTCCAAATGCTAATGCTTTTGTTCCCATTGCGCCTAAAGCTGCCCAAGCTACCATTTACACCATATTAAAATCATCTCTCTTCAATATTATCTCATAAAAGTTCTCGTTACTGGAGAAAGTCAATGAAACATAAGCGTTCTCACGGGCTTCGCCCTCACCGCTTTGCGGTCTATCTAACTTCTTTCTTATCATCTATACGCTTCAAAATGTCTGAACAATTGCTAACATCTTCTACAACAGTTATTTCATCATGAATGACCTTCAAGAACAAGCTCATTTAATATGCAATTAAACATCTCAATAATGAGTCCATCCTTTCCATCTTTAGGTAGCACAACATCTTTCATTGAAGAAGGTTCGACAAGTCTTATGTTAAACTTACTGACAAAGTTTGTTATACTATAATGCTTCGGCGGCGAATACATGTAGTTTGAAAGACATAATATAGATTCTTCAGCAAATTCACTTATACTGGATTTTATAACAATGTTCTCACGAGACCAAATACCACCAATTGACAATCTTGTAAGCAATCCTGCTGAACCTTCTACTGTAAACGTCGATGGTAACATTCCACGAAGGTCATCTATTGACATCGTTGAGTCACTGATTTAAATATTTTCTTAAAGCAATCGTCATTATCTAACCATGCAATAGCTTTGAAGTTTTCATTCGAATATACATCTGCTTCATTAAATGTAAAACCTGACTTCTTTGCAGAGATGACTTTAAAATCTATTGAGTTTGTTTCAAAATTATATGCTATGGTAACTTCTGAAGGTAATGGATGTCCTTGCAGTCAGTTGTTCTCTCACTACCGTTTGAAGCTTTGTTTAAAAACTTTCATGTCATCTCCTGTATCTAAGTTCACATACACAGCAACAGGAAACTATCTTGCTTCTTTGTTTCATCATTATATCTCAAAACATTAAAGTTCTTCAATAATATTGTTCTTCCTGCTGGAATACTTCGAACCTGTCTGATTTCAATAGCTTTCTCACCTCCTACATACTCTACCCAGTGTCTTGGATATTCATAAGTATACTGACTTTCTTGAATTTTGGTTGGTTTCATCATAACGTGTTCATAGTATATCTTTATACTCTTGTCGTTAGACTCGGTGCTATGTTCTGAATATTTCTGACTTGCATTTTTAATGGAGATAAAATGAAGCATTTAATACATGATGTAGATGAAGACATGAATGAAACTACAGACAAACTTAACTCTTCTCTTATTCTTCCTTTCAGCAAAGATTATGAATTCTGTTCAAATGGTGTGTATTTCTATTGTGGAAAGATGGGTTCAGGTAAGACATTTAACCTCATTCGTCATATACTCATAACAGAGCGTTTAGGAAACTACTCTTACTATGACCAAATCATTATATCAGCAACTTCAGACTCTATGGATTCAACAGCGAAAACATTTATGTCAAAAGTTCAAGCCTCTGTCGTTAAAGTTCCAGACAGTGAACTCATTGAATTTCTTCAACGTTACATTCGACGTAAGAGAAATATTATGCCATCGTAGAGTTTACAGTCAGGAATGCAAAAGACTTCTGAGGAGATGGAAAGAATTATTGACAAACACCACTTACGTCAATACTCAGGAGTTTACGATATGAAACGACTTACAAACTACATTCTATCAAAACTTTCAAAATACCCCTTCAAAAAGTATCCTTCAAACACTCTGCTCGTTTGTGACGACTTCGCTGGAAAAGGTTTAGTGTCAAAGCCTGACTCACCATTAGCTAACATCATTACTAAAGTCAGACATTACCACTTAACTGTAGCAATACTTATGCAAACATGGAGGTTTTTAGCTTTAAACATAAAACGTCTCATAACTGACTTCGTTATCTTTCAAGGTTTCTCACGCTATGATATTGAACTCATTTGGAAACAGTCAGGTATAACATTACCTTTTGAAGAAATTTGGGAAGCATATAAGTCTCTCATCTCTCCTCGTTCATACCTTGAGATTCATATCATGACTAATACCATTAAAGTCAAAAATATTCCATGGGAACGACCAACATTGTTTTAAATCTTAACCTTCAATTGACTGAAGGTAAACAAATTCCATGCATCTCTGTCGCCATTTCTGTTAATATTTTTGCTGTCATTCATATCATCCACTTCCCCATCCGTTTAGCTTTTGAGGATATGTTAGAATAGCTGTTCTTAAATGAAGGCTTTTCACCTTTGAGAGCATAAACTCTATAACTTTCTGCATACTTTATGTTTGAACCTCCTGAGCCATCATTGACATAAATTTTTATAGGCTTCCACCCTTTGTTCATATTCCTGCTTCTTCCCTTTGCTCTTTTGTTCAGTAGTTCTACATCTTTATACACAGCTCCTGTCTCAGTGAATTCAACAATATTTTCATTCGTTAGCTTTACATTCAAACCCTTGTCGAGTATATTGTTCATTTCATACATATAAAAGGTTTTTATTCTATATGAAATGAGAAGCAAATCCATCTTAGCTGGTGCCGTTAATGTTCCAATTGAACCAACATCAAATGTTGACTCACGAACGACAAACAATATTGTCATAAAGAACTATAGTTCGGAGTGTTTGAAAGAAAAAGAACCAGATCTTAAGTCGGTGAATTTAAACACAGCTTCAAACGCTAACGCTACATCAGATGTTAAGTTAGAGTATCCACCACTGGACCAAATTCTTTCAAGAGAAGCCAACGACAACCCTTACACAAATGTTCAAACAAATCCTTCAGATAACGTAGACCATTACCTTCTTCAGTTATACCAAACAATTTTACTCAAAGACGATAAGAAGCTTTTGATAAATCTTATAAGTAAGAACCAAATAATTCTAACAAAGGAGGACCTTGAAAATGTTATATCACGAATAACAGGAAAACAATGTGTCATTGACTATCTCGACCCTGAAATCGAATGCTGTGGTCAAACGCCAATATTCATGAAAATAGGTAACATCCGCATCATTGAAACACCAGGAACTACAGGAGTTGAGTTTAAGTATAAATATTCGAACGAGTATACAAAACTATCTACTTACTATAAGCTTTGTTTGAAATATGTTTTAGTAAATTAAAGCAACTTATAGTATCTATCCAAAACTTCTTCAACAGTATCGAACTCATCTTCATAATGCAAACCTAATCTTATTGACTTGGTGCAGTTTTCACTAACACAATATTTTTCTGTTCTCTTGACTGACATAACTAACTCATTTGTTTCATCAAACAGCAACAACCAAAGTTCATGACCTAATACATAACATTCATACTTTATATTTTTAGCTCTGAGTTCTCTTGTAAGCTGTTGCATTTAATATTTTCTAAAAAGTCAACTTCAACAGTCATTCGCACTGGTGCCTTCAGTTCTACAGGCTCTCCTTGAAAGTCAACAAGTCTGAATTGCATGTCTTTCAAATTATGAGGACTAATGCGAACCCATTTACCTAAATGAGTTGCTATGACAGGAACGTTTGGAATGAACATTGAATTGACTGCATAACAGAAGGATTTATATTCTACTGAACCTTTACTATTAACTCCTGAAATACCTGTGACATTAGCTATTTTTGACTCAATGTACAAACAATTACCATAACATACGTATGGAACAGATTTCATCTCAATCGTTTTGTCAACACTTTTCAAAGGAAATGTCATATGGTATGCTCCCAAAAGAAGTTGTACTCTATGACTCATTCTTGGTATCTTAAACTCCTTCGCATAACTGAACTTCAAAACTCCTGCAATAAGTTTAACATTCATTAAGTTTTCTTCGTTATCCTTGTTTATTGTAGTATTTATGAGAGCATTTAACACTCCAGCTAATGTTTCCATCTTATATTCTACATTATTGTGAAATCTTATTTCGTGCTTCTTTCCATCTATTTCAATCTCCATGAAATCTGTTTCATCTGTTATAACAAAAGTTGCGATAGTATTAAAGTCAACCATTCTGAATGCAAGTGGCTCATTCTGTAGACCTAAGTTTGTTTGTAGTTTTACTGTCCCGTATTCGTTTGGGTCTGTACTTTGCAAATAGAACAACATTTTATTCTCATTAAAATATGAGTATAGCTGCATATGCGTATGAAGCTGACAGAGCTAAACGTTTATATTTTGGTCAATACTCTCTCACACTTACTGACAAATATATTGTTATCAGTGATGGAAATACCGAGAAATACATAACATGGAAGGACTATGAAAAGTTTGACCCTATTTTAACTCCATGTACTATGCCGTTTATAAAGGACGGTGAAATTATTGAAAAAGATAATACAACAGTATATAAGTCTGTATATGAAGCGTTAGAATATATGTTGAATTATAATCCCGAAAGATTTGACCCAAGCACTACACCATGTGCAATGCCTTTTATTAAGGACGGTGAAATCGTAAGAGTTCCGGATTCAACGGTTTACACAGCTGTTCAAAACAGTTTACAAAACATTTTAGCGAATATCTTTAATTCAGAAACTACAGAAATAAAATTACCATATATAACAGATGCTAAAGAAATTAAATCAAAAACGACAACATTATTTACGTCACTTAATGATTTAATGACTTATATCATTAATATTCCTGCACCAACTACAGCATTTGATCCAAACTCGACGGTTTGCAGTGTACCTTTCATAAATGACAGTTCATTAATTACTTTAAGGGATTCGACAGTAAATGAATCATTAAAGGCGTCATTAATGAAAATCATTGATTTTAATTCATTCACGAATACATATAATTCATTCATTAATGTTTCATATGCTTCTAAAGAAGGTGAGCCAAAAACTATCAATAAAGCGGTGTATGAAATAAAAGCATCAACGACGAAATTGAATTCGTTAACTTTTGACGGTGATAGTTTCGTTAATGACATAACATCGGGGAAAACAATTTTAACGAAAGAATACTTAAAATCTCATGTTAGTGAGTTCGTTGAAATTGAAAAAGAAGGTGGAATTAAGTTCGATCCACTGAATTTCATTTTCAGCTTAGCGAATGCGGGTGTTAGTTTCGCTGAATGGACAACTATACAGAGTGAAATAAATGCAATATGGACGTTTTTGGGGTCAAAAGCGGGAATGGGTGAGCTTGTAAATGCTGCAAGAACATTAGGTGAAACAGGAAATTTTGTAGATGGTTTTAAAAGACTTGTTTCAAATGTTTTAACAAACACAAAGAAATTATTTAGATATACCATACATAACGGTCAGATTTTCGAACAGATAGCAACAAACCCTCCGGTTATGGCTGCGTTGATGATGGTTAGAGATATAAAACCACGTAACGACGGGAACGAAGAACATGAACAACAGGATACTGGTCGGGTTATTCGAGACATTAAAAACGTGTATCCTGAAGTTATTGATTTATTTAGAGGAGTTAATGATTCAATTTCAAAACATTCTATAACCCTCGATGAAGAGAATAAATTAACAGATTATATATTCGTCATTATTGCAGAATTAATGAAGAGAATAAATGAAAAAGGAATTGGTGATATCATTAATGTCAGCGATGTAATGATGAAAAGAAATTTTGACTCATTATTTACAAAACCGAAAACAGAATATAGTCTTTATGACGTAATTACCGAATTAATGAAAAAGATTAATGATAATAAGAGTTCTGGCGGAAGAGTTGAATTAGAAGTGAATGATGTTAATGAGAAATTAGCCGAAAAAGCAGACAAAAATGAGCTTTTAGCTCTGAGTGATAAAGTCAAGAACCACGTTCATTATATAACTTCAGACGAACAGATTATAACGGACTACCATGGATATTTAACACGAAGTGATGAAGTGAAGACGGAAGACCCCAATGAAAGAAGATATAAATACATTCGTGCTAAAGGTTATGACATAAGCTGTACTGTACAGTATGACACGGGTAAAGCACCAGAAGCATTTAGTTATAACGATGAAATTTATGCCTCTACTTTCTCTGTTAAAGGTGTATTAGTTGAACCAAGATTTACTTTGAGAGTTAAGTCAAAAATAACGTTTGAAGATGCTATTAAAAGTAAAGCTGACAAAGTTGAACTCGAAGCAATGAACAAAGTTTTGAAATCTCATAAACACAACATCTCCGATATAAATGAACTTCAAGCTACATTAGACAGTAAAGCCGACAAGAACCATACACATAAATCCTTCACTACTGTTAGAGCAGACGACATAATATTGAACTATACCCTTGGTTCAAGTGCACCTTTAGAGAATCCAAGTACAAGCGTAAAAGATACACTAAACTCCTTAAATAGTAAATGTATAAATATCGAAGGTCATGCCAGAAACTTTGAAGCACATGAACTACCAGCAATGTTAGATAAGAAAGCAGATAAAACTTATGTGGATGCAGAACTAACAAAGAAATTTTCGAAACCAGATACAATGACATTTACAACAGAAATTATAAATGGCGAACCAGCAACTCCATTTGAATTTGTTAGAGGTCTTCAACCAGATACTTTTGAATTTTTCTTGGATAATTCTATTGAACTAACATTACATTATAAAAGTGGAACAAATGCAACATTTCATCCGGGAGATACATTCCAAATGGTATTTAATGACATAAGTTCTGTAGAATATGTTTATAGAGTTATGAGTATATATGATTTAATATATCCTATAGGAGCTGTTTATACGTCTATGAATCCAATAAATCCAAACACTTTATTTGGTGGTAGATGGTATGAAATAGTTGACAGTTTTCCATTCTACACTAATACGCAGTCAATGAAGATGGGAGGTTCAAAGAAAATAGGTATTGAAAACCTTCCTTCACATATGCATAGGTTCAGTGGAAGAACATCTGTGGAAGGAAACCATTCACATTCAATAACAAAAAGAGGTTATATAAATCTTGCAGCGGGTTCGAATAGACAGGGAATGAACAGATATGATATCTCAGATGACCCCAAAGATGTTAGCACAGGTATTTTCTGTGGAACTGCAGGAAATCATACACATGTTGTGGCTGGTATTACAGACCCAGCAGGTAATGGAAAAGATTATATGCCTCCTTATATAACAATGCACGCTTGGATACGAGTTGGTTAAACTCTTTAACTTTACATAAATGAGCTTGAAAGAAGTATTCGAACAACATCCATGGAGGTCATTTAAGAAGTTCAATGAAGCTGCAAAGAGTTCGGGATTTACTAACAGAGCTGAAGTGAAAAGGTTCTTTAACAAAAATGTTGTACATCAAACAAAAATAAACCCTTACGACTACTTTTTACCAATTTACTCCAACACTCCTGACGCATACCAATTTGACACTCTCATTCAAAGCAGAAAAGGAGGACATAAACCATTCCTCATCTTCATTAATGTTAACACTCGTAAAGCATATGCATATCCAATGAGGAATAAAGGAACTCGTGAAGTGTTAAGAGTTTTACAAAAGTTTGTAGCAGAACATAGCCCAAGTACTTTAACATCAGACCAGGATTCAGCATACCTCAGCAATGAAATCACAGATTTTCTCATTAAGCATAACATAACTCACTACACTACTGAAGACCATAACCATAACATACTCGGCATCATAAACCGCTTCATAAGGCGCTCAGAGATTTAAACCAAGAGCGAGACTTTACCGAAGAAACAATGAAACATTTTCTCGAAGTATATAATTCCTCAACACATTCTACAACAGGACATACACCAAATTCAATGACACAACAACAAGAAGAAAAGTATATACAAAAGAAACGAAGCCAAACACAAAATATCAGAAATTCAACACAATTTACCCTCATTCCTGGTACAAAAGTTCGTGTAGTTCTTGACGACAAACCGTTGACAAAGAAACGTTTAAGGTTAAGTCGAAATTATTATATCGTAGACTCTACGCAAGGTAATGGATATCTTATAAAAGCTGCTGACGACTCCATTGCATTTTACCCTCGTCATAAATTAGTCGAAAGTAGTAATGGCAAACTTGCTGAAACCATTGACGAAGCAAAGCGAGGAGTGGTTATTGAAATACTTGGCTATAACACAAACGATGACACTTATAAAGTAAGATATGAAGGAGGCGTTGAAGATGTTATACCATCTAAGAACTTGAGAGAGTCAAAGTCAACACATCTGGGACCATTAGAGCGGGAGTACTGGAAAGACAAAAATAAGCCAGAAAGAATAATAAAATTCTTCTAAACTTTTTCATTAGATGTAAATCAGACATGAATGAGAACAGTCATGATATCATTAATGGTACCATTTATTTTTGTCATAAATTTACACCAAAAATAATGTTGAGGTGAAGAGGTGAGATCTCACCCGTTTTTTCACCTCTTTTTTCACCCTCATGAATTTTCATGAATTTCCTTAAGATAGAAAAAATAAAGTTAGTTTTATTTTTATTTATTTTTTTATTTTGTATGTAAAGATATGATTTCAACAATCGGCACAACAGCAATTCAAGCCGCGAACGGCAGGACTCTGTCCGCAACAGCACCAAACTCGTTAGTTATGAATCCTACGTCAATGTTAGTAGAAATGAAAAACTTCATTCCTTCTTCATATACTTTCGAAACAAAAATCCAGAAGATAAAGCAAGAACTGTTAACAAGTAATTTAGACTGTACCGCACAGGATGAAGAAAATGAAGAATATCTTTATGACATGCAGGACATTATTGACCATTTACCTAAACTACCTGAAATTCAGCAACAAAAACTAACCATTCCCGAATTTGACGAAATTGAAGTCAAAGCAACTGACTCAGTAGAAATAAAGAAGTTCATACGAAAGGTAAACTATGAGTTTCTAGGATATCATTGCAACCATAAAGTTATGGACAAAGATTGCGACATGGTTTATAAAAATATTTCTGACCTTTACAAATCCGAAGAATTTAAGACATACGACAACTTTGTTTCATTAATTGCAGAATGTGTATGGCAGATAAGAGATAAAGATAGAAGAGGTAAGGTATGGAATGAACAGATAAAACCAATTGCTTCAGATTTAAAGAAAACCATTGACGCCTTAGTTGTTCTAGCTGGTTTTATTTCAATGTATAACGCAAAAACGATGCCGCAATGTTCAAAACGTAAAGCAGCAATAAGAAAATATAACTACTCAGTCAAAGAGATAGAAAGAATGCGAAACGACTATGCAGACTTAAAGAAAGAAGCAGAAAAGCCAGCAGAAGATAAAATGGATATGTTGACATTTCTTAATAAAAACTATTCAACAGCAGAAGATTTCCTTCTGTCTGACGTCAAGAAGAAATATAAAGAGACTTTCGGCATGATTAAAACATTCGATGTACTAAAAGAAGAAATAGAAGCTACGAAACTGTTTAGGATTTCAAATATACATCGTACAATTCATGTAAAACGCTTGTGAAAAAACAGGTGAGAAAACGGGTGAGATCTCACCTCTTCACCTAAACATTATTTTTGCTGAAAAATGACCAAATTTCATGAATTTTCATAAAAGATAAAAATAAAGTTAGTTTTATTTTTATTTATTTTTTTATCTTGTATGTAAAGACAGTAATGACAAACATTGAGTTTGAAACAGTTAGAAAGATAGACAATGACACCAAAGTGGTTAGAATAGGTGATTTAAACGTAAGATACTCAAAGAAATACAACAAATATTCTTTGTCAGACATTATAACACCTTCTGGAAAGAAAACAAAGGACTGGGTTAGAATTGCTTCTACTCAGAAAATTTTGACAAGAAATCCTGAGCTCATGATATCAGTAGCATTTCATGGAACAAGAGCATATCTTATAGACAAAAGTCTTATACCAATAGTTTTGTTATGGATTGACCCAGTTGTTGGATATAACTTCATAACATATGGTTCATTCGACTCAGAACGTTGCAGTGAAGGCTTACTTTACATCGTTCAGAAACCGAAGGACTTCAATACAAAGAGATATAAGATAGGAAGAACATATAATATAACTCAAAGATATGACAGTACAGTCAATAGAGTCAAGGTTGTGTTCGTTAATGATATGAGAGCTGCAGAAACAGAACTACTTGAAAAGTTTGAGAAAAGGTATGGTGCTCCCATGAAAGGTAAAGAAACGTTTGAAGTAGATGAGATAGATAAAGCTATAAAATTATTTGACGAAGTTGCTGAAAAATACATGTAAAGCGTTTATTTTTGGTCTTTTGTGAAAGTCAGAAAATAAAGTTAGTTTTTTTATAAAATATTTTTTTATTTTGTATGTAAAGACAGTAATGTCAACATCAGAGAACACAACAACTGCTATCGTTCATGAAGCCATAAATGAAGAATATGAATACATACAATATAACAAACAACTTCGCCTCATTCGTTCGGTCAAAGATGACATGTACCAAATGCAAAGTATAATGAATGCTCTTCGTTCTACAAAGCAAGCATATCATTGGTTTGAAAACCAACAGACAAAAGAACTTTTAGAAGAATTTCCTCATATGATTGCTTCCCTCGGAAAACCGAGAGAAGAGATTCCATTCGAAAATCGCAAGAATTTGGCACCTGGTTTGAAAGGATATTATGTTCATAGACTTTTAGTAAATGCTGTAGCAATGTGGGCTTCACCTCGTTATGCTTGTTATATTTTCATGATGTTAGATGAACTATATAAAGCAGAACGTGGAGAGATGGAAAAGAAACTTCAAGCAAAAGATGAAGTCATTGAATCCAAAGACAAAAGCATACAGAAAAGAATACCGCGTTCAGTACCAAAAGGAAAGGAAAAGAGTTATAAGTATATGATATATACTGAAGAGTTGGAGAAAGAAGAAGATAAAGATATGGTTATGTTGCATTTAGTCAGAAGAAACAACAAGAGCTTTTATGACCTTGCTAAGATTTACAAATCTGACAGAAACTGGTTCTATCGTGAAAACTTACCGATTTCAATGACACCGAATGAGCAAATAAAGGAAATTGTCAAAAGTACTCTTCCTCAAACACACTATGACATCAAAGGTTGCACAATACTTACATTCAAAGAAGACTTACCGCTACTGAAAGAAAAAATAACAGAATATTTCGATAACTTCAAAGAGGAAGAATGAACAAAAATATATTTTTGCTTAAATGACGTCAGGGTCAATTTCTTCAACCATTTCACTTTCTTCGTCAATGTCAATAGAAGCTTCTTCAACCTTTGGTAAGAATTTCTGTATAACATCTTTGTTCGTTATTGTCTTCAGAGATGAAGGATAATATTTCACAGATGTTTCACCCTTCTTATATTCTTTCTGTTCGGAAAGATTTAAAGCAATACTGAAGAAGTCAATGTTAGAGTTCTTTATGACAGTATAATGAGTATCTTTGACATTCACGAAGAAACTCTTTTGTTTCAAAACTACTGCTAACTCTTGTGAAGTATAACGTTTGCGGTCAATGACGATAGCTAATGGTCTGACATACTGACCAAACTTAGATTCTTTCACAAACTTCTTGTTAAAGATAACATTAACATTTAAAGCATTATTGAACTCATTCTTGATGGCAGTAGCGAGAGCATTGTATGAAAAGAACTTGCAATCTTGCATGTGTTTCATTAAAATAAAAATATTAAATTATTTTGAAAAATAACTTTAAAAAATCTAATCTAATTTTTTCAAAAAAATATTTTTTTATTTCCTACTAAAGATGTATCGGAAGTTGTCCAAGTTAGAACACTCGGAAATAAAACAACTTCTTACAGAAGCTAATATAGATGTTGCAAAGCATTACGCAACAAACAAAAAAGCACTCGCTGACATCCTCAATGACTATAATGGTGCAATAAGTTATGATAGAATTCATGAGTTCATAAAGCCGCAACGCGGCGAGGACGAAGTCCATGCAAGAGAATTTCCTTTAAATGACATTGTTATTGACTTATATCATAGACGTTCAATACCTCATGAAGTAAGGCGTGAGATGTTTGACATAACAAATGCGAACGTTGGTCATACTCGTAAAGCTCTTTCTCATGATGTTCGTCAAGAGATGTTTGAACTTACGAACTCAAACGTTGGTGAAACACGAAAGAGAGACGACACACTGAAACAACAGAGAAGAGAGATGTTTAAAAATGCTATAGAACAAGTTCGCAAAGCTAACGATGTCATTCGTTCCATTGACGACAAACCAAAAGAAGGTGAGAGATGGTTAAAGAAAGATGAAGAGAATAGGAAGAGAAATGTGAAGTCAGGCAATAGACTCATTGACTTTAACATCGAAGCTTTAGATGAACCAAACAGAGACTACTTACACAAACATTTCGGTAAGGTTTTCATGAGACTCTTAGAGAAGATTAAAATAAACTCCCAACAAAGATGGATGGTATGTTATAAACTTGGTGGAAAGTATGAATGTTCTACGTTAAACCTCAATAATATTGGAACATTACTACATCAGCTCTTGAAGGAGAACTTTATATCAGAGATAGAAGCAAATGCTGCAGGTATTGTTGAAATGCACTATGACTTCTTCTTGACAAACATAAAGAATCTTACTGAAATAAAGATGTATGATTTAACTGAATATGAAGGCTTAACGATGTCAGATGTAAAGAAAGGCAAACCAAAAAAGAGACCATATAGAGATGAAAGCACACTGACAAATGACCAGAAAGCCACTTTGGAAGCTCTTAAGCAAACAGGAAACCCAGCACTTATAGAAAGCTTTTGGAAAGATAATGGTGAAAAGAAGTTTTATAAGAAGAGAAGCGGTCAGTTCTGGAAGTATCTTTGCACGTTACCTATAAATCTTGAACGCTACCAAATCTTCAATGAACTGAACAAAAGAACTGCAGCACTTATGACAGAAGACAATTGTTTCGTTTATGCTTGCATTCAAGCTGGAGTAGATGAAGAAACTATTGACCACATGAGAGAAGTCATTCGTGTTAGAGACTTTCCTCAAAGTAAAGTACAAGAAATTTCTGACGCAACAAGTATAGCATTTAATGTTACCATTGGTTATTTCAATGACTCAAGACATAATGAAATAAAGAGATATATACCAAAAGAATGTGAAACTGTTCGAACTATTGACTTACTTCTTGTTGAAGACCACTACATGCTAAACGAAAGATTACCAATGACAACATATTTCATTCGCAACTATATAGAAATCTTGAAGGAGTGTGGTGGAATGAACATTGAGAAACAGATGAAAATATATACAATGAGAGATGGTAAATACATTGTTCGCATGGATAGAACTACACCGCTATGGGATGTTATGAAAACATTGTGGGAGTGCAAATATTTCGAACCTATTTCTTATGGAGAACTTTTCACATATACTACTGACTTATATAAACAGAACCTTGCACCATTTAAAGATTTGACATATGCTCCAAAGTATTGTGTACAACTGAAGAAGAAAGCAGAGTCAAAAGAAGTAAATAAAAATAAGTGCAAGTTCATTCCTGAGCACGTTTTCTTTGCTGACTTTGAGTGCAGTACCGATGGCTTTCATAAAGCTTTTAACATCTGTTTTGACAGTGAAGATGGTTCAGTGAGTGAAAGCATATGGGGTCAAAACTGTGCAACAGAATTTTTGGAGCGACTTCCTGACAAGAGTTTAGTATATTTCCATAACCTCAGCTATGATATAAACTTCATCTTAAGACACATGACAGAAGTGAAAGGAACTCCCATCATTAAAGGTTCACGAACAATGCAAATAACTGGTTTATATAAAGGAAGGGCAATTATTATAAAAGACTCTTACAGTGTTATAAATAAGAAGCTTAAACTATTTCCTGCTATGTTTAACTTACAAACAGGACCGAAAGAAGTATTTCCATATAACTACTACAGCAGTGTTTTGTTAGCAAATGACAACAGAACTGGTGTCATTTCTGAAGCGTGTAAGTTTGTAAAAGATATTGAAACGTTCATGAAAAACATAGATTCCATCAAAGGTTGCAGAATAGATGAAAACCACTTCGACTTAGAAAAATATAGCTCATTTTATTGCAAACAAGATGTAAGAATTTTAAGAGAAGGTTTTGTTAAGTTCCGCAATGACATATTGAAAGAGTTTGATTTAAACGTTTATGACTACGTTAGTATTTGTTCAATTGCTAACAAATTATTTGAGAACAGAGTATACTTCCCGAATGGAAATCTTTATGACCTCTCAAATAAACCAAGAGAATTTATTTCGAGATGCATTCAAGGTGGAAGATGTATGCTGTCAGATAACATTAAACAAAAGAGCGAAAAGAAACTCATTGCTGACTTCGACGCTGTTTCATTATATCCATCAGCTATAGCAAGACTCTATACTTTAGAAGGTATACCGAAAGTATTGAAGAAAGAAATGTTAAGCACAGAGTATCTCATGAGACATTTATTCGATGACGACCAAAAGGAACCCATTGGTGAAAAGTTTATGTCTGGCTTCTTTGTTCTCATTAAGATAACAGAGATTGGAATACATAGACACTTTCCTTTAATAGTTTGTGACCCTGAACTAAATCCAGAACTTAACGTTCCCAGAAGTTCAAACACTTGCTGTTTAATGTATGTTGACCATATAACATTACAAGACCTCATAAAATATCAAGGTGTCAAATGTGAAGTGTTGCAAGGATACTATTACGATGGAAACAGAGATATTAGAATAAGAGATGAAGTAAAGAAGTTGTTTGAGTTAAGGTTAAAGTATAAGAAAGAAGGAAATCCTTTGCAAGAAAATATAAAGCTCATTCTGAACAGTATTTATGGCAAAACTATTCTATCTCCTATTGAGTCAAAAATAACCATAGTAGATGACAAAGATGCTATAAGATATGCTATAAGAAATTACAACCATATAGTGAAGTTCGAAGGTTTGGATGGTTCAGATAAAACTATTTTCAAGCTAACGAAAAGCATTTGCAGACACTTTAACTTCTGTCCACTTGGTGTTAACATTCTATCTATGTCGAAGAGAATAATGTGTGAAGTATTCTGTACTGCTGAAGACTTAGGAATGGACATCTTTTATAGCGATACCGACAGTATGCATCTCTACAATGAAGATATCCCTCGTTTAGCTGAAGAGTTTGAGAAACGTTATGGAAGAGTTCTCATTGGTAAAAACCTTGGTCAATTTCATAGCGACTTTGCAGAAATCACAAAAGATAAACAAAGTTTAGCATACAAATCAATATTTTGTGGAAAGAAGACTTACATAGACTTACTCACTAACGATTTAAATGAAGTTGCATTTCACTGCAGAATGAAAGGCGTGAAGCAAGATGTTATTGCTTTAACCGCTAATGAAATGTTTCCTGACTCTGTTCAGTGTTTCTATGATGAAGATAAAGGTTTAATGGTTCCGCAAGGAAAATTTGACAAAGACTCTGAGTTCAGTGTTATGAAGTTATATAAAGCACTTTATGACGGTCAAGAGATTGGATTTGACTTATGTAAGTCTTCTAGTCCTTGCTTTGCTGAAAAGTTTAACTTCTCAATAACGACTAAAACAAACTTTATTCGTAAGTTGAAGTTCTGAGGTCATTTATTTTTGTCAGCAATGAGGTCATGAATGAGGTCAGCAATGAGGTCATGAATGAGGTCATGAATGAGGTCAGCAATGAGGTCATGAATGAGGTCATTTATTTTTGTCAGCAATGAGGTCATTCGTGATAAAAATAAAGCTAGCGTAGATTTTACAATACTGCTATGGTAGAGTTTAAGAGTTGTGCTTCAATGTAGAGACAGTCCTTATGGTCTGGAGGCAAGAACACTGGACATTTATGGTCGTGAGTGGAGAACATGTCTATCCAAAACTCACGATTGAAGCCAGTTAATTTATAGTATTTAGGATTTGGTAATGGCGAATTTCTTGTATGACCAATGAACTCATTTTCAACTCCCTTACTTAAGTTTGAATATAATATAGCTTGCTTTCTATCCCAAATGCCAGGTGTTACAATCTTTGAAAATTCATTTTTCCTCGGAAGCATTGCATCATAATTGAAAACATTCTTGAAATCATCACTTGGTTCAGATATTTGAAATCTTATACGTAATGGATTTTCTTTCTCTTTAGCGACTTCATTGAATGGTGAGAATACAACAAACTGACAGTCATGTGTTCCATCTTCATTTTCATTAAATTCATAATGAAAGTCTATAAGTTGTGGCTGACTACCTTCTTCTTTCAGTTGTGCAAGAAACTCACGTAAAGGCTGTAAAGTTTGTACTTCAATGTTGAACTTTTTCTCGAACATCTCATTAAATGAAATCATACATTGTTGTAATGTTGTATCGTCTTTAAAGTATTTGTATATGTGAATGTTTTGGGCGCTTAAAGACTGTTCGTCATTTTCTATCTCGACTTGAAGTATAAAGTCAACCTTTCTGAAAGCACGTGTTATATACATAGATGTTATGCCAATGTACTTCTCTTCATTTATGTTCACAATCCAGTCTGTTGGAAACTTAAACGTTACTCTGTTCCCCTTTATTTTGACGTCAGGGTTTTCACTACTGAACGCAACAGTTAAAGGTATTTGTCTATACATTTAATTCGGATAAAAATAAACCATTTACTCTTTCTTTGCTTCAGCTTCTTTAGCTTTTTGTTCTTCCTTTGCTTTTGCTTCTTCTCTAGCTTTCTTTGCCAGCAAACGTGGGTTCTTTTGTCTTCCAGCAGCTAATGCAGCAAGTTGTTTTTCACTAAGTTTTCTCTTTGGTCTCTCTGGCTTTTGTTCTTGTTTTTGTTCCTTCAGTTCGGATAAAATTTGCTCGCGAATTTCTTTCTTCAATGCTTCAACATCTATGACCCCTTGGGTCTTGTCCGTAGGGCTTGTCTGAGTCATTTGACTGCAGATAAAAAACAAAATTAAAACTTTAACCGATGTAAAATGAGCTTGTCAAAATCAGAACGAGAGTCTATTATATTAAATGACGCCAGAGGAATACAACATCCTTTCTATTACGTAAGTCAGAGTAAAGATGGTAAAATATATGTAAGAAAAAGAAAGGTTCCATTAGCGGATGCAGAAAGCGACAACATTAAGGTGCATGGCAAGGGTGAAGTCCACGAAGCCCATATAAAACCTTCTGTTCAAACTGAAAAGTCAATAGAACAAGAAGAAAAGAAGCCAGATGTACTTTCAATAACGAACCAAGAGCTTATTGCAAAGTTCGTGAATTTCATTGAAAAACAAACCGAGTCAAAGAACCCTGACCCGCCAGTGAAAGAAGTTGAGACAAAAGAGAATGTACAGTTCATTGAAAATGTCAAGAAACAACTTCCACCACGAATGCCAAGAAGAAGAGTGAGAATAATGAAGTAAATAGATATTTTTATCTGAAGTAAATACATGCAGAACGAACAGCTAAACGAATTTACTCCAGCAGAGCATATTCATCAGATTCGCTCATATTTCGATATCATAGACAATGCAGTTCAAATTGGTGACACTAATAGAAAATATTCTGACGCAAAGATTCCATCACAACCTGGAACTGCTAAAGATAACACATGGGTAACATTCAATCTCTCACCTCCTGGTGAAAATATGTTGGACCTTTACAATACATTCATTACGTATAAGATGGAAGGTCAATTTATTGTAGATAAAGAAATTGGTTCAGGTTCCAATAAAACAAACCCACCAGGATTTTGGATTGGTTTCGATGACGCTTTCTATGCAGTTGCTGGATATCAAATCCTTGCAAATGGTCGTATCGTATATTCTCAAGACAACGCAAGAGAAGAAGCATATATAACTTCAAACTCACAAACTACCGAACAAATAAAGAAAGTAGATGTTTTCTCAAAGACTCGACATGAAGATGTATGGAGTCATTCGGGAACATGCAGAACAGGACAAATTGTTAGTGGTCCAATTACAGCAGGAAAATCATTTGATTTTAAGCTTCGTTTAAGAATTCCTGTTAGAAGATTCCTTCCATTAGAAGCTATTCGATTTATTCCAGCTTTTGCAGGAAACATTCAGCTTAAAGTAAAGTTCAGTAGCGACGCCTTACAATGCACATCTATATCTGTAAATGATATCGTTGCTTTCAATCTAACTCTTAAAGTTGCATTTGCTTCAGATTCAAATCCACCGACAAATAAATTTGTTCCATGGAATGAACCATTCACTATGATAACGAAGGCAGTAGAAGCTAGTGGAACAGTTACTATTACAACTGTAACCCAGCAACTATTTCGAACAAAGATGGATTTTAATGAATGTTTCATTCATCCAAAGTCATTCTCTTTAGACCCTAACATTTATACAGAACTTGTAGAACATTATACAAACGAGGCTTTATGTTTTCCTGTTAAAGTTATGGATTGGATTCCTATGGACGGTTCATTCTCAAAGAATACAGATAGTTCAAGTGCAACATTTACAGCAGCTTATACGCCTATTAATGTTAAAAGTATTTGGGCACTATTTAGAAAGAAAGACAACTATTATGTTAATTTTGAGAACCCTAAGTTTAAATATCTTCAGCTTTCCATGGGAGCTTATGGAAATATGCCTGCAGAACCTGAAAAATCATATGGACCTGTATTTTATGAAATGGTTGCGAACGCCTGCAATACAAACAATGATATGATAGGATTTAATGAAGATGTTATGAGGTCATTGGTGGATGATGGTAGTGTGGAACATAAATGGGATAGCTATGACAACACACATTTCTTATGTGGTTTTCCAACAGAAGTGGACTTTTGCTTCCAGCAAGGTCAAACATCTACTGCTCCAATAACATACAAATTGTCTGTTAAAGGACCTATTGAACTAGCAACTGAAAATGTACCAAAGCCACTTATTGGATTTATGAGGGATTGTTGCTTTGCCATTCAGGTGCGTGCTAATGGAATCCCAATAATAAGATTAGATGACTATAACTTAGCTGCGGACGACAGTGAGGAATAAAGGATGAACGTTTATTTTAAAGCTTATAAATGAGTTCTTCATCAAGCTCTCGTGAACCTTCACCATCTATGAAACAAACTTTACCAAACGATTATGGAGCACCTATTGAATATTTCTTACGAGCTGCACAATGGCAAAGAGCAGTCTCACCAAGGTTAGGTGTTCCACCAGCTCCTGTCAAAAATAGCATTTGGTCAAGTCCTTATATAAGATATGGTCTCCCACTAGGTTTGCTAGCTACAGCAGGAGCAGTTATGATGTTGAAAAGAAATAAAGCAAATGTTGTAAATAATACTGAAGTAGCTGAAGTTAAACAAACTCCAACACCTTTGCCAAAACCAACGCCTTCACAAGCAAAACCTTCAATGACTCCTGAACCTATGGAAGTACAAACTCCTGTTCAAAAGTCAACTCCTAAACCGACTCCAACATTTAAACCAGAACCTACTCCTCAAATAAATCGTAAAACTCCTGCGTTTCCTTACTGAAAAAATAACGTTATTTTTATTTAATATTAAAATTTTTATTTGATTGAAATGACAAATAAAGTCACTGAAGCAATGAAACAAAAGTTTTTGGTAGAATACATTAAATCAGGAACTATTCCAGAAGGTTTTTACATTCATACTATGAAGGATGGTAGAGTTCAGTTTAGAAAGATAAAGCAACCATTAGATAAAGAAGGAATTTTGAGAAAGATTAAACTTCATGAGGACAACATTGCTAAACTTAAGAAGAAGTTAGAAGAGTTGGAGAAAGGAAGAGAGTTATAAAGCAATGAATTCAACAGGGTGAAAAAACAGGTGAAAAAAGAGGTGAGATCTCACCACTTCACCTAAATTTATTTTTGCGCTATGTTTTCATACGTGTGAGGGTGGTGATATCATTAATTTTTAAGTTTATTTTTTATTTTACTGAAAATTTTTATTTGGATGTAAATGACAGAACAAAAGCAACTCATTCGAATTCCACAGTATAACAAACATACATTTAAACATTTATTCTTCCTTCCTGAGCATAACATGTTCTTTCAAATACATCCGAGACCAGTTGACTTTTCATTGACTGTGTATAAAGATAGAAATAGTTATATCATTAAACCATACGATGACGAAGGTAAGTTATGTAAATTGTACGTTAAGAAGTTAGAGAAAGTTTATGGCTTCAAGTATGACTACAATAGGGTTAACATTGATGATGAAGATATTGAGGAAAATTTATGAGAACATTAGTGAAGTCGTTAGTGAGAATGATAGTGAGAACGTTTATTTTTTACATTAGTGAGTTCGTTAGTGAAGTGGTTGGCGGTTTTATAAAGTGTCAAATTCACAAGTATTGGGTAAGGTGGAACGCAGTGCCGCCGTACCCAAGACTTGTATACTAACTAATAAACCTTTCTCGAAAAGAATGTTTACAGCTCTGACAATGTTGCACTTACTTTTACCAAAGAATGGGTTTGTAAGACTTTCGTTCAACATGAAGTGGTTGTGGACAATTACAATCTTCAACCATGGTAAGTCTTTGTCAACAACATAGTCGTCATGTGAAGAACCTTTAGCTGTAGGTATGTTGACTCGGATATTGACATTTGCCAACGGTGCAATTTTTGCCAATTGACCTCTGAGAATGTACCTTGTCTTCACACATGACTCAAGATACTTCATCTTCTCATCTGTAACAAGACCAGAGTTCCTGAGACATGTAAGAATGCAAGGTTCGTTGACAATTGTTTCAATTGAATTGTAAATTCCATACCTTGTCAAGTCAATGTCAGACTTATTTATGAACGGGAAGTATCCAGCATGTTGTCTGACTGCTTGAGGGTTGGGTTGGTACCATTCGAACTTGACACTTGCAATTCCTTCAATTGCATTCAAAATGTCTGAGTCGGAGTCAACCATTTGTACTCTCTTTGTAGTCTTGAAAGCGTCAAGAAGTTTTGCGGCTGTTTGTTCATTGCCATGTGCATAGTAAATGTGACCATCCAAATCTGTTATGGTCAATCTGAGATTGTGTCCTTTCTTATTTCCGTCTTGAATTGCAGCAAGTACTCCCATGAAGCCTTTTTTGTTCTTTCCTTCGTCAAAGTTTACTGTAAAGGTTCGACCAGATGTAATTTGACTTCTAACTTCACGATACTTTTCATATGCATATCTTGTTCTTTCCATGGGAGCATGTGCGTCTTCACCTTTTCCTTTTTTCCTTCTCAAAGGATGCAATTGTTCGTCATGTTTCCAGTAGAATCTGGCAAAGCCGTCGTGTCCTTCAACTTGAGGTTCACTAACATCGAAAGGCATGTCCATAAGACGTTCTTCTTCTAACCTCTCTAGTCTGTTTGGATAATTGGCACGTGCTGTTTCCAAATCTAATTCGTAGGTAAGACCTGTCAATTTGTCATAGACTTTTATTGGCTTTCCCTTCCTATATTTAAACTTCTTCGAAACTCTCCAACCATATCTTTGTAACTCTGCTTTTATTCTAGCAGACTTTCTGTCCATTCTATATGGGGGCATTTTTATAAAAATAAAAAAATATTTTTTTCTTTACTTTACATAACCGCCTGCTGCCATAAGTCTTTGACGCCAACCCATACCAGCTAATGAAGGTTGACTTGGTTTAGTTTGGAAACTAAACTTTGGTTTTGGTTTATCTTCAGTTTTTGGTTTTTCTTCTTCTATCGGTTTTTCGTCACTTTTCGGTTTCTCTGACTTTACTTCACTTGCAGGAACAGTTGTGTCGTCAACATCTTCATAAATATCATATGCCATTTGTTTTTGTTTTCCTTTCAACTTTTTGTGTTTGTTGTAAAGTTTAGAATATTTCGACTCTAAGTCAATGAGATGTTCTATAATGAACTGTTGGTCAGTGAAGTAAACTTTTCCATATGTTGTCTCGAAAGCTCCTTCAGACTTCAATATTTTATTTGTGAGAGTCTGTTTCTTTTTTGAGATACTAGCCGTTCCATTTCTATGAAAAGTGACTTTGTAGTTAGGATTTGAGTTACCAGATCTGGCACTTTCTATTATTGAATTTTTCTCTTCATCTGTAAGTTCTTTGACAGGTTTTGACAATGGTTCTGAACTTTTTGTTTGTGGTGTCAAATCTACCGTTTCAACTTCTTCGGTCATTTCATCTCAGTAAAAAATTTTAATTTGGTTTGTTTTCAACTGGTTGTTTAGGTTTTTTAAGTCGGTCTAAAACTTCCTGAGGTATAGGAAGAACTTTACAAACACGTGGTGTAAAAGGTGGTCTTCCATGACTTATTCTGTTTAAAGCTGCATTGTTCATTTCATCTCAATAAAAAACTTTATATTCTCCACGTTTGAGGCGGTTGAGGTTGGTTATTGTTTACCCACTGTTGTGCATGGTTATATCCTCTGTTAAAGAATCTTTCACCTTGGTCCATATAGTGTCCTGCTTGGTTATAGTAGTCATTTGCTTTGTTATAATAGTTTCCTGCTTGTCTTCCTACATTGTCCATCCATCCTTGAACTTTTCCTCTTGTTTCAGGATTTGGAATAAGATTTGTTGCATCTCGTGCTACATCCCAACCTTTCTGTACAGTTTGTATAATAGGCTGAGCTTTGTCTTTCAGTATACCTAATGTACTCAAAATCTTCCTTCCAATTTCAAATGCACCTCTGGCTATTGTTCCCACTGCGGGTAAAAATCTAGATGCGACTCCTGCTAATGCGCCAAATAAACCCATTTCTTATAGGGTAAAAAATGACGAATCCGAACAAGGACCCCTATGTTTCTAAAGCGACAAAGAAAGCACTCATGATAAAAATCTTTAGTTCAACACCAAATGCTTGGTTTATGGATATCTTGGAAAACATTCCGAGAGTTAGAACAGATGGACCTACATACTGGTTAATATTTGTTGGTCAAAACACAAGATACTGTGAAGCCATACCATTATGGTCCAAAAATATTTTAGATGTGAAAACTGCTTTGACAATATTCGTTGACAAATACCATCCAACAAAACTGACATCTGACTGTGAAAGTTCTTTCAAATCAGATGATATTAAAAACTATCTGCGTTCAAAAAATGTAAACCAATATTTCATTGTCGACCAAAACCATTCTGCTCTTGGTGTCATTGACGGATGTATAAAAATGTTAAGAGACTTAAACCAACCACAAGGTGGTGAAGCAAATGAAATGTCATATGACGACAAGTATAGACACTTCTCCATGGCAAAGATGAGACAAGTTTTAAATATTTACAATAACCGTAAACAAAAAGGGTTGGGAAACCACTCCCCGAAGAAATGAAAAACAACCCTGACTTAGAGAAAGACTATATATTTAATAATTTAGTCAAAAGAGACAAACAAGAAAGAATGCCGGGCTTCAAACTTCAGAAAGGTGACAAAGTAAAAATAGAAATACCTAAACGCGACCCATATGAAAATACTATTGACTATGACAACAATGGGAACCCGACAGGTACTCACATTCGTGTTCGTAAAAATAGAAGAAAGTATACAAGAGAATATTATGAAGTTTTAGGCAAACATGGCAAAATGTACACACTGCAAGCAGAAGATAAAACTACTATTGTCAGACCTCGTTTCAAACTTGTCAAAGTTCAAGGTGGTATACTTTCAAAGACAGTTCCTAACAAATATAAGACAACTCCTGACGAATATGCTAAAGAAGTTGAAAATGACGACTAAGCAATTCTATACCATGCGTAAACTGTCATGTAAGGTGGCATGTATTCTTTACTTTGTCCCGTTGTTTGTGTATATCCTGAAACGAAATGTGTATGGTTTCCTTCTCCCTGCGTGTCATCCCAGTAACAAATTATAGCAAACTTAACGTCGTCTTTAACATCATATCCTTTACCTTTTGTCATTCCTGACCAATCCCAATATCTATGCTTATGCCAACCTGCTTGAGATGTACTTAAATCTATGTAATGACTGTGTGCAGGTAAATTTTCACCTGAAATCGTTTTACTTCCACCTGTTTCCTTTGAAGAGTTTGCACAATACAAAAACCCGTCGACTATTTGTTCCCATGCACCAACACCAAACATTACTTGAGGACCTCTTGCATCCATAGATGTATAAATAGAACCTACTGGGTTCATTAAATCAAACATATGAGATATTATAGGATTGTCTCTTTTGAACTTAAAATATAGTGCAACTATTTCAGGTTTCTTCTGGTTTGTGTCAGAATATTTTTTATAATATAATCTTATGTTTTCAGGGTAGGTACAGTCTTGACTATAATATTTATTTCTGTCATCTGTATAATAATATACTATTCTCGTTTTTTCTATTGCATTATATCTTTTATATCTATAATAATCTAAATATAATGTTAGTTTTTGTTCATCTACATGTGGTGTTCTGTCGTCATCTCCATAGTCATAATAATGTGGTGCCGGAGCTGGGTCAGGTAATATCATATCCACCATTTCATAAACTCTTAAATATTTCTTTTGTTCGTCTCCATATAAGTTTAAGTAGCAGTTGTTGTCTAATGGAACTTTAACTTGTGTACCATCATTCTTTTTATAGCTTACATACATTTTATTGTTATTTTTCGGAATGAGTTTATACCGTGTACCATTTTCTAAGGACTGTACCAACTGCCATCTAAAATATTTATTTTCTTCATTGACAGAAAAGTCACCAACAATAGTTTCAATATTTTTTGTTCCTATCAAACTTTGGTATATTTCATTGACATATGTTTTATCTGCTTTATTTTCAAGGCTAACGTTTAAGTCTGTTATTTCAGAAGATGTATGTGTATGTCCAACGTCACTTTTCCTGTTTAAGGTTTCTTGTAAGTTTGTAATATTTGCAATGGTATGTGTATGTCCAACGTCACTTTTCCTGTTTAAGGTTTCTTGTAAGTTTGTAATATTTGCAATGGTATGTGTATGTCCAACGTCACTTTTCCTGTTTAAGGTTTCTTGTAAGTTTGTAATATTTGCAATGGTATGTGTATGAGTCTTATCTGCTTTTGTCTCTAATGTTTCCTTAAGACTTGGTATTTGGTTAATATAATGTATATGAGTCTTTTTAGAATATTCGTTTTCAGCTCTTGTCACTTCACTTGACATTTTATTGTCAACATATGTTTTGTCTGCTAGTTCAGGATGAGTATGTTCTTTTGTTGCATAAGCATTGTTAGCTCTTTCTTCTTCTTTTGCTATTGCATCGTCTACATATTCTTTGTCAGCTTTGTTGTCAACATCTGCTTTCAAAAGAAGTTCATTTATAGGTTTCTCGTTTAAAGTTCCTTTTGTTGGATTTATACAGACAGTATTGTTCTTATTGTCTTGAAATAGAAACTCATCTGTCATTGGGTTTATTGTCAGTTTTAAGTCACCCCCTTTCAATGACTCAGATATCTTAGAATAGTTTGAAAAGTTTGTTGTGTTCTTATTTAGAGCTTGCATGTTTCGTACCGAAATGGCTAACAAAAAAAGTGACAGAAAACCTTAAATTGCGCGGCAATTTTAATTAAAAAAATAAACATTAATTTTTGTGATTGATATTATGCATTTTATTTATATTATATAAGATTTAAATTTAGGGGAAAAATTGGAAAAAAAATAAGATTGGAAGTCTTTAGGTAAGAAGGAAAAGGCAAGAGATATATAGTGTACCTATATACCTCTTGCCCTTTCATTCTAAGTAGAAATGGGAGAAACTTTGTCCGCATCATAAGTTATGCGGACAAAGTTTCTCCGATTTCTAATGGGAATTGCAGGCTATGAAGCACTGATAAAGTCTTTTCAGGGGGGTTATACCGTGATATTAGCCTTGTACCGAAAAAAGTGACGGGCAATGCCGTAAAATAATATTTTATTAAAAAATTTTTGGTGGAGAATTGGAAAATTTTTGTTGGAAAATTGGAAAATTTTCCTAATCATTTGGATATAACCTGGCATATTAGGGAGTTTTGTCAACAACTCAGTGCTGGGATCAAGATAGTTTGTAATCCAAAAGTAGAAACGTTCCTTGGTGTCTTGTTCTGGCTTCCTGCAAAATCTGTGATTTGCAGGATTCTTCTTAATATTGTCAGAAATTGCGCAAATCATGTCCATCGTCGTCAATTCTTCACCATTGATGTTAAAACGATTTCGATTACGGTAATTTCTTTTCTCTTGCAATTCTTTTTCTGCAGGAGTCAATTCACGAACATACTTATTATGTTTGAGAGCTTCTACAGAACAAGGGCAAAGACCGCAGGCGGCGGCAGCATTTTGAACCGTTCTTAATGATACTGATTCTTGCCATGCGCTAATAAATGAGTAGATAATGGCGTAGCGCATCATTGCAGCATTGCTGTTGAACTCTTGCTTCGGTGCCTTAATGTAATCTCTCAGATAATCCGTGAATTTGGACTTTAATCTTTTGGCAATGCCAACATCAAATACTTGTAAAATGTGTGTTGTATGTGCGGGAAGAACAATTAATTTGATGTTGGCACTTGCCAAAAGGAACAATGCCAGAGGATTCTCGCGGCTGGAGTGTCCATCACACACAATGAGAGCAGGCTTGTCACGTATATCTTCTGGCATTCTCTGGCGTTCAAAGTTAAGCCACTCGATGAAGAAAATGCAATACAATAAGAATACACTTCTGTTCACCCAGCCTTTTGGCGTAGAAGTAAACCAACAATGTCTTTCGCGCTGGAATACTTTCAGTTCTCTAGGTAGTTCTGGAAACAATAAGAATTACCGAAAAAGTGACAAAACATCAAAAACAGGGAGGGGGTCTCAATTTTTATTACTTATATTATTTTACAATATTTATATAAATACTCTTTATAATATATTTTACTATAAAATTATACCTCAAATTCAAATATTTAAAATATTATTTACATAATTATCTCAAAATTATATTTTTATATATTATTTTTCATATGTATAAATCATATAATCTATATCTATGCAAATCTCATCTAAATTTTTTTGAAACAAACCGCTACCATTTTATAATGGTCCATCTTAAATTCATCATAAATTCTGGTACATGTTAGTACCAGAGTCTTCAAATCTCAAACACTCTGGTACCAACATGTACCAGACGCGAGTTTCCAATGCCCTCGTACGATTTTCTATTAAGATCTTCTTGAATGAGAAGGTCTTCATAGAAACTCGTACGAGGGCTTCTCTTTTAAATACTCTGGTACCTGCTGGTATCGGAGTCGACTTTACAGCCCTTTCCCCAATTTTGAAGCTGGGGAAAGTTTTCAAGCAATGAAAGGGAAGCTCTCGCTATGAGGTGAAAATCTAGAATTTTTACCTCATAGCGAGTAATCCTTTGTTAATTGCTTGAAAACTTTCTTCAAATTATCAAAATTTCGAGGAAAGTTTCCTTGCTTCAAAGTAGAGATGGAGCCCTTTGAGCCACTGCATATAGGTCAGTGACTCAAAATACTCCATCTCTACTAGAAATCGCCAAAATTTGGGTCGCAATCTTTGAAATGCGACGCAAGTTTTGGCAATTTCGCGAGGGACTTGCTCCATTTGGTGCATAGATTCACACTCTATGCACCAGATGGAACAATTCTTTCGCTGACAGCGGGAAACTTTGTCTGAATAGTTTAACATTCAGACAAAGTTTTCCGCTGTCAGAGAGGGAATGGAAGGGTAAGAGATATATATTCATAATGTATACCTCTTACTCTTCCATTCCCTCAAGAAAGTTCAAAAACTTGGGTGCAATCAGTTCTGATTGCACCCAAGTTTTTGAACTTTATATAAGGAATTGTTGGCTATGATGTACTGATCATGAATCAGTACATCATAGCCAACAATTCCTTCGCAAACAGTGGGAAACTTTGTCTGAATAGTTTAACATTCAGACAAAATTTCCCGCTGTCAGGGAGGGAATTAGAGGGTGGGAGATATATAGATAGACTATAAATCTCTCACCCTTTAATTCCCTCAAGAAAGTTCAAAAACTTGGGTGCAATCAGTTCTGATTGCACCCAAGTTTTTGAACTTTATATAAGGAATTGTTGGCTATGATGTACTGATCATGAATCAGTACATCATAGCCAACAATTCCTTCGCAAACAGTGGGAAACTTTGTCTGAATAGTTTAACATTCAGACAAAATTTCCCGCTGTCAGGGAGGGAATTAGAGGGTGGGAGATATATAGATAGACTATAAATCTCTCACCCTTTAATTCCCTCAAGAAAGTTCAAAAACTTGGGTGCAATCAGAACTGATTGCACCCAAGTTTTTGAATTTTGTATAAGGAATTGTTGGCTATGATGTGGATAGCCGCTGCCAGACCAAATGAATTAACCGTTGTGAATAACGTTTCTGAATCTTTATTTAAAAAGATAAAATATCACGATTTTGGCTGCGTTAAAAATCAAAGAATTGATGTTTTTGTCAAAAATCTTTTAGAAGAAGTTGCACCCAATTACTTTTATCGTATTAAAAACGATTTACTTCAAACAGGTTTTATTCCTTCAATTAGAATTCGCGAGCCTCGATTGACAGATTATAAAACAAAATTGAAAAGAGAAGTTCAATCACGTTTATACCAAGTATTAAATTTTGTTCAGAATCAAGAAGCCAATTTGAATCCATTAAGATTTTTATTGGAAAATGCTGAAGAAAAACTTTCTCAAATAAATGAGAAGATACAAAATTCAATTACATATTTAAGATCGTTTGAAATTCCAAATGAATTGTTAGATACGTATATGTTAGAAATTAATGAATTTTGTTATAATTCTCCAGATTATATTTTAGAACATTTCGAAGAATTTTTAGAGGATTTCAAAGAAAAGAATAATTTAATAGACTAAAAAATTTATTATTTTTATTTATTGTGAATTTTAAATTGTCACTTTTTAAGTGTTACTCCCTATTGAAAGTGTCACTTTTTGGGTGTCACTTTTTCAGAAATTCTTATATACTCAATACACTTCTGTTCACCCAGCCTTTTGGCGTAGAAGTAAACCAACAATGTCTTTCGCGCTGGAATACTTTCAGTTCTCTAGGTAGTTCTGCAATACATGGGAGAACAAAGAGAGGTGGGACAGATTTGCCTGTCATTGAGCATCCGCATAAAGCTGTAATGTGCGGAAAGTTTGGAATTCCTTTGGCGATCATATGCTCTATCTCCTCAGGTAATGCAACTTTCTTCTTCTTAAATTTGTTTATGAATGTTTCATCGATACTAAAAATCAACTCCTCTGGAGTACTTTCGATTGTTTCACGATGTTTATCGTAGAATTCTTCGATAATTCTTGGTTCACACGCCATGTATCTTGATTCTTCAATCTCTTGGCATGCCTTAAGCTTGCAATGCAATTGCTGTAAAATATGGTTAACATAAGGTCTCGATACATCATCACCACCAAGAGTATTGATAACTTCTTCTGCAAGAGTAGGACAATTAATCTCAAGAAGGAATCTGTAACCATAATCTCTTCTGAGCTCTTTCAACTTGAACGCCTCGTCAATAATGTCAGCTGCTTCTAGAGCTTCACCTTTGTAAGCAGAATCTTCGATAATTTCTTTTAAAGTGAGCTGATCACGCTCGCATAGGTATGGATCTGCACCTGTTGTGCATGAAAAATAGCATGACTTCACTTTTGACAAAAAGTGACAGTATTTATGATGGTTTTGTCATTTATTTGTCAGATTTATAAATGGATAATAATGCTGTAAATCAGATATTAATTAAAAATATTTAAGATTTATGTTCAAATTGAAAAGCAAAATGATATTTTTTTAATTGAAAAACGTTAATATCTGATATTTTGAAGTTTTTAATATTTGTTAGTATCTTAAATTATTGAATGCATACGTTTTTTATGTTCTCAATTTTAAAAAAATTGTGAAGAATTTAGTTTTTTGGAGATGGATGTTTAATATTTGTGAGTGAGAATGCAAGCAGGAGTTTGGTACTTTAAGGCTAGGTTGAGATAGATTTCCCATTATATTATCTGTGAATATATTGTTTGAAAATTCAAGATATAAAAATATATTATCAAAAAATTTTATATTTTTAAATACAATAGGGTGGAAATATAGTACGATGAGATAGCAATGATATATTTTATAATGGGAGGTAATCTGAAGATAAGTAGCAAATTTTATGCGATTTTGATTGGGAGTTGGAGGGTGTGAGTACTATAGCATGTAATAGTATCTCACACCCTCCAATTCTTCCTATGGCGCCGAAAAATTTTTGGTGAAATGCGACGCCATTTCACCAAAAATTTTCGGCGCCATATAGAGAACTATAGTCTGCGAGGTACTGATTCTATCTATGTACCTCGCAGACCATAGTTCTCAGCCAAAATGTCAAAAATTTCGGAAATTCGAAATAATTTTTTTGAGAAAAATTTAACCGTTTAACATTGCCAAAAATCTAAAAAACTCACAATTTTTTTTAAATTGATAACCCTCAAACCGTTTTCAATCAATAATTTGAGAGTCTATATGATAATGTAAAAGTTAAAATATTCAAGTATTTAAGTATTTCTTTAAAATATTAAGTTTTTTATTTTTCCAACAAAATTCTAATATCAAATATTTTTATTTAACGATTAATTTTATTTATATTTTTATAGTTTTTTTTAAGAAAAAATATTGTTAGGGTTTTATGGATTTTCAATTAATATACAAGATAATTCATGAATGTATATATTTCCAAGTTTTTAAGGATGCAACACTTTACATTTGTAAACTGTCAAAAATGAAGTCACGCTATTTTTCATGCATTACAGGTATGGATCTGCACCGCCATGATTCCCTTTTTCCCAGTATAGACCTAATGCAGCTCTTTTAAGTGCAGTAGCAATGAGATTGGATGTTAAAGTTCCGAGATCTGGGTATTCTTCCTCCCATGCAAGCTTAGTTTGACTATATGTCATACCTTCGGCGCGACAATTGATGATAAACTTTTGTTGTCTACCAAGAAATTCGACTGTGAGAAATTCCATTTTTAATTTTAAACGAGCACTTGAGCCACGTTTTATCTGACTTCACCAGCCAAAAAGCCCCTGTACTAAGTGTCATGTTTTTGTTTATTTTAAAGTTTCTGCCATGTAATGGTTTACATTGCAAAATTTTTGAATACTTTACATCACCATAAAATGGCAGTACAAGGCTAGTTTATCGGTACAAGGCTCTTGAAATGACTTTATATAATCAGTACCTCATAGCCTACAATTCCCCTTATTAGACTTCCAAACTTTGAGTTAATGTAAAGACATTAACTCAAAGTTTGGAAAACTTCTCGTAAGAATCAATCGTCAAAAACCTCGATTGCAGTTATATTCATTGTGTTAAATTTGATTTATTTTGAAATTTTTATAAATTAAATTTTATATAACATAAAGCGTTATGAATTAGTATTTCCATATGAATTTTATCTCGAAAATAGTAATTCTGTACAGTTATATTTCGGTTAATTTTGGAAATTTCTAGGAATACTTTAAGATAGTATGATTATATATAACTCTGCCTTCATGATTTATTTTAGCTTTCGCGCAAATATCAGTTAACTTAACTCCATTATTTGATTTTGTGATGGCTTCACAAAGCCAATCAATATCAATCTCTTCTGGAGAATGTCTTCTCATCTAGAATATTTTTAATACTTTACATACAAACATTTTTATTTCTAAAGAACTTTTTAATTTTTTCTAGGATATATGAATGAAAATAGTTAGAACAAGATTTTGAAGCTCAAAACATTAAAAATTATTAAAGATTTGTATAATATGATTAAAAATGGGAAATAATATGAGGCAATATAAAGGAATATGAATATTAAATAAATATATCTAAATAGAAAGAATCAGAAAAATCAAATTATTGGCGCCAAAAATGTCACCTTTTTGGTGAGCCATTTCGGTATGAGATATTATTTAGAGCTTGCATAATGAGTTGTCGGTTGTGTTGTATTTCTCTCATAGACGCTGTTTCATTTGACATTTTTAAGTTAGTATACATATCAAGGGTACGGAGGCACTGCGTTCCACCTTACCCATTATATGTGAATTTGACACTTTACAAAACCGTTAACGTATATTTTACAACACTAACGACTTCACTAACGAATTCACCAACCACTTCACTAACGAACTCACTAATGTAAAAAATAAACGTTCTCACTTACAAAAGTATTGCAACTCCTCCCATTGCTGTGCTTCACATAACAGCTCATAATCTTCTGACTCACTTTCTTCTTCATATAGATCAAAATCACTGTCATAGTTTATACCTGTTAGTTTTGACAAAGCTAATGAAACACGCTTACCGTTTGTATCATATGCTTGTATAAACTTTCCATTATGCTTGTAGTCATAAATGCTTAAACTAACTTTACCCTTTCTCCCTCGTATCTGATAGAATGTATTTTCACGAGGAACGAAGAACAAGTTCTTGAACTCATGACCGTTGTAGTTTGTTATCTCAATAGTTTTCGTCATTTATATAAAAATAAAATAAAAAATAAAATAAAAATAAACTTAAAAAATTAAAAATTAATGATATCACCACTCCACGTATGAAAACATAGCACAAAAATAAATTTAGGTGAAGTGGTGAGATCTCACCTCTTTTTTCACCCGGTTTTTCACCCACTTGAATTCATTACTTTATAATTCTCTTCCTTGGTTTCTTTTTAGTTGCTTTCTTTACGTCCGTCTCCAACTTGACTGTCTTTCTTCTTCGTCCGTAATGATACCAGTTACTTCCACCAGTCAATGGGTCAAATGGTCTTTCGTAAGGGTTTCCATACATTCCATAAGGTCCATACGGAAGAACTGCTGGTGGAAGTTGTGGAGAAGAAACATTTTCTTTAGTTCCATCGACTCTATTTAAATGCATTGTTTCACCTTTCATCTGGTCATTAAAGTCTTTTGCATGTTTTGCAAACTCATCATCCTTTCCTAAAGCATTTTCTGACTCAGTCGCAACCAAATTGGATGCTTTATTTATGAGCCCTATTTTATTTAATCTTAACTTCTTTGCAACCCAGCCTCCAATCTTTCCTTTATTTGCATCTAATGTCTTTGAAACCCTTCCTCCACTCATTTTATTTACTGCGTCATAAGCTCCAAGTGCTTTTGCTCCAAATGCTAATGCTTTTGTTCCCATTGCGCCTAAAGCTGCCCAAACTACCATTTACACCATATTAAAATCATCTCTCTTCAATATTATCTCATAAAAGTTCTCGTTACTGGAGAAAGTCAATGAAACATAAGCGTTCTCACGTGCTTCGCCCTCACCGCTTTGCGGTCTATCTAACTTATTTCTTATATCATCTATACGCTTCAAAATGTCTGAACAATTGCTAACATCTTCTACAACAGTTATTTCATCATGAATGACCTTCAAGAACAAGCTCATTTAATATGCTATTAAAATCATCTCAATAATGAGTCCATCCTTTCCATCTTTAGGTAGCACAACATCTTTCATTGAAGAAGGTTCGACAAGTCTTATGTTAAACTTACTGACAAAGTTTGTTATACTATAATGCTTCGGCGGCGAATACATGTAGTTTGAAAGACATAATATAGATTCTTCAGCAAATTCACTTATACTGGATTTTATAACAATGTTCTCACGAGACCAAATACCACCAATTGACAATCTTGTAATCAATCCTGCTGAACCTTCTACTGTAAACGTCGATGGTAACATTCCACGAAGGTCATCTATTGACATCGTTGAGTCACTGAATTTAAATATTTTCTTAAAGCAATCGTCATTATCTAACCATGCAATAGCTTTGAAGTTTTCATTAGAATATACATCTGCTTCATTAAATGTAAAACCTGACTTCTTTGCAGAGACGACTTTAAAATCTATTGAGTTTGTTTCAAAATTATATGCTATGGTAACTTCAGAAGGTAATGGATGTCCTTCCGCAGTCAGTTGTTCTCTCACTACCGTTTGAAGCTTTGTGTTAAAAACTTTCATGTCATCTCCTGTATCTAAGTTCACATACACAGCAACAGGAAAACTATCTTGCTTCTTTGTTTCATCATTATATCTCAAAACATTAAAGTTCTTCAATAATATTGTTCTTCCTGCTGGAATACTTCGAACCTGTCTGATTTCAATAGCTTTCTCACCTCCTACATACTCTACCCAGTGTCTTGGATATTCATAAGTATACTGACTTTCTTGAATTTTGGTTGGTTTCATCATAACGTGTTCATAGTATATCTTTATACTCTTGTCAGTTAGACTCGGTGCTATGTTCTGAATATTTCTGACTTGCATTTTTAATGGAGATAAAATGAAGCATTTAATACATGATGTAGATGAAGACATGAATGAAACTACAGACAAACTTAACTCTTCTCTTATTCTTCCTTTCAGTAAGGACTATGAGTTCTGTTCAAATGGTGTTTATTTCTATTGTGGAAAGATGGGGTCAGGAAAGACATTTAACCTCATTCGTCATATACTCATAACAGAACGTTTAGGAAACGACTCTTACTATGACCAAATCATTATATCAGCAACTTCAGACTCTATGGACTCAACAGCGAAAACATTTATGTCAAAAGTTCAAGCCTCTGTCGTTAAAGTTCCAGACAGTGAACTCATTGAATTTCTTCAACGTTACATTCGACGTAAGAGAAAATATTATGCCATCGTTGAATTTATACAGTCAGGAATGCAAAAGACTTCAGAAGAGATGGAAAGAATTATTGACAAACACCACTTACGTCAATACTCAGGAGTTTACGATATGAAACGACTGACAAACTACATTCTATCAAAACTTTCAAAATACCCCTTCAAAAAGTATCCTTCAAACACTCTGCTCGTTTGTGACGACTTCGCCGGAAAAGGTTTAGTGTCAAAACCTGACTCACCATTAGCTAACATCATAACTAAAGTCAGACATTACCATTTAACTGTAGCAATACTTATGCAAACATGGCGTTTTTTGCTTTAAACATAAAACGTCTCATAACTGACTTCGTTATCTTTCAAGGTTTCTCACGTTATGATATTGAACTCATTTGGAAACAGTCAGGTATAACATTACCTTTTGAAGAAATTTGGGAAGCATATAAGTCTCTCATCTCTCCTCGTTCATACCTTGAGATTCATATCATGACTAATACCATTAAAGTCAAAAATATTCCATGGGAACGACCAACATTGTTTTAAATTTAACCTTCAATTGACTGATGGTAAACAAATTCCATGCATCTCTGTCGCCATTTCTGTTAATATTTTTGCTGTCATTCATATCATCCACTTCCCCATCCGTTAGCTTTTGAGGATATGCGTTAGAATAGCTGTTCTTAAATGAAGGCTTTTCACCTTTGAGAGCATAAACTCTATAACTTTCTGCATACTTTATGTTTGAACCTCCTGAGCCATCATTGACATAAATTTTTATAGGCTTCCACCCTTTGTTCATGTTCCTGCTTCTTCCCTTAGCTCTTTTGTTCAGTAGTTCTACATCTTTATACACAGCTCCTGTCTCAGTGAATTCAACAATATTTTCATTCGTTAGCTTTACATTCAAACCCTTGTCGAGTATATTGTTCATTTCATACATATAAAAGGTTTTTATTCTATATGAAATGAGAAGCAAATCCATCTTAGCTGGTGCCGTTAATGTTCCAATTGAACCAACATCAAATGTTGACTCACGAACGACAAACAATATTGTCATAAAGAACTATAGTTCAGAGTGTTTGAAAGAAAAAGAACCAGAGCTGAAATCCGTGAATTTAAACTCAGCTTCAAACGCTAACGCTACATCAGATGTTAAGTTAGAGTATCCACCACTGGACCAAATTCTTTCAAGAGAAGCCAACGACAACCCTTACACAAATGTTCAAACAAATCCTTCAGATAACGTAGACCATTACCTTCTTCAGTTATACCAAACAATTTTACTCAAAGACGATAAGAAGCTTTTGATAAATCTTATAAGTAAGAACCAAATAATTCTAAC